GCTTGTTTGCTTTTGTTTTTTAGATTCAATTGTTGATAGTTTTGCATTTATTGCCATTTTAATGATAATTGTTTTGGTCTTCTTTTTCTTATACAATTCCCTTTAACATTTCACATAATAATGGTTTGGTGATGATGAACTCCTTTAGTTTTACCTTGTTTGGGAAGCACTTTATCTGCCCTTTAATTCTCAATAATAGTTTTTTTGGATAGAGTAATCTAGGTTGTCGGTCCTTGCTTTTCATCATTTTGAATACTTCTCGCCAATCCCTTCTAGTCTGTAAAGTTCTTTTGAGCAATCAGCTGACAGTCTTATGGGAACTCCTTTGTAGGTAACTATCTATTTATCTCTTGCTGCTTTTAAGATTCTCTCTTTATCTTTAACCTTTGGCATTTTAATTATGGGGTGTCTTGGTGCGGTCCTCTTTGGATCCAACTTGTTTGGGACTCTGTGCTTCCTGGACTTATATATCTATTTCCTATGACAAATTAGGGAAGTTTCCTTCATTATTTTTTCAAATAAGTTTTCAATTTCTTGCTCTTCCTCTTCTCCTTCTGGCGCCCCTGTGATTTAGATGTGTATATGTTTGAAGATGTCCCAGAGACTTCTGAGCCTGTCCTCATTATTTTGAATTCTTCTTTCTTCTTACTGTTCTGATTAAATATATATATTTAGGAGGGCAGTTGCTGGGTTGTATGGCAGAGCCATGTTTAGTTTTTTAAAATACTTCCCAACTGTTTACCAGAGTAGCTGTACCATTTTGCACTCCAACCAGCAATATAAGAGTGATTCAGTTTCTCCATATCCTCACCAGCTTTGCCGTTGTTCCTATTTAAATTTTTCCCAGTTTTATTGAGAAATAATTCACATACTGTATCAGTTAAACTGTATCAGTTTAAGGCACATGGCATGATGGTTTGATTTACATGTATTGTGAAATGATTACTGAAAAAAGTTTAGTTAACATCTTCTCATAAAAATATACTTATTTTTCTTTATAGTTTCCTTTAATTCTTCTGGATTGTCCATTGTTTCACTGTTTCTTGATTTTTTCCAACTTACTATCTCTTAAAATAAAATTATTATTTAAAAAAGGTAGTTGGTGAAATTTATGACTTCTTACATGTCTAGTAATATTGGGTTTTTTTGCCCTCTTAATGGGTCAAATGACAATACAGAATTCTATTGTAAGTTCAAGTTATTTTTCCCCTTAGAACTTTAAAAACATTATTCTATCAAGATATCCAATAATGCTCCTCATTTTAATGAGTTCTAACTGTGTACCATGTACTATTTTCATTAATTTGTATCATTAGCTCGTACATTAAATAGCTTGAAATCCCCATCAGAGGAGAGTACTACTTATTCTCTATCCCAATCCCAATTTTACTGATGAGTAAACTGAGACATAGAGAAAGTAAATAATTTGCCTCAGGTTATAAAAGTATAGTATGTTTCAGAACCTGGATTAAAACCCAGAGAGTCTGCTAACAGTGCTCATGCATTTAACCACTTCACATATGGTCCGTCTGACTTACATTTTTTGTAGCATATCTTTGTCTTTGTCTTTGTTTTTAGAGGTCTGCAATGAGCTGTGTCTAAGTGTGGTTTTCTCTTCTGTCCTTATTTCTGCTCATTTGTAAAAATCTTCTCAATCTAAAAATGTATATTTTTCTTTAACTTTGGTTTAATATTATTATATTACTTCATTATATCTTTGATTATTTTTATGCTGACCCCACTTTGGAATCTTAGTTCTATTGGAATTATTATGAGGTATATTTAGAACTTTTTGATTTATTCTTTTTTTAAAGATTTTATTTATTTACTATTAGAGAGAGGAGAAGGGAGAGAAACATTGATATGTGAGAGACACATGGATCAGTTGCCTCTCACACGCCCCTGCCCGGCAGCCTGGCCCACAAGCCTGGCATACACCCTGACTGAGAATCAAACTGGTGGCCTTTTGGTTCACAGGTTGGTGCTTAATCCGCTGAGCCAAACCAGCCAGGGCTGATTTATTCTTCATGTTTCTTAGTATTTTCTTTTTTTACATCTCTTTGTTTTTTCTTCTGTTCTCTAAGAAATTGTCTAGATTTTTAACCCCTAGATTACTAAATTGAGATTTTATCATGTTCATTTTATTGTTCTTCATATGAACTTTTCTGAAATTATATTTTAAATTTTTATGAGCATTTTTTTTTGCTATAACACTCTGTTTTTTTAAAATTATATATCATTGTGACTATTGAGACTTTTAATTAGAACTTTTTAAAGGACTATTTTGTCCTTGAATCTTCTTTATTCATCTGGCTTCTCATTTCCCTCCCCTCAAGTGATTCTAATTTTTTAATACATATTCACTTAGTGATCACAATGGTAGAGAGCTGGTTTTATTTTCTCCATTATGCCTCTTCATTAAATGAGAACAAACTGGACATAGGACTGTAAATTCTGTGTAAATGTTAAGGAAGGTAAGACTTCAGAATAAAATTTAATAAGGAAAGTTTCCTGTAGGATATGTGAGAAGAGAGTAGACAGGAGACTATGGAATGCCTTAACTGTCAAATTGAGGACAGTTTTATTCTATTACTGTGGCCATTGTGGAAAAGTTGTACAGTGTCCAGCACATGTTTCATTCGCAACTGTTACTATTAAAAAAACTATTATTCCTCTCAATTTATGTGTATTGTATTTTCAAATGAAGTTGCTAGGACTTATTACTTTGGAGCTAACTACTTATTAAATAAACTTATGTATTTATTTTTTCCTAGGAGTACCATAAAATATTCCTGAGACTTTAAGTGTACTGCGAACATCTGGGGACCTGAGAATTAACTTACTTCATCGTGTAGAATCTGACACTATGTTTTCTGAAGCTTCCCCTTCTGTAATGCATTTAGGATTAATTTTCTCTTAACTGCTTGGTTCTCTCTGACCCGCCTTTTCTGTTTGAGTATAGTACTATTTGGAGAACTGAAGACAGTTTGACTAATATGCGATTAGTGAGGTTGAGGATCACAGGAAATGAATGTCAGCATTTTCAGGATAATGCCTAAACTTAACTCCCAGGCAAAAGGTCTTTATAACCTGGGTCATACCAAATTGTTATTTCAAACAAGTTACCCTGTGTTATGCCATGTAGAATGACCTGTGGAACGACAAGCTCAAACTTGTCATGCAGTTTCACATATCTGAGTATTAAACCAGCGTTGTTTTGTTTCCTGGAATGCAATCTCCTATATATCTTACCTTCCCCAATCTGCAAAAATTCTTCATCATCTTTTCAGTGTGTCCTTGAAACCTCAGAACACAGGACCCTGACCTCTCCAGTTGATTGAAAATCTCCTTTTCAGTCCTCTAATGGCTTCTTGTGTCATTTCTGCTTGATCACTCAGCACACTATTCTGTTGGATTTAATTCTTTTTCAACCCTTACCAGGTTGTCAGGTAAGGGGATCATATCTCATGCATATTTGGATATGTTGCAGGTAAAATGCTTGGCGAGGAGTCGATGTTCTATATACCTTTAAAAAGGACAGACTAACTGGGTGAGACAGAGACCAAGCTTCTGGCCTGCCTCTATTGTCTCCTAAACATTCCAGCCCATAGTCATTTCTTCTTTCTTCAAACTTACTCATTTTTACAGCCATATACTTCCTCACATTATTAGTGTAATATTTAATATCAAGATGTACCTCCTCATTTTATGTTCCCTAATGTCATGTAATATGTACCTATCAAGTTTCACAGCCCTAACACACTGTATGCATATTTGAAAAATGCCTTGATATTTGCTTTCTCTGAAAATATGCCTAAGTGCATTTTCTTTGGCCACTTTCATAGTTTTCTCAGTTGCTTTGCAGACTCTTACTCCTCTCTTGACATTTATTAGATATTAGTGATCTGCAAAACTGGATGTTCAGTCCTTTTCTTTTCTTCCACGATGCTGTGTCTTTCTATTTAAGCAAGCTCATCCACCCCTGACCTCACTTACCAAAGTACTCAGGTTTCCCATGTATTCAGGTCTAGCCCAGACCTTGTGTTTGACTTCTAGAACTGTATATTTAATTACTTTCATGATATATCTATGGCAAGTTTCAAAAGCAAGTCAAACTCAGGTTGACCACAAATGAACTCATGATCTTTTCCTCAAATATGACCTTGTTCCAAGGTTTCCTGCCTAGGGAATGGCCTAGTTATTTATCCTGTTGCATCAGGTAGAATCCTAGGGTGAGAAACCTCACTCTCCCCCCTTCTACATCCATACCTGATTCATTACCAGATCATGTCAAAACTCACCTTCTAAATATTTAATATCAGTATGTGCTTCAAACTACCATCAAGCTCTATTAGGTCAAACTGTTGTCATTGCTCTTCCAAACAGTGACTTTCTCTCTACTCACCGGCTTTTTGCTTCCATCCTATCTATCTGTACTGTAGCCAGAGTAACCTTTCAAAATGCAAAGCTAATCATAATACTACTGCTTAAAATCTATCAGTGGATTTTAGGGTCAAAGACATGCCCTCAAAGGCTTTGAGTACCTTTATATTCCTGTAGTCCTCTCTAGCACAGCTGGTTTTTCCTTCACTCTCTCCGCTCCAGCCTGGGTGGCTTCTTTCCAGTATCTAGTTCCAGCCACATTCTTCCATGACACAGGACTTATGTACATGGTATTTTGGTATTCTCATTGCTGACCCTCTCACCTTATTTAATTAATTCTTGTTTCATCATTCAGAAGTTGGCCTAAGTATTAGTTCTTTGGGGAAGCTTCCTCTGACCTCTTTAACTTTCTCACATTTTTAATTTCCCATTATTTATATGATTATCTGATTAATATTTGTCTTTCCTGAGAGATTTTAAGCTTCACAAGAATTGACAGCATGTTGACTTTTGTATATTCTTGTATTCCCAGTGCTATATGTTTTGTTTAAAACACTGTAGTCATTCAGTACTATTTGTTCATGGGATACATTTCTAATTTTTATTCTTTTTTGTAGGTCTGCCAGTGTAATTAATAGTTGCCACTTAGAGGTACCCAAGTAAAGGATATTTGCTGTATTTAATATTTTCCAGTTCAGGTTGAAGGCACAAGAAGCAGCAAAAATGGGTAATTTTCAATTTAAAATTTTCATAATTTATAAAATAGTGATTTTGTATGCTGCAGTTTTAATAGAATTAAATAACTTTATTACTATTTCTTTTTTTAATAGTAAGTAAATTATAGCTCTTTTTAAAAAGGTAGAATGAAAATAACCCATTTTCTTTCTCTTTTTTTAGGTTTAGAAAAATGTACAGAGATTTTAAAGAAAATGTCAGAGTTAATTTTGAATGAACTGCCAAAAGCTGAGTGAGTAATGTGGTAGGAATAAAAAGATGTAAAATGCTATATTATATTCCTGTATATCTTTTTGATGTTAAAGAAGTATCTATCTATATCATCATCTATCTTAGTATGTATTATAGTATATTATATGTATATAGTTATATATGTGATTATTTAATAGAGAACCTTTAGAGCTGTTTGGTGGTGAATGAAAACCATGTTTTTCTTGCTTTCTTTATCTACAGCTGTCAATGAACTCACTGTTTTATAAAGGAACAAGATTGGTTAGGCAAGAAGGAAATATAATATAGGTCTATATTTAGAATATGGGTGTTAATTCTTGAGTCCAATCCAGATTTTGCCATATGGTTTACATAATTTTCCCTATCACTTTGAGTGTAGTGGGACTGATCCTGCCTTCTTTTTTTATGAAAGATAGCAATACATATGGATATATTTGAAAAGTTTTAGCATTGAATCTGGCATAAAATAATTACTCAGTAAATTCAGCTATTGATGATAGTGATAATAATAAGACTGCTGCCCTTTTTGGACCTTATTTAATTTATATGTAATTTTTGTTTTTACTGCTTTCATTTTAGTTATTCCAGTATATTCAGTGATTTTGTTGAATCTGAATTTTTTCTCATTGATGGAGATTCATTACTTACCATGTTCTTATGTGAGAGATCATTAAAACAGGGGCAGGAGCTCCACTTCTTCTATCTGGTTGAACGCTACCTTGTGGATCTTATTGATAAAGGAGGACAATTTGCCATAGTTTTCTTCAAGGTACTGTGTAGTTGAGTTATTTTCTATGATTTGAGAACTAAAACTAAAATTGATTATATTATAAACATTTTTTCTTATTACAAATTGACATATATCTATATTTAGAAAATTTAAAAGAACAGAAAACAAATAAACAATTACCCATGATTTAAGTAGATTTAATTTACCTGATGCAATTTAAGATTGTTCTCTGTTCACAATAATGGAACTTGTTTGTAAGGATACACAGGTTCATGAAAAAGGATGAGAAATCTCCTGAACAGTGGTTTAATTGATCCCTGGGGTCTAGTCTTCCAACTTCTGTCTTCAAAACTCAGTAGTCAACTTATTTGATTCCAGAAGAATATCAAACTCACTAATGCTGCTTCTTTATTATTTGCTCTGTAATAAATACCTCCACATGAATATTTTTAGTCGGATTTTTAAAAATTAAGAATATAATTAATAACATTTTAACAACTTCAAATACAGGTATATATAACCACTACCACCGTTTCCCCTTCCTATCATGTTACTCTTAAAGATTTTGGTGAATGTTCAGTTAATTTGCAGCTCACATTATTGTTAGATTTTTGAACATTGCTGACTACTTGCAAGCCATGTTTTGAATAAAGAGCCAGGGTTCTAGCCTAATGCTGACAGTCAGTTTATCACAGTAATTTTGGTCTGTTGAGAAAAACCTGTGCTGCTTCAGGTAGGTCACAACGATCTGAGACAGTCCTCTTAAACAAAGCAATCCACGGCAGCGTTCTTTTCCTGGATAATCTGTGTACACCATTTTCTTTGACATGTTTTTGTGTCACCTTTTCCTTTTTGAAATGAGGTTGGAGAGGAGAAGAATTAGTGTGGGAAGGGAAAGAGATAAATACCAAGTATCGTGTGCCTCCCCAAGAGGGATACGTGTATTTAAATCCAAGTGAAGTTTTATGGCAGGTGTTTGTGAAATGATAGTCAAAGTTTAAAGGTCTATTCCCTGACTATGAAACATAACAGAGATGTGTTGGGACCTATTCCTTTAATGAATTTAATGATATGTGTTAATTACTAAATAATATTTCAAAAGTAAAGTACTTTATTCCTCCCATATAGGATGCTGAGTATGCATATTTCGACTTACCTGAACTCCTTTCTTTGAGAACTGCCTTAATTCTTCATCTTCAGCATAACACCACCATTGATATTCGAACAACATATTCTGGATGTTTATCACAAGAATGGAAAACTTTCTTGAATGAGAGTTACCCATATTTCCTGATAGTTGCAGATGAAGGCTTGAACCATCTACAAACATACCTTTTCAGCTTTTTAATCATTCAGTCTTGGTCAATGAAGGTCAATGCTGTGCTTGCCTCAGGGCAAGTGTCTGATATTCTTCGACTTTATGCGTACTTTATGCCAAGCAAGTCCAGCAAACAAAAGTTTTTCAAGGAGGTAATTTATATCAAAAGGCAAATTTCTTCTAGACTTTTACAAAATTTTCTGAATTACTTGATTCAGTTCTATTTTTTACCTCTTCTATGGAAGTTATCATAGATTTAACAGAGAGGTATAGAATATTAATAATAATAATAATACAAATGCAGTCATTTATTGAGCACTTACTGTCATAACAATGGTGCTTGGTTCTTCTTATGAGTCATTTTATTTAATCTTCACAACAACCCTGTGTAGATGTTAGTATCTTCTCTGTTTTACAGATAAGGAAATAGGTACTTGAATAAGCAATTGGTCATCATCAACACCAAATTAATAATAGAGTTTGGAATTAAAAAGGGGCAGTCTGACTATAGTCTTTGTTTGTTTAACCACTGTGTGGTATACTGCCTTTGAATTAATAAAGGTCAGAAATGCATTAAATTGGAGGTAAAGGCATGCCTCTGTTGCTGAGACATACTAGTGAATTGATAGTTAAAACATGTAGTGTTTAATGAGAAAACCGTGAAGAAGGTTGATAAGGAAAATAACTGAAATCAGTTTATTTCTTGAAATCTTCTTTTTGAAATGTTGGAAGTGTAAAATTAGATTATGGTAATTGTTGTACAACTCTGTAAATTTACCTAAAAATGTAGAATTATACTCTTAAAGTGGGTAAATTTTATGATAATTTTAGAAATTTTTTAGATAATTATACCTTTATAAAGTTGTTAAAAGTTCAATGCACTAACTTCATTTGACTAAGACAAAATAGTGCTGTCTGGCAGGCTTTAAATGCATAGCTAATGATCTAGAATTACATTAGTGTAATTTTTTTGCTTACAAATACAGTATATTATAATGATTATATCTTCCATATCTGATTTTTCTGTATTAGGAAACTAATTAGATATTTTATTTAAGACAATTTATGTGACTTGTCTTCTTTTTACAGAATAAACAGCAGATTGAGAATGCTTATATAGCCCTGATTAAACACTTGGAAGAATGTAGAGTTTTTGCATTCAAACCTCTTTTTGGAAATTCAATAGGGGACAATATGGTGGAAGAGGTACTGAAACATTTTTTTTTTTAAAAACCCTTTTATTTGAACTAATTTTTTTAATTATGAAAAAAAATTCCTGTATACCTCTTACACAGCTTCTTCTAATGTTTCCACCTTTTGTAACCATAGTACATTGATCAAAACCAGAGAAGTAACATCAGAATAACACTATTATTAAGCTTCAGACCTTATTTGAATTTCACTTATTTTTCCACTAATATCTTCTTTCTGTTCCAGATTCTATGCAGAGTCCCACATCCATTTATTATTTATTTCTCCCTATTCTTCCCTAATCTGTAATAGTTTCTCAGGCTTTCCTTGACTTACTAGACCTTGACATTTTTGAAAAGTGTTGATCAATTATTTTGTTAATATCCCTCACTTTGGGCTTGTTTGATGTTTTCTCACGATTAGAATGAGGCTGTATATTTTTCATCGAGAGTGCTGCTGACTGGATGCGCCCTCTGTACAGTGTATCGAAGGGCCCATAATGTCGGTGTGTCTCCACACTGGGTGTGCTGGTGCCTGCCAGCTTTCTCCACTGGCAAGTTACACTTTCCTCACTGTGCACATCCTGTTTCTTCTCAAACTTTTGCCAATTAATTTTGGAACCCACTGGTGGACTTTGTCTATAATAGTTATTACTGATGTTTTTTACCTGTGGTTATTTTCTATTTCACTTTTTCATTCTACAGTTATTAATTAGAAATATACTGTGAGGGACAGTTGCTCTAGTTCATTATTCCATACTGATATGAAGAAACCATTTATTGGATTCATGGATATATATTTCATGTTATAGATTAAAGTCGAATATTATAATTATTTTGGTGCTCAGCTTGTTCCAGGATTGAACATTAGAAACTCCTTCCAGTTTGTACTGGCATTCTTGTACAAGCTTCCCCTCTCCTTTGTTTTTTTTAACTACTTTACTGAGGTATGATAAAAGATTGTGGTGATAGTTGCCCAGAGGTATATTTATCTTCACATTCATCAAGCCTCATTTTTTTGAGCACTGTCTTACTTTTTGAAACCACATGTTCCAATCTCATCTTATATTTTCTCTGCCCCAACCCTAAAATCAACCACTTCTCCAAAGAGTTCTGGTTGCTTTTATTGGAAAATGACATTTAGAAGCCAAGATCCAGGAATGATGTTTGTTCATTGTTACTGGGGTGTCATTGCTACTAGGACTTTTCAGCAGACAGAGCAAGGAAATCGATCTCTGCATACTAACTCCTGTATATGCACCTATTTTCAATTTATCTAACTATCTATCTGTCTATCATACCTCTCTCATCTGTCATATGTTCATACTGATGTTTCTGCTCTAATTCAAAGCCATATAGTTTATTTTCTCTTTCCCCTTTCTGTATTTGTAATTGTAATGGTAAGAAATCCAGCTCTCATTAACTACAGTATATATACTTACTTTCTCAAATTCTAGTGTACACATAAGGTCGTTTTAGAATTGCTAACCATATATCAAGAGAAACATTCACTAAGTGGATTACAGGATTTATGTGCAATTCTTTTAATCTGTAGTCACAGAATACGTCACAATATTGTTTCCAATGTTATTTAGTTTAGTTCCTTTCTTGTCCACTTCCTTTAGTGTGGTTATGTTTATCCATTATTAATAGAGTTAGTTCTTTGGTTTCAGTTTATATTTCATTTTGGGTCTCTCCCACCCATATCCCAGTTGTTTTTTAATTATGTTTATTTTGGGGGGTATGTGAAAGTTACATGAAACATTACTATGGTTTTAAGAATCAGATATATACAAAAAGATATACTTAAAGAAATGGCACTTTTTTTTTACCTTTGCTACTCTAGTCCTATTCTCCTCTACAACTCACCTTTTTCCTAAATATTTTCTGTAGGTTGCTTGTCTCTTTAGTCTCAAGTTAATCCTTCCTGTATTTCTTTTGCACAAAAAAGCAGAACATATGTATTTTCTTATGTCCCCTTTTTTCTTACAAAAGGATAGCATATTATAGATATTTTTAGTGCTTTTCTTTTTGCATTTAACAGCATGTCTAAGAAATCATTTTAAAGCAGTTCATAGATATCTTCCTCATTGTTATATAGCTGTGTAGTACTAGTCCCTTGTGTGGATGCACTATGGTTCATTTAACCATTTCCTATTATGGAATTTATACTGTTTCCAGCATTTTGCAATTACAATCAATGCTGTAATGAATAACCACATGTATATGTACTTTTGTATTATTGGAGGTGTATTTTCAGAGATGGGATTGATGAGTCACAGTTAAGTGTATATGTAGCTTAATTAGGTTTGGCCAATTTTCTTTCTAAAAGGCTTATCAATTTTTTATATTTCAATTTTTAAGTGTTATATTTTATGAATATTTTTTCCAATTTGTAAGTTGTCTTTTTACTTTTTATTTTATCGTGTTTGCCATGCACATTTAAAAATACATAATGTCATATTAATCTATTTCTGTTGTTGTAGTCTCTAGATTTTGGTCACTCTTAGGAAAACTTCCCCTACACACATCAAGGTTAAAGAGGAATTTGAGGTTTCCTCTTATAGTTAGAATTATTTTATATTTAGATACCTAAGCCGTTTGTACTTTATTCTTGTGTACAGTATGAGATCTGCATATAATTTTTTACCTTTTCCAAATGTATACTCTGTTATATACTAAAAAGTCAGTCTATATCTCAGTGATTTCAGATGCCACCTTTGTCATTTAATAAATTTTTATATGTATTTGGAAATAATTCTAGACTTTCTATTCTATTCCACTGGTTTATTTTCCAGTTTCACACTCTTTTGATTCTAAAGACTCTAGTATTTTTAATGTCTTGTTAGGCTAGTTTTTCAGTTTATAGTTTCTCTTTTGCAGTGATTCCACAGCTATTTTTGCATCTTGATTTCCAATGTGAACTTTTGTTAATAACTAGCCTAACTTCAAAAAATATCTTCTTGGTATTTTTAATGGAGTATATTTAATTTAATAATTAAACTGAGAGAATTGACATCTCTATAATGTTGAATTATTCAATGCAAGAAGGAGTGTATATTTATTTAAGTTCTTTTTGTGAATTAAAAAAAATTTCCTTATCTATGTTTTTGTACATTTCCTGTTAATTTTCTTTTTATTTGATGTTTTTGTTACTGTAATTTTTCTCCAACAACGTTCTTTCTTTGTTGTTAGTGCTTATGAAATCTATTGATTTTTATATGCCAATTTCATATCCTGATGACTCATTGAAATTTTGAATTAGTTTTATTATTAATTCTTTGGGATTTTCCATGTATCATCTGTGAACAGAGAGAGTTTTGCATCTTCTTGACCTATTCTTATGCCTCAAATTACTTTTTCATGTCTATTTGCCTTACCTGACAAATCCAGTACAATGGTAGATAGTAGCAGAGACAGTGGGTATTTTTGTCTTGCTCCTGATCTTAGTGAAAGTATCTCTAGTGTTTCTCCATTTTACATATATGTTAATGTAGCCATCAACTTAAATATTTTTAGTGTTTTTATTATGTATGTGTATTGAAAGTGTAGATTCAATCATGATTTATTCCCTTGGGCTTATTAATATGATATTTTGATATCAATGGATTTTTAATATTGAAGCAACTCTGCATTCCTGCTGTTTAATTAATTTATGTGTTCTCTTATGTTTAAATCTCACTTGGTCATACTATAGTATTTTTTTAATATGATGTTGGATTCTGTTTGCTAATATCTTGTTTAGAATTTTTGAAATCAATATGCTTAAATGATACTTTTCTAAATTTGTTTTCCTGTGATTGCATGTCTTGAGTTAGGTATCAGTATTATACATGCTTCATATTCTGAAATAAATGATAAATTATTAGTATTTTCTGGTCTTTGAAGATTTGCTAGAATTTCCCTGTAAAACCCAGTGGGCCTGGTGCTTTTTTGTCAGTTTCTTAATAATTTTCTGTTTTTTTGCCCCCCTGTGGAAATTGGTTTCTTTAAGCTTACTAAATGGGAACACAGCAACCAAAAATTTCTGGGACATAGCAAAAATCCTGAGAGAGAAATTTAAAGCTTACTAACTGTAATGGGGTCCATTTTAGTAATTTGTTCTTATGAGAATATTATTCATTTACATTTCAAATTTCTTTGTATAAAAGTTTGCAAAATAAGCTTTTATGATTTTTAAAATGTCTTCTGTCTTAATAGTTATTTTCTCTTTACATTTTTATTTGGAAAATTTTTAATGTATCTTCCATTTTCTTATTTTATGTTTTATTATTTGGTTTTTGAAGGTTATATTTGTTTGGTTGGTTGTTTTTCAGTATCCCTTAGCAACCATCTTGTGCCTATAGTGGATTTTCTTAGCTTATCGTTTTAATTATTCACTGTTCTATTGTTTTAGTTATTTTTCTTCAGGTGTCTGATAAAACAAATATTGTCCCATCTTTGCTTCTTTCATTTTTACTATTTTTTCTCCAGCCTCTTTTTTTTTCTTTTTAAATGTCATTTGTTGTTTTCTTATCTTTCTTCAATATCTCTTATTAAATTTCTATTGAGGTCATTTTTCTTTGGGCATCTTATAATTTATTCTTCATTTCTGTCATAGCTTTGTCTTTTCTAAGGTTATTTTTCTGAATTAAATTAACTATTTTGTTCATTTTTTCCTTTCTTCCCCATTCTGTTTCTGGTTTATTATTTGCTGAATAAAGATAATTTTTCATATATTCAAGTGCTTGTTTTAGTTTTTTAGTCATATTTAAGGTATAGATTCCTGTATTTCTTCTTTTTTATGGTTGTTACTATTATTGTTATCACTATTTTTTGGTGGTGATAATGAGATTTTCTGTAGTTCATTTGTGTGAAATTATGTTCCTGCTGTCATTTTCTTACAATAGCTCCATATGTACTTCCTTCTCTTTCTTTTTCTTTATTTTGATGATATTAAGGTGTTATGAGATTCCTAATTTAATAATTTAATTAAATTTAATGGTGCCCCTTTCTGTCAATTTAGCAGAGCTAAGGCAATGTTAGTGGGAATTTTATTTATTTATTTGGGAGGTGGATGTGGGATTGTTAGTTTGTGGTTTTCTTTTATCTTCCAGTGCCCTATGGGTTCTCTTTTGTCTTCTTTCCCCCTTCACTACTTACTGGTAGTTGCTATAAAAAGTTTTTTCTTCCTTTTAGCTTTGTTTCTGCCCCCAAAATATTTTCAGAAAATTATTCCTTTAAATAGTTCCTATTCTGTAAGCAATTTCTATCCTTTTATGTCATATTTATCCTTGAAAACTGAGACTGTCTCTTTAAAACATGTGTCTGGGTCTTTTATATGCCATCTGATGCTTTAAGTGGCGCATTCTTTGAAATTCGTTTTCTTGCAGTCTGTACTATACTCTACCTGGTTACTTTTATTGTATTTTCAGACTGAGGGTGGATTTAATTCTAGTGGTTCTTCCAATTCCGTTTTCACTAATGTTTCTCCTTTATGTTTCCTGTAATTTTTCTCACTCTGCCTTTGGTCACTACAAAGCCTTGAGTTGGACAAGTGTGGCACAGGACCATGAGGGATTGCAGAGCTGGAATTTGTTAATGTTTCCCTTATAGACAATTATTTTGCAGTGTCACTATTCTGTCTTCTTAGTTTTGGCAATATGATTTTGTATAAAATATTTATAGATAGAAAATATTGAATATTTTTAGGAAGTTGATTACTACAGACTCTATTGTTTTTGACTACATGGAAATCTCACAAAACAATGTATCTATGTGTGTATGAGAGAATTTTAGAAAAATGCATAATATAATTTGAAAAATGTAAGAATTTCCTGTAATGTAATACCTCATATTGGAATATAAGGTGACTTAAATTTCATTAATGGAAGTATAATATCTAGATTTCAGGGTTATTGTTTTGTTCCCTTGAAAACTTCATATTCATACCATGATTACCACTTAGAGGTATATTATACATTTCTTAATATACTCTTTCAGTGGTGTTCTATGTATTCTTATACAATGGAGAACATATCATATATACCCTTTTTCACTTTCTAAATTTAAGTTCTTATTTAAACATTTTCTAACTATCAGAAATTTTCATAGTTTTTAGTTGTACTGGGTCCATACTACTTTCCTAATGAAAAACATTTAAATGGTTTGAAAGTTGGCTCTGTGGTGAACATCTTGGTACATGAATCATCGTACACACTGTAATATTATTTCCCTAACTCAGATTTAGAACTTAAATAGCCAGTCAAAAAGTATCACCATATTTAATGATAATCATAAGTATTACCAAACAGCTTTGCAATAATTCAATACCTATTCATATTCTCATTAGCAAAGAATGAGAGAAAATGGCATCATATTTCAGTGCTATTATCATTAAAGGATACTTTGCTATCTTGAAAGTAAAAATAAGATATCTAATTGTTCTTTTTATTACTAAGATTGAACACTTCTTCTTTCATAATATTTGTTTCTTTTGCGTATTATCTACTCATGCGTTATAAAAGGCTAACATGCTTTCTTATTGATTTATAAGAGCTCCTTACATATTTAAATGTTTAAAGCTTTCACTAAAGTATTTGTTGGAATATTCTCATTTAAAAATATTTATCATTTTAACAGAAATATCTATCCTTTTCTGTATCATTTCTTCTAGTAAGATCACTTATGAATAAAAATATTTTTGTAAATATCATGACATTTTACAATTTCCTTCTGTGACAGGCATGCGAAACGATTTCTCTGCTTAAGCAGCTCTGGCCAGAAGGATCTGACATTCGGCGTGTTCTTTGTGTTACTTCATGCTCCTTGTCTTTGAGAATGTACCACTATTTCTTAGAAAACAGAAAGAAGACTACCTCTTGTCAGAAAAATGACATCCAGCAGGTGTGATCATTATCCCTTTACTGTGAAACACCATTGCTCTCAACTTCAGAAATTTCACTGATTATATCTGCTATTTCTTCCATTTGATAGTCATTTATTTCTCTAATTTAGTTATACAAACTTTCAAAAAAGGGAAAATCTAGAATTTGTTTATAAAAATCACCTAGTGAGCTGTTATAAGATTCAGTGTTTTACTATGCAGGTGTTTCCTTTAGTACATATTTAGTCAAATTTGTCCAACCATCTAGAGGAAGGGGAGATGAGAAACGAAATTAGCGCTTGGAGAGATCGTATAATGTTAACAATTATCTTAGCTTTTTATATGCCTCGTGCCATTAAATTCTCACATTTCAAGGGAGGTATTATTATCCCTATTTCACAAATGAGAACACTGAGGTTCAGAGAGTCCAGGTAACATTCCTTAAACCAAAGGTATTAAAGAGCAGTGTGGATTAAACCTCGGTCTGTCTTGTTCAAGGTCCACAATATCAAACTGTATTTTGAAAGAATATTTCTGTTGTGGTGTCTCAGTGCCATCCTAGCTGGAGAGATACTAAAAGTTTTAACCTTAAGAATATGTTGACCAGTGTAAGTTTGCTCTCAACTAAATAGTTATCTCTATATATTTGTGCCCACGTGCACATGCACAAACTCCTGGACACACACACTTAGGTACACACATTTGTAGGTAGACTATTTTGCATACAACTCGAATGCTGGGGCCTTCTTGGTTAAAGATTCTTAGGGAAGAAAAATGAAGTTTCTCTCACTATTCTGCAATCTCAGAAATGAACAGGGTTCATTATCTTTTATCCAGCATTCTTTATACAGTTTTGGCTTTTCAGTATCTGCTTGAATATATGCTTAGATATATTTGCACATCATCAGGCATGCCATTTTAAATTGTTATCAAAAAATAATACTAAACCAAATGTATCTCTGTGGAACTTTTAATTATTAGACCCTATGTGGCCCTTTGAAGGTACTTGGAAAGAAGTCTTAGTCTTGTTTCACCTACAACCCTGAAAACATCAGAAGATGGCTGTGAGGTCCTTGTCCTATCATGTTAAACATGCCCACTTCTTGACCCTTATTCTAATTGGATAAGTGCTTTGGAAATGTCCTGGTTTCCTCATTCTGGTAATTTTCAATATAACTTTTAAAATATGATGCATTGGACAGAATAGAGCATTTATTCGGTGGCTCTCCAGGACCGAGTCCTGTAGGATCATCAGTCACTTCACATGTGCTGCTTGGTCAGCTCGTGTAAAGATTGACTTGACTAAGGTACTGAAAAATGCTTTATATAAACTGCTACTGAACTGGCAGTTCCTTGTCCCTCCTACCTTACATCTGTATAAACTCAGTCAGGTGTATGTATGAAGGAAAGGACTTTCTCAAAAATGTAGAATGAAGAACGTAACATAATATGTGATTCCTGCTCAGCAGAATGCAACGGCCAAATATTGCATGCTGTAAGTCTGTTTCACAGCCAGCTGTTCTCTGGCTTACCTTCTTTATTTTATTTAGGGGAAAAGTGATTGCTTAAGCCTGCAAGAGATGGAAGATTTGTGTAAACTGCATTGTCTCAGTACGGTCTTTCTACTCCATTTACCTCTTTCCCAAAGAGCTTGTACTAGATTCATCACTTCCCGTTGGATTGAGGACATTCAGACTTTCCTAAAAATGGTAAATATGTTCTTTATTAGTTTATATATTTACTTATTTGTTTATTTTTGTTTCACCTGTTTGATACAGAAACACCACAATCACATTCAAAAGTAGATTTATATGTGAATAATGTCAGCCCTTTCGGGGCTTTAAGAGTTTAATGACCTAAATCAATCACTTTCTAATTACAACGACTCTGCGATAGTAATAATAAACAGCATGCTGTACATTCAGCCTAAAGAAAAAGCCTCTCTGTTTCCCTCCTTCCAATTCTGTCAAGATTAGGTTTTTGTGTCATCAACTATAAGGGATTGGTGGCTGTTGTGTTCTACTCTTGAGAGAAATTTAATAAATCAGTGTAATAGTGTATGATTTTTGTCTGTTATAGAGGATAATTATAGAAAATGTATAGACTTTAGGAAAATGAAAAGCAAAAACAACAGAAAAACTTATCTAGTGGCCCACCACTTAAATGAATCTTCGTTAACTATTAACATTTTGGTTTATTTTCTTTATGTTAAATGCCTAGATTTTTCTGTTGTTGTTTGTTATTTCTATTATTGGAAATCTAGATTTTTTTTTCACATATTTTTTCTATTTTCTTTCACATTCTTGGCTAGCATCATTTTTAAATGGCTACTAGTTATTTTTTCATGGGTGTACTATGGTTTACTCACCCATTTCTTTGTTACAGGATATTAAGAGGGTTTGAATTGTTATAACATAAGTGCTGCTATTCTCTAGGTTATTTGAGTGTAAGCCTTTCCCTTTAATCTGAAGGTATGGACTTAGACTGTTGTTCAGCAATGAGATTAGTGGATTGATTGACATGGGATTTTTTTTTTTAAAAGGATTTTGATACTATATTTAAATGATCAAGGTAACTGTTTTAGAACCAGTTAGTTAGGAAGCCAGTCCACAAATATTTATCTAATGCACATGAGTTGTGTGAATCACTGGTCATACAGTGAGAAAAAGAAGAACTACTCCCTACCACCTTTGTAGACCCATATTTTTGCAGCAACGACAGATATTGAATTTTTAAAATTATTGTGAAGAAAGAACTACTCATTCTGAAAAGTATGGCTTCTCTTAAGAAATGAAGAGAAGTAACTCAAGTCTAGAAGGATGAATAGGAGTTAGCAAGTTGAAGAGTGGATGAAAACTGAATTCTAGGAAATAACCACCATGATCATCCTGAGGATGGCATGATCAAGCAAGTGAGAAACATCAAGTGTAACTGGACTAGAAAAAATATGGGAAAGTGATAAAACTGAAGAGATGGTAAGAAACAAATCATGTAGAATTCTATAGATCATGCTAAGGGAATGGAGATAAAATTTGATCCTAAACACGAGAACCAATTGATTGGTTAAGTATCATTACTGTTGATAATGTTAGGGATTAAGAATGAATAAGGATGAATAACAGTGGGTAATTTCAAGAATTAAGGTGTAGCATTGACACGTTTAGTGATTAAGTGTGGGGCACGGGGGAAAGGGAGCAGTCAGATGACTCTGAATCTCTAGCTTGAGCATTTGGGGGATGATACCATTGTACAAAGGACACTTGCAGGGGAAGATCATGCGTTCAGTTTTAGAAATATGGAATTTGAGGTGCCAATGAAATATCCAAACGGAGAGATCAATTGATGTTAATCGATGTCATGTGGTAGATGAAATTATTTTGAGAGAGAGATATGAAGAGAGGGTTTAGGACAGAGACCTGAGATATTCCAATATTAAGTAGTTAAGGAAAGGTTGAGACAGTGACAAAAGACAGTGAGAAGAAGTTGCTTAGATGAATAGAATGGAAAGCCAGGAGAATGGGTTGTTCTTAAAGTCAGTGGAACTGGGTCTTTTAAAGGTGGTTGTGGGTAATCATATTAAATGCTATAGAGAATTGTAGGAGGTTGGGGGCTAAAAATAATACCTTGTATTTAATAGCATAGGGCTCACTGTTGATCATAATTAAGGAGGCATGTGAATGCAGTGGTGGGAAGCACAATGGATGTTAAAGTGAATTCAGTAGTGAGTGGAAGGGATAAAATACAGATGAAGAGTAGTGTATGTGGAAGAAGTTGAATGAGTAAAGTGACATAAGGTAAAACTGGAGAGGAACGTGGGTCAATTAGGGTGCTTTTAAAATGGCAAAGATTGAGCATGCTTCAATGCGAATTATAAAAGTTGAGAGGATAGATGAAAATACAAGGAAATTACGGTGAGCAAGGATGTGATCTGGAGGATTTCCTTAGATAGAGGTGGATTCCCTTCTGTAATTAGGATTGCATGGATTACAGGACATGATAGGAATAGCTACCATTTATTCTGCACCTGCTTTGTGTGGACCTATGCTACCTTGTTCAGAAATAACACTCCTGTCATGTTTTCATTTTACAAGTGAAAAACTTGGGCTCAGGGAGGTTAAATGGCCATTTAGCAGAGCTAATAAATGATCAAGTTGAGATCTAACTTCACCTCTGTTCAGCTTCCAAATCTGTTCCCTTCCCACCATGATCTGCTCTCTTGATGTGGGGAGCAGTTGATTATCTTATAGGCAAGCACCTCTCTGCTTTCCCATTCTCTGTGCTTACTTTGCTAACACCCTATACCTGATAACTTCAGATAGCCTCTGAAATTTTCACAATAAAGGCCTATGCTGAGGCCTCAGGAGAAACACCTAAGCAAACTGAAGGGAGAGCTTCATGTTTACTCAGATCTTGACACTCAGAGACCACGCAGAGACACTTCTTGTATGAAGTGAATAAAACGAGGAACAATTGCTGTACTGTTTTCACATACTGCTGTTTACTCAGCAGTGTTATGGGAGAGGATTAGTGGAGTGGAACTTAGGGCAGCCTTACATAGCACTGATTCTCAAAGTATGGTGCCCTGACCAATAGCATCAACATTACTTGGAACTTGTTAGAACTGCAAAGTATTAGGCTGGACCCCAAATGAATTAAATCAGTCTTTGGTGATGGTGCCAGGTGACCTGTGTTTTATGTAACAGCCTTTCCAGATGAGGTTTATGCTAAAGTTTGAGAACCATTGGTCTGTGGTTCCATGGGAATCTCTTTTGTGTTTTACAGTTATGCGCTACATAATGATGGAGATAGTTCAGAGGAGTGGACTATTAGGTGATTTCCTTGTTGTGCTAACATTATAGAGTGTAGATGGTATGGCCCACTACTGTAATTGTATATGCTGTATTTTAAATGACTAGCAGTGAGTAGGTTTGTTTACCCCAGTGTCAGCACAAACATGAAAAGTTGGTTCTTGTTGTTGTAATGCAAGTATCTGAATTAGGCGTTGATGGCCTAGGCACCTATTTCAAAGAGGCATCCCTTCAAGAGGGCTATCTCTAATTTACACTGCCTGCCACAGAACTACACAAAAAGCCAGGGTGCCTTCCCCTCCCCCCAACCCCACCCCAGACTTCTCTATTTTAGAGATTTTGGTTGATTTCCATAACTGACCACTTGCACTGCTTGTTTTTTCCCTCTTTCCATACTTTAAATTCTCACTCTTATGTTTTAAATTCACTGATAATGTATGAGCCCACCAAACCCAGGGCCTCCACCCTGAACCTCAAATGAAAGCCAAACTCCAGACCTATGCTCAGTCTCTCTCTAAACCCAGGACCTGTGTTCCCCCACCCTCCACCCCACTTTGTACACTCTAGGGCTCATGAGTAATAAACTCTTTTTTCGTTTTCTTCAAAGTTTCCTAATTGTTATCTTTGAATGGTGTCCTGCAGTCATACTGTAATAAGAACCACAAGAGTCAGGCCAGCTGTAACGTTGTTTTGAAAAGAAGATGTCTGTGGGAAGCTTATTGGTCCCTGTCAATGCCCCACACATTTCTAGCCAATGACATTACTATCAATTGACTGAGATGGGCACAACTAGGGCAGTTTACCACGTAGAGCTTACCACGTTACTAGGTGATAGGAATTTTTCAGTTTCCTTAAAATCTATGGGACCATAGTGGGTCATACATGGGATCTGTTACTGATGTTGTTATTGGGCCCTTGACTGTATTTGTAATAAAACTATATTCAGGTAAGAAGTTCCTGGTTCTTTGATATTTATGACTTCATATTGAACCTTGGGCAGCAGCCTTAACTTATCTAATCAGAGCTAGGCTGTTTAATACAGCAGCCAGTAAGCACAATTATATACTCAGCACTTGAAATGTGGGTAGTCGGAATTGAGGTGTGCTGTATGTTTAAAAGAAATCAGATTTCAAAAACTCAGTATGAAAAACATGCAAACTATTCTGTCAATATTTTTATATTGGTTAGACATTGACATCAAACTATTTTGGATATGTTAGGTTAAATTAAAATTAATATCAGCCTTTTTTTTTTTTTTTACTGTGGTTTCAGAAAATTTACAATAACACATGCAGAGGGCCCCTGTTACACTTTTATTGGATAATGCTGGGTTCAAGTTCCACATCAATATAGAATAAGTTGTTCACATTCGGAAAGTGTTTGTGTTTTATCATTAAGAGAGTATGGAGGAGGGGAGCCTCAGTTTTTGCCCTTTGAACTTAACTCCCCAAACTTTGTTACTGGCTGAGAGCATGACTAGACTCTCATGTGCTGAAGTTGTTCCCTCCTGTCTACCCTACTCTGAACTAAGTGTGGTCAGTGGAGACGTTCTCTCTGTTAGTGGGGAGCATAGCCTCATACTATAAACCTGGTAGGTGTCCCGCAGGGTAGACAGATGAGAATCTTTGAGTTTGAGGGATTAAGCATCTTCTAGATCCCTGAACAATCAAATACACTTTATTTTTATGCTTTCTTGACCTGAAAGTAAAAATTTAGAACATTAAACCTAAGTAAAGAACAGAGGCACATTTGAAAGCAAAAATATTTCTGAAACCTTGGGACTGTATCTTTACAGTGTAAGAAAAAAATGTTATTAAGACTCAAATATTGATTTATCTACTTCAGAACAAAGAACTACACTGAGTCGTTTCTTTGGGTCAGTTTAATTTTATGTTTTAATTTTTTAATTTTGGGTCACTTTAACCTTAAGGTATAAAGTATTCATAAATACTCTGAAAGGGCTTATGTTAAGAATTGGAAAGAGCCCTGCCAGTTTACCTGTCAGTTGGATTATAGAAATTTTTGAAGTCATATTATAGCTTATTGCTAATATAAAAATTGTCAATAACTTGGTTTTATTTCCAATTTTCAGAAAAAGTGGTGTGAATATTTTATCCTAAATAATATAGATACTTTCGAATGTTGGAATCTGAATTTAATTCACCTTTGTGACTTAAGTGATGAGCTTTTGTTGAAGAACATTGCTTTTTACTATGAAAATGAAAATGTTCAAGGTACTACCTTTGTGTATTAAAATAATTATACTTTCATCCAGAGATAAATAATATAAAGAATTTAAACTTCAAAATCATTTTCCTGTGTTTCCTATATATTAATATAACATAGTTTTTCTCTTTTCATTTGTTTACTCATATGTATATTTTATTTAGCTGCAGCTAGAGTGAGTATTATATTTTAAAACTTCTCTTAACTTAATATTACTCCAGAAGCATTTAAAAAAAAATATTGGTAATTTAACAGTTGAATTTTTATTTAAATATATGCATAACATTTTTCTATAATATTTACTCTAATTAGTGTTATCATCCTACTACTATTAGATATTTAGGGAATTTTCTTAAAAGATAAAGCTCATTTATGCATTTATCATATGTGACTTGTTTCTTTTACTCCAAGTTCTTAGAATAACTTTTCTGTGGTTTCTTAAAGTAAAAAACAAACAAACAAACTCATTTTAAGAGACCTACAACTGATTGAGCATTATTGAACTTCCTATGAGCCCTAGTTTCGGTTCTTTCATATTGCAAGCATTGAAATGAATTGGCTGCATATAAGTTTAACAATCCTCTCTAATTTTCTCATTTCTGAAAAATCATAGTTTTATTCAGTTTTATTGGTTATAAAGTTATGTGTGGCGTAACATCTTTATTACTTAAATGATAATTGTTAAGATAGTTATAATTTTAATAGTAATAATAATTAATTTTAATTTTAATAATAACTAATTTTAATGAGTTATAATTTTAAATGATAATTGTTAGTTAAGATAGTTATAACTTTAGTACTTAGTTATAAAATAAGGAAATGATAAAATTTTAAGTGCACAATCTCATAGACAGCATTAAGTACCATTTTCATTTAGGTGCAGCATGGAGCTCACTGAAAATTTTACTGTTTTATAAGTATTTCAGAGCTCTATGAATTTAGTCAAAAGGTGTGTTTCTGTGTATATGTATTTCTATGTATGTGTGAATGACTTTTAATATTTAGTCTTTTTAACTATTATATAGGCCTACATTTGAATTTGGGAAATGTCATTATGAAGGATTATGAATATCTCTGGAATGCTGTATCAATGTTGGTCCGAAAGTTTGATGTTGGAAAGCCATTTCCTCTGAGAACAACAAAACTTAATTTTCTTGAAAAGAACCCATTACCAATCAAAGGTAATAAATCTCTAAATTAGTCTGAAATAAAAGCATTATTTCTCTGAAAATGTTTTGAAAGTACCACCAACTAAATGCTGCAAGTATAAATGATTTTCTGGCATTATGCAATTTAGTAATAAATTACCATGTTGTCATATCACCTGGGTAATATGCTGTGACTATAGTTTTGAAGTGTTATGTGTTTTTCTTGTAACTAATGTTGTGATTTATTTTTAAAAGCCAGATATATGTGACTTCCATTTTTCAAAAATTTGGCAGTATAGATCAAGTGATAATCTCCTGTGGGAATCTATTGAATTGCTGGATAAGAGATACTAAACATCTTTTTACATAATTATAGCTGAGCTCAAAGCAACAGAAGGGAAATCCCAGGGGCCAAAAATGAAGAAAGAGCCTGCTCTCTGAGTAATACCAAGTAAATTACTCCGAGCTTCTGGTTATCTATCCGCCCTCCCAAGAACCTGGTGCTCTAGTTTACTCCAGGAGCAGGGCCAAGACAACTCTAAGCCAGAAATGAACGTTCAGCGGTCAAAGGAATCTGGCAAATTCTCTGTAAAGGAGCACAAATAAACCCTGCTTTTATAGGATTTTCTGCCAACTATAAGTTTATAAAACAACAAAGGAAATAGGCCCTAAGAGAAACAATAAGCTGAAAAACTAGAACTCTTAAGTACTTCAGATTTTATAATTATCAAATGTAAAATATACTACATATGTGTTTAAAAATACTTAATGAAATAAAATATGATATTTGAAACATGAGGAAATAACAAAATACTATAAAACATCATTTATGTTTTAAAATAACCAAATTTGTAGGCATGCCAGTATTGTCAACAGAAGAAGTATTTCTATATGAGTATTAAGAAGAAGAAAATGATCCCAGAAGGACTATAAGAAAAAAAGCTAATGGGAATTTGGGGTGTATTGATATAAGGATATTTTTCATGATATGGAGAAAGAATATACAATACATATATTCTCCTTCCTTCTGTCAAAATGAGTTCCACCAGACAGCAACTTGAATGGAAGAAGTTTATTGGCCCCAGAAAGATCAAATAAGGGAATGGTAAGATTAGATAAGGAGAAGAGAATTCATGCAGGATGTATTAAAGAGTAGGTTTCCACTGTGGGCAACTACAGGTAAATTTTACAGGGAATCTCAGTCTTTTGCTTAGGGCTTTCTCTTTGGCATTAAATTCTTAACACTGCTCCATATGGGCTGTAAGATAAAAAGTGCTCAGGCAGAGAGTTAGAGAGCTTATAGTAGAAAGGTACTGGGCAACGGTAGAAACAGTGAACAAGTTGGTAACGGACAGAGAGCAATGTCAAGTTACCTAGAATTATGAACCAGATACTAAATAAAGCTTTTATTAACCAACTAGCATATATATGATATGTATGTGATATGTATGCTATCTACGTACCTACTTACCTACCTGCCTGCCTGCCTGCTTAAACGATGTTTATTTTTTATACTCTACTATGTTCCTAAATTTTTTAATATGGGAAATAGTTTTATTGGAAGGGCTGGGTTTGATAAATATAAATAAGATTAGTGAAAAATGTTTTTTAATGTAAAGTTTTAGAAAATAATGTGTAATAACCCTCTATGAGAGTTTCATGTTTGACCTTGTTTTAAAATTTTATTTGCTTACAGATACCTCCAAGGAAAAGATGCCCGATTTGGGTTTTATTCCAATGTCATCTGAAGTGGTTGATAAATTTGCTGGAGACATTTTGAAAGATTTGCCTTTCTTAAAGAGGTATAGGGCCAAAAGTAGCTCTACTCATACTTGTGTAGAATGGAGAATTAATCCTTAAAGATTCTTTGAAATGTAACAGCTTAGAGTATATTAGATGTAATATATGTTTGTAATGTATAATGAGTTTAATATCAAATTTATCAATGTCCTTTGGTCAATAGTAGGTGAAAATCAACATGGTTCTAATCTTAGAGTAAAATCACTCGAGCTCCATGTTTTTAATTAATGAATTAATGAATGGATATTTGTTGATGTTGATGGGGCTGTTAAAAACATGGAATGGATTCTGGGTTATTAAGCCTCTAATAAACTGTTCTTTCGATTCAACCATTTATATCATATCACAGAAAGAGGAAAGGGGGCTATGATTTTAAAAAATATTATTACAAAATGCAGTCTGTGTTATGTTATATTTGAAAGCATGCACTTTAAAATATGAATATATTTCTTTTTATCTCACAGGGATGATCCTAGTGTAAATTCACTGGTTAAACATAAGGAATTTGATGAACTTGTGCATTGGCATTCTCACAAGCCCCTCAGTGATGACTATGACAGGACAAAGTGCCATTTTGATGGTGAGCTCTGTGACTCTGGTGAAATAAATGAAAGTTAATTTCGCTCTCTGCCTTTTAGCTCATAATGAAATATTGGCATATTATGTGCTGCAAATTATATTTCTTGAGTAAGATTAGTCTAGAAGATACTGAGGTGCATGTCAGTAAAAATGGTGACAGAAGGTCCCATTTTGTTCCCTGACAGTCATATGAACACATGTATTGCAGGTGTCTTAGGAGGGAAGTAAGCAAGCATTGCATTTGTCCCCACAAAAGTTAGAAGCTGTCTTAAGCAAAGGATGTTTTTGAAGAAATCTGAGGTCAAAAAAATACTGAGATCATAGTCTTTAAAGTAATCGCAGCTGCTTTCACACCGCCCAGGTGACTGCATCTAACGAGCATGAGTATTTTATCTGCCTTCAAGCTCAGGATGGTAGGAACTGCAAATGGAGGCCCATGGGACCACTCATGGTAGAGCAACAGAGATTGAATTAGAGATCCTTGCTTGCGATTGAATTAGAGATCCTTGCTACATCTTGCCTTTGTCTACCCTGGTGCTCACTTCTACCCTCCTTCAGGCTGACAAAACTTACTTGCAGAACAATCTAAAAGTGTGCATTGTAAGCCTGCTTGCATGAAATACTTATCAGGCTGCTTGCTCACATCTTGCAGGATTGCTACCATGATCTTGCAAGATGTGAGGGGATCTTTTAGATTAATCATTAACATACTTCAGAGTGGTTTGATTTGCTGTAAGTAGATAGACATAAAAAATGAGCTTAGTTTTTCCCTTTAAGTGAGTATTATAGTTTTCCTTGGATAAAAGAGTAAGTTACATCTCAATTGTTAAGATTTCCTATGTTATTGGACTTTACCATAGTGCAAGTTTTTCTTGGCTAAGTTCTTGACTCTGTGGCTATGGTCTAGAGTAATGATTTTTCTATCAAGTGATGCAAGAAACCAGAATTTCCTGAATGAATATGTGCTTGACTCTACCTCTGCCCGCCTCTTATCTTTATTCACCGGGCACATGATGGAGGTAATGCCCAGAATCTATAATTCTTCCTAGCATCCTGATATTTGTTTTGAGAGGTAAACAGTGAAAGACTGCTTTGTCACTTACATCCTTTAAATAAAGTAAAGAATTATTCTATAGGCAAGAGGCAGCCTGAGTTCAACATTCCCTCTTTAACGAAGGTGAACAGTAAATTACTGCTTCGAACTAAAAAGAGAAGTACATGTTAAGGTGGGGTGAAGTGAATAATTTAGTGAGAATACTACTGAAAAAATGTAGTTATGCTACATTTAAGTCTTTTCTTTTTCAGAAAAATCTAGAGATCCTTATTTTCTTAGAGGTGTGCAAAAGTATAATGTTTTTCAGCGATTTTATGGAAGTTCATTAGAATCGATCTCTTCCAAAATCATTGTAACTCAAAATATCAAGCCAAAGAATTTCAGTGAACCCAAGAGTAAAAAGGCAAATGTAAGTTCTATAAATTCTATCAGAATGTTTTACTTTTCTTTTTGTCTCTTCTTAAGCTGATTTTTGTTCTGTCTCCGGTGGTTTCTTTAACATATATATAAAATATACTATAATAGATATATATGTATATATAATCACCTATTATTTTCTTTACTTGCTAAGATACTCTAAACTGCATATCTATACATATTAAATATATATATATTTTTAAAGTAAGACATGATGTGACCAAGGGCTTGGTTTTAGACATGCTGAAGCGCAACATGCAGTGCGACGTGTTGGGGGGGGTGCCGTGGGGCACTGCTGCTCATCCCTGGTCCGGGCAACTGCTGCCACGGGGCAGGACAGAGCCCGACGCGGGGAGCGTGGCACTGTGGGATCAGGGAGTTACTGTCCGGGGCCAGGTGAGAGAGGAGCGGGGACTCTGAGTCCTGCAGAGCCCGTCCTGAGGGTGTCACGGATGGGGGGAATAAACAGGAGTTGTCGCAAACAATTCTCTGTTTGCCAGGAGAGGGGACATGGCACATCCCCCTAGTGGGGAAGGCCCAGAGTCCCTTTGTCCAAAGGCTTTTATTGAAAGGGTTATCAGTGGGGCCAGGTAACAGGAATGCACGGGCTATCTCATTACATCAGTATGTTAATGTTTACAGAGAATAGGTGATGCTTTGAAGAAAATAAATGGCAGGAACACACCAATTTACATGGGTCTGAGAGGAGGCCAGTAAACAAGAGAGACGACTAAACGTGAGAGCATAGTAAACATGAGTGCCTAAGGGTATAGGGTTAGGGTCTGTGAATAATGTAAATTTCCTTCCCAGCATGAGCTGCCTATAGCTTCTGAGGGAAGAACAGAGCACACTTTAAAGAATTTACTGTTAGGCCTGAGTTGCCTGGGAGCCGCCAGATCTGGTTTAGGACTGACTCCTGTGTTGTTTCAAGCCTGAGCCAGGCAGGGGGAGGGAACCGCCAAGAGACAAGGAGACTTCTTTCCGATAGAATGAGGACTCTGGCTATGTCCAAGCCAAGCCGAGGGATGCGGACCTTTTTGCCCTTTCTCCATGTCCCCCAATTTCTTGTCTGCCTCCCATACCGATCGATGTCTGGCTTAGGCTGTTATCTCTGCAAGAGATAACTTACCCATCACCAACAAGCAACCATCACAGGGGCAAGCAGAGTGGCAGGAGCTACGCCCCTGCTAGGGGGGACAGGTTATATCTCCTCTGACCTGTTTCTCCAAGGCCTCCTTGAAGATTTCCAGCTGTGGGGCCTTCCAGCCTGTCTGCGGGGTTACAGTTCCTGAAACCAGACTTGGGGTTTCCCAACATTGAAGTAACAGTAAAAATATAGCTCTTTGGGAGTTCTGGTTCAAGATGGCAACATATATGAGATCCCTAAACTCATCTCCTCCCATGGACACAGTGAATTTAGAGCTATCTTAATTATTCTCTTTACAACCTCCTCTGAAGGAAATCCAGAAACTAGCTGAGTGACTCCTGCACATTGGGTGAATGAGAAAAACACCCAAGAAAACAGAAAGAGGCTGAGACATATTCTTGCAGTAAACCCCACCTCCAACACAGTGACATACAGGGTGGAGCAAAAGTAGGTTTATAGTCATTCATATGGAAAATAATATAATAATTAAATAATACAAGAATAAACTCCATGTTTTGCAGACTCACAACCGTAAACATACTTTTGTCCCACGCTGTAAAATTAGGAGGGAACTCATAATTCTCATCTCTCCCTCAGAAGGGAAGGGTTTGGACCCAAAATCTAGTACCGCAACTTTTAATGGACCCCCAAAACATCTACTCTGAGTGCCAGAATTGGCTTGTTCCCACAAGACCCACAAGACTATAGCAAACAAAGACATGGTTCTTAACAGGCTTGTGCTATCCTTGCCTAGCTACCCCCAGGGCTCAGCCAGAGGCAGCAGACTGAAATGCCTATCTCCCATTCTTTCCCTGAAAGAGGCTAATTTCATACTTTAAAAGCTGCTGCCTGAGGGCCAGTCTTCTCATCTCTATATTCTCCCTCTGGCCTGCTCCAGGTGGACAATGTAATAATGTAAATAAATGCAAGATGTTTTGCCTAAGTCAAGTGGTAACCACAAAGCTAAAACCCAAACAAAACACACAAAAGAGAAAAAGAAAGAAATCTAAGTATACCACTGTAGAAAATTATTAAATCACAAAGGAAGAGACAAAGAGAAGAAGGGAACAAAGGAATTATAATAGCATCCAGAAAAAGATGTAAAAAATGGTAATTGTAAATCAGTACCTGTTAATAATTATTTTAAAGGCAAATGGACTAAATTATCCATTCAAAAGACATAGACTGGCAAATGAATAACAGCAAAAGACCCAACTATATGCTGCCTACAAGAGACTCACTTTTGCTTTAAGAACAAACAGACTGAAAGTAAAAGGATGGAAAAAAAAAACATCCCATGCAAATGAAAACCAAAAGAAAGCAGGAGTAGCTATACTTACGCTAGAGAACATGGACTTTAAGTTAGAGGCTGAAATAAGAGAGAAAAAAGGTCATTATATAATAATAAAAGTAAAAACCTGAAAGATTTTTCTCTAAGACCAGAAATAAGACAAGAAAGCCCACTTTTGCCACTTTTATTCAAAATAGTACTGAAAGTCCCAGCTAGAGCAATTAGGCAAGAAAAAGAAATAAAGGGCATCCTAGCTGAAAAAAAAGTACTAAAACTGTCTCTGTTTGCAGAAGACATGATAGCATATGTAAAAACAAAAGAAAACAAAACAAAGCCTAAAGACTCCACTAAAAAACTGTTAGAATCAATAAATAAATTCAGGAAAGTTGCAGGTATAAATCAATATACCAAAATCTGTTCCATTTCTGTACACTAATCATGAATTATCAGAAAGAGAAATTTAGAAAACAGTCCAGTTTACAATTGCATCAACAAGAATAAAATACTTAGAAATAAATTTAACCAAGCAGGTAAAAGACCCATATACTAAAAATTATGTAACATTGATGAAAGAAATTAAGGAAGAAACAAAGAAATGGAAAGACATTCCATGCTTCTGGATGGAAAGAATTAGTATTATTAAAATGTCCATACTACCTAAAACAATCTACAGAGTGAATGCAATCACTATCAAGATTCCAATGGCATTTTTTACAGAAATAGAACAAACAATTCTTACACGTAAAATCTAAAAAAAAAAAAGTGAAACTTTTAGAAACAGTAGATAAGTTGCCAGGGGCTGGGAGTTGGAGGATATAAGGAGAGATTAGTGAAAAGGTACAAACTTTTCAGCTCTAAGAGGAATAATGTCTGAAGAGCTAATGTAAAACATTATTACTGTAGTTGATAACATTGTACTGCATCATTGAAATTTGCTAAGAGAGTAGGTGTTAAATGTTCTTGCCAAAAATAAATAAATAAGTAAGTAAATAAATAAATAAAGTGATGGGTGGGCTAACTGACTCAATGTGAGGAATCCTTCCAAAATGTATATGTATATCAAATTACCTTGATGTACACTTTAAGTATCTTATAATGTTATTTGGCAAGTATGCCTCAATAAAGCTGAAATTTAAAAAAGAAAGTCCAAGAAGAAATGAGGATATTTGTTCTAATAATAAAAAAGTCCCTTCCCCAAGCCCAGCTAGGTGGTCATTATTTTTCTCTTAGCCATGATCACCTTTTTCATAGCCAATTTTATTATTAATAAGACCATCTAATTACAGCTTTTTCTGTTTCGTTTATTGCTACCAAGAAGCTGCTGCTGCTGTTCCTCCCCCCCTCCTTTTTTCTTCTTCCTCCTCCTTCTGTCCCTCTTCTCCCTCCTGTTCCTCCTTCTCCTCTTCCTCTTCTTCTTCCTCTTCTTCCACTTCTGCTTCTTCTCCTCCTCCTTCCTCTTTTTCCTCTTCCTTCTCTTCTTTTTCTCCTCCTTCTTCTTGTCATTATAAAATGTCAAGTTTGGAAAAATCCTCATTACATAGTGCAAGTTATAAAGACTGAAAAAAGTTCAGCTTTTTTCTTCTGCATTGTTAGAAATTAAATAATCTCATGGTAATTAAACATCCTTAGCACTATATAAGTGTGTTCTTCTAGCAGCAGTTTAATAAATGTGCATATTCAAGATAGAAGCATTTTCCATGGCAAAGAAGCAAGGGTCGTCCTTGTCCTATTGAGATAGAACCATGCTGAGTTAACCCAAGGCAGTGCATTTGGAAGATTAAAACATTAGGAAACCTCAATATTTGATTAGAATTAAGCACTGAGAAAGTGATAGCAACTAAAGTTGACTTCATTATAGGCAAAATTTAGATATTAGTTTAATGACTAGCCAGAATAGTGGAAGGTTCGTGAGAATTCTTTTGTGAATACAATTTTCTAACTTGTCTTTGTACATTAATAAGCCAAAGTGGTAAAAGTGGCACCATATTGTGTTTAAGTCAATTAAAAATGCATATCTAGATAGGGCAAATCATTTTTATTTATATTGTTTCTTCTATTTGCTCCTTTCCTTCATTTCCTTTCTATTTCCTCACTCACTCATCAAACATTATGAACTAAATATTTCGGCTTGGGACAGACAACAACTTTCACACATTGTTGTTTCAAGGACATTCATCTAAAGAGGAAGTATGACAAATATAATCATAGCTATAATACATACGATGAGTGTTTTGATAGTGCTTTGATTCCCAGGAAGAGGAGGGACATGTGACCTAGCTGTAGAGTTAGGAAAAGACTTCCTATAAGAAATATCCTGAGGGACAAGTAAGAGATAGAGAGGTGACCATGGAGGAATGGAGAAGGAAACCAATTTTAGAGACAACAGCAGAAACCAGTGCATTGGAGACATGAAAAATAGTGGCTTGGTATTTCTGATGTTACTGTATTTACTCTTTGATTTATAATCTACACCACCCAGAAACCTAAAAAATTATCTCCATGGAGTCTTTGTACTCATTAAATTGTCATAAGTTTTCAATTAAAAGAGGTTTTAATTTTAAGAAACAGACACAAACTAAAATTGTGCCTATTCAGGAATGGGATGATGGTAAAAATAATCTATATATACTTAAATATATTGTCTCATTCTTGAAATATCATCTAGGAATGTTTCTACCTTGAGTCATGGTGTGTTTCTTTTCTTTTGGGGCAGGAGTCAAAGGCTGAAATAATTACTAGAGAGAATAAGAAGAGGTTATTTGCCAAGGAAGAACAAAAAGAAGAGAAAAAATGGAATGTTCTATCATTTTCCATTGAGGAAAAAATGAAAGAGAATTTAAACTCTGGAATACAGAACCTGGAAGATTTTTTGAAATCATGTAAAAGTAACTCAGTGAAATATCGAGTTGAAATTTTCGGGTTAACTGCCTGCTTGAAAGCATGGAAAGAACACTGTAGTAGCCAAGGAAAAGGTTTGTGATATAAATATATAAATATATGATTATGTAAATATATTTATATGCTGTATATGTGTATATATACACACACACTTAATCCTCACCCGAGGATATGTTTATTGATTTTAAAGAGAAAGGAAGGGAGAGGGAAAGACAGAGACATCGATGTGAGAGAGAACCATGGATTAGTTGCCTCCCATATGTGCCTCAAGCGGGGATCGAATCTGTGACTTTTTGGTATATGGAACGGTGTTCCAACCAACTGAGCCACCTGGCCAGGGCTGTATTTTTTATTTTGATGAATTGGAGAATTAATAAAAATACAGTGATGATAGTTGTCACTTAGTAACTGGAAATTTGTGTTAGAAGGCTTAGACACATTATCTGATTTTATTGTTATAAAATTCCTCTAAGTATTCTTGCCTCTACTTTATCAATGAGCAGTGGAATCTTAGAGTGGGTTCCAGTAACAATATTGAGCACATTCACAAACAAATTCAAATCAAATCACAATCAAAGATGGGTTTGAAAAATACTGTTAGCAAATTTGTGGGATTGGTTAAGGGAACCAGCAAAGATGGGGAAGCACCCAGGGAGAATCTGTCGTTCATCTTTGAGGTCTGAAGTATAAACATTTTCTTTCTGGGTAAAACTGGGATCATGTTAGCATGCTGAGTTCTTCCAAAAGTTGCTGTGGTTCTATGCACTCTACAGTTGCTAGAGGAGATAGTAGTAAAGAAAAGGACAGGAAGAAGATGATAAAGGAGACATATAAATTGATAGCAAGTACAATGATTATGTTCCATACTTCCAAACTGACAATTCTTTTGAGTAAACCTAACTGATGTCAGTCCTGAGCATCTCCACACTTGAATCCATTTAACACATGGTCACCAGGTTCTTTTTTTTTTTCCACACTGTCCTTTTATTACCTGCAAACTGCTCTATCATATAGATTTTATTAGAGTGAAGAACTAGGACTTGGCTTATATGTTTGTCCCAAACCAACATGTTGTATCAGGATTTAAGCTGGGTGTTACTAAGAGAGATCGGAATTGATGATAACATACCCTCCTGAAGAGTAAGAATTCTGTACTAAATTTCTTTTGTAGTTTCTTATAGCATTTAGTCGATGTTTGGTAATATCTGTTTAGTTAATGGGAAGACAGTTGGAATCAATAACAGCCTTAAAGTGGTAAGTATGGAAAGATGAGCAGTGAAGAGGAAAAAAAAAGTTATATATGACTGTACAGAAAGGCAGAGGAATTAGCCAAGTCTGTATCCTGAAGTTGTATTAGGCTGATTGAATTGAGAGGCTCCAACAATTATGCCACATGCTTACCTATGGTCAACAATAGGCCTTAGTCAATGTTGCTAAGTTTTAACCAGATATTTAAAGTTATCCAAATATTTTTCTTTGAACATAGTAGAGAAGGCATGAAAATAATAGGTGAAAAAATATTTGTTGTTCCCCAGAACTTATCCAAACTTGAGCTTTAATGATCTATTTCTATCATGAGCTATAAGATTTTTTCTTTTTCTCCAGCACTTCCACAGCTACTTCTCCATTATCCATGGAGATGAAGAAGTGTGTATGGTTGCACTTCGATATTATTTTATTTAGTGCTCTGCGTTCCAAACCTCCATTATTGTTAAATAAGATAGTGGATTTAATTAGGTCAGATTGATAGCTTACATAACTAATCTCAGATAATAAAATTTATTATTTTTGGTGGTCTTCATAACAATTTTATTGTGTATTATTTGTTAAGGTGAAACCACAAAAGATGTAAGTATAGCTGTTCAAATGATAAAAAGGATCCATTCCTTGATGGAAAAATACCCAGAACTTTTGCAAGAGGCAGATCAGCAGCTTATTGCCAGATGCCTTAAGTATTTAGGATTTGATGACTTGGCAAGTTCTTTATATCCAACCAAGGTAATGTATTCAGAATAGCTCCATCTTAATAGAGTAATTACTAAGTATACATAAAGTATCTTGCAAATACAGCCACCTCTTCTAGATTTTTTTTAACCGAATATATTTAATCTGTATTCATAATCATTATTGACTATCCAACCACCCAAATTTGAAGTAATCTAGAAACAGAAAGCTTGTTCAAATGCTTGTTTGGACAAAATAATAAATGCCAGATAATCTCTGCAGACCCTTAAAACTAATTCTGTGTTTAATTATAACAAAGAATTTAAACACTATATTCTGATACTTCAATTGTCTTTAAATATATCAAATTGTAGCTACAAGCAGCATGATGGATATTTGAAAATCTTGATGTCTGTTCATTTATTCATAGTAAAGATGATTAGGTGGTAAAAGACTTCAGTAAATATTACAAAATTTTTAAAGTGGTAAAATAATTTTCTCATAAAAGTGCTAGTAATAAATATTTTAATTACTTAAAGGATGTTATAGTTTAAAATCACTTTCAAAACATACTTTTAAAATAATATAGGTTGCAGGAGATGACATAAAAAGGAAGATAAAGAATAAATATTCAATTGGCATTGGGCCCGTTCGGTTTCAACTGCAATACATGGGTCATTATCTGATACGAGATGAGAGAAAAGATCCAGATCCCAGAGTTCAAGATTTTATTCCTGACACATGGCAGGTAACTATTGAATGAAAGAACCATTTTTGTATTTTATTATTAAATGTGATCTCAGGAGCTTTTCATTATTGTGGCTCTATGTTGACATTTGCCTTAACTTTTTAATATTGAGCCGTATCATTTCAAATTGTTTTGTCATTGGGAATGTCAGATGTTGACTTTATTTCAACTTAAAGGAAGTGAAGCTTTCGTTTTGTTCATTTTTTAAAAATAATATGCCATTTCCTTGGAGGTTCTATGATGAATTCACACATACATATTTGAAGTTGCATGTCTTCCAGTTGTATCATGGGTCAGCCTCCAAGGTTTCCATGTATCTGTAGGACTTCATATGTAAATATATAAATGTGCACAGAGGAATTTGGTAGCTAAACTATGTGGACAATAGCTATTTGCATGCCTCATCTGTCACCATAACTGCTATTCTTCTATAAATAAATATAAAATGAATATTTATAGATATAAAATTTGGAATAAAATGGTGTGTTTCTGCATAGATTTGAACCATATAAAATTGCTGGTAAGTTGAACATGTTTACCTAAAAAAAGTGCAGTTGCATAGGTTCAGTCTAATAGACTGTCCTATTCAGAATTGGACTTCATCGTTTTTGTTTCATTTTGAGGAAGTTAATATCAGAAATATTTACTTTTATGTTATATGGCATTTTCTTTTTTTTTTTTCAACTTTTTTTTTTTTTCAAATACATTTGTCTCTGCCTACCCCCCACCACTTTCCCTTGCCTCCTCTCTCTCCTTCCCTCCCTCAGCTCTTCCCCTTTGGTTTTGTCCATGAGTCCTTGCTATATGTTCCTTGACTTGCCCCTTCCCTTCCTTTTCCCCGCTCCCCCCCTTCCCTCTTGTCTCTGTTGGTTTCTTTTCCTTTCAGTGTTGGCTGGTCTTATTTTCCTTGCATCTTTGTATTGTTGGTTAGGTTCCACTTATAGGTGAGATCATATGGTATTTGTCTTTCGCCCCTGGCTTATTTCGCTTAGCATGATGCTCTCCAGTTCCATCCATGCTGTCGTGAAGTTTAGTAGTTTTTTTTCTTTCCGCTGCGTAGCATTCCATTGTGTATATGTACCATAATTTTTGATCCAGTCATCTACTGATGGGCATTTAGGTTGCTTCCAACACTTGGCTATTGTAAATTGTGCTGCTATGAACATTGGGGTGCATAGGTTCTTTTGTATTGGCGTTCTGGTATTCTTAGGGTATAGTCCCAGCAGGGGAATCACTGTATCAAAAGGCAGTTCCATTTTCAGCTTTTTGAGGAAATTCCACACTGCTTTCCCCAGTGGCTGCACCAGTCTGCATTCCCACCAACATTGTACTAGGGTTCCCTTTTCTCCACAACCTCGCCAGCACCTGTTGTTTGTTGATCTGTTTATGATGGCCATTCTGACCGGTGTGAGGTGGTACCTCATGGTGGTTTTGATCTGCATTTCTCTGATGGCTAGTGATGCTGAGCATCCTTTCAAATGCCTCTGGGCCCTCTGTATCTCCTCCTTGGAAAACCGTCTGCCCAGGTCCTTTGCCCATTTTTTGATTGGATCGTTTGTCTTGTTGGAGTGGAGTCGAGTGAGTTCTTTATATATCTTGGAGATCAAACCTCTATCTGTTGTATCATTAGCAAATATATTTTCCCATAGTGTTGGCTCCCTTTTCATTTTGCTGATGTTTTCTTTAGCCATGCAGAAGCTTCTTATTTTTATGAGGTCCCACTTGTTTATTCTTTCCTTTATGTCCCTTGCTTTAGGAGACATATCAGTGAAAAAATTGCTGCGTGGGGTATCTGAGAGTTTCCTGCCAATGTTCTCCTCTAGGACTTTTATGGTGTTGCAACTTATATTGAAGTCTTTTATCCATCTTGAGTTTATTTTTGTGTATGGTGTCAGCTGATGATCTAATTTCAATTTTTTGCATGTAGCCATCCAGCTCTCCCAACACCATTTGTTGAAGAGACTATTATTGTTCCATTTTATGCTTCTGCCCCCTTTGTCAAATATTAGCTGCCCATAGGGACCTGGGCTTATTTCTGGGCTTTCTATTCTGTTCCTCTGGTCTATGGATCTGTTCTTGTGCCAGTACCAGATTGTTTTGAGTGTAGTGGCTTTGTAGTTTAATCCACAAAGTCAGGAAATCTAGACAGCCCAATTGAAGCAGAAGCAAAAACAAATAAATAAATAAATAAATTACTTAACAGACTCTCACAAAAATGGGAGGAAAAAGAAGTTCCCCCCAAATGAGTGGAAAAGGGGACTCCCTACAGAGAGAGCTAAATGAAATAGAGGCAAGGGAACTATCAGATATTGAATTCAAAACAATTGTTCTAAGGAAGCTCAATGAGCTCAGCCAGCTCAAAGATAACTATGAGAAACTACAGAGAAACTATCAGGATCTTACAACAAACTGTATCAGCCTGGAAAAGGACAAAGGAACTATCAAGAAGACACAAGAGGATATGAAGAATACCATTTCTGAATTGAAGAACACAGTAGAAGGAATCCAAAGCAGGCTGGATGAAGCCGAGGATCGACCAGAGAGATGGAAGGATAAGGTAGAAAAAAGCTCCTAGAAAGAACAAGAAATGGAAAAAAGACTCAAGAAGAATGAAGAGGCATTTAGGGAAATGCAGGACAACCTGAAATGCAATAATATCTGTATAATAGGGATACCAGAAGGAGAAGAAGAGGAGCAAGGGCATTTTCTTTCTGGGACAATTTAGTGTTGATGTTTTCTTAAACTTAGCACCAAAATGAAAAACATTATCTCTATGGGGTGTGTCCTGAAGATTTAGCTTTGGAGAATCAGAGGAATTCAGAGTGAGATAAGAGACACTTATTTTGCACCAATGTTGCACTCACCCCGAGGCCCAGTCCTGCCCGCCAATGCCTTGCCATTTGCCTAGACTGATGCCTTTAGGTTTACATTTCTGGTCTTGGGCATTTTTTCCCCATGCATAGATTTCACAGTCAGAGCCTAGATAGTTGTACATATTCTCTAATTCCCCACAGAAATTTAATCTCCTATGATTCCTTCTAATTTAGGATAATCTAACCCTAGTCATTATTGTGGAGGTCCAATTTTTTTCTTGACATGATTTTTATTCATTTATTTTAAATTGCTTTATTTTAATACCTGCTTCACTCATTTTTGTCCCATTCCTCAGCCTTACCTCTTGCTCTTTGGCAACCAACAATCTGAGCTTTGGTTTTTGTTTTGTTTTTTCTTTCTTTTAGATTCCACATATAAGAGAGACAATATAGTGTTATCTTTGACTGACATTTCACTAAACATGATGATGATCTCACGGTCCATCCATGAAGTTGCAAATGACAAGATTTCAATTTTTATGGCTTAATATTGATAGTATTCTATTGTGCATATACATATACACAATGCGTATATACATATATACCGCAGTTTTTTTTATTCATTTAATCATTGATGGACATTTAGGTCATTTTCATGTCTTGACTATTGTAAATAATGCTTCAGTAAATGTGGGGGTGCATGTATCTTTTCCAGTTATTGTTACTGCTTTCTTCCAATAAATACCCAGAAATGGAATTGCTGTATCATATGATAGTTGTACTTTTAAGTTTTAAGACACTTCCACACAGTTTTTCATAGTGGCTGCCCAAATTTACATTCTTACCAATAATGCAGAAAATGTCCCTTTTCTCTGTATTCTACCAATACTTGTTATTTGTTGTCTTTCTGATTAATAGTCATTCTGACAGGTGTGAAGTGGTATCTCATTGTGGTTTTTGATTTGTATTCCTCTGATTATTAGTGATGTTGAACTTCTCTTCAAGTGCCTCTTGGCCATCTGTAAATCTCCTCTGAAAAAATGTCTGTACAGATTCTCTGCCCATTTTGTAATTGGATTTTTTTGCTTCCACATAGCTCTTGTATGAGTTCTTTGTTATTTTGGATATTAACCCTTTATCAGATATGTAACTTGTAAGTATTTTCTCCCATTCAGTAGTTGCCCTTTCATTTTGTTGATGGCTTCCTTTGCTATGCAAAAGCTTCTTAGTTTGACGTGGCCAACTTGTTTTTGCTTTTGTTGCCTTTGTTTTTGATGCTAGATTAAGAAAATCATTGCCAAGTCCTATGTCAAGGAGCTTAACACCCAAGTTTTCTTCAAGGAATTTTATGGTTTCAGGCCTTAAATTTAAGTCTTTAATTCATTTTCAGTTAATTTTTTTTATGGTATAAGATAGTGTTTCATTTTCAGTCTTTTGCGTATAGCTGTCCAGTTTCCCCAACACCATTCATTGAGACTGTCCTTTCCCCATTGTACATTCTTGGCTCCTTTTTCATAAATTAATTGACCATGTATGCATGGATTTATTCTTTACTATTTGGCTTTCCATTTGTTCTACTGATCTGTGTGTCTGTTTTTCTGCCAATGCCATACTCTTGATTGGTATACCTTTGTAATATAGTTTGCAATCAGGAAGCATGATACCTCTAGCTTTGTTCTTTCTCAGGGTTACTTTGGCTGTTCAGAGTCCTTTGTGGCTGCATTCAAATTTTAGGATTATGTATTTTATTTCTGTGAAAAATGCCAGTGGAATTTTGATAAGGGTTATATTGAATATGTAGATGGCTTTGGGCAATATGGACATTTTAACAATATTAATTCTTCTAATTTATGAGCATAGAGTATCTATACTTATTTGTATCTTCTTTCATTAATGTCTTGTAGTTTTAAATATACAGATCTTTCACTTCCTTGGTTAAATTTATTTCTCAGTAGTTTGCGCTTTTCAATGCAATTGTAAATGGGCTTGTTATCCTAATTCCTCTTTCTTATAACTTGTTAGTATATAGAAATGCAACAGATTTTGTATATTGATTTTGTATCCAGCAACTTGTTTTGAGTTCTAGCAGTGTTTTGATGGAGTCCTTGTCGTTATCTACTTTCCTTGTAGAACTGCTTTTGCTGCATCCCATAAATTTGATGTGTTATATTTACATTTTTATTTGACTCAAATTGTTTTTGTATTTTTCTTTTGATTTATTCTCTGACCCACTGGTTGTTGAGTGGCATATTGCTTAATCTTCCCATACCTGTGAAATTTTCCACTTTTCTTTGTGTAATTGATTTCTAGTTTCATACCATTTTTGTTGGTCATGCTTGATATTGCTTTATCTTTCTTAGGTTGATGAACCAGTGCTCACTGCAATGTGGGGTAGAAGGCAGTCATGTGCTCTTCATTAACCCCACAGTCTTTGTGATTCTTTTGATGCTCCCTTCACTCTGAGCTGTGTCTCAGAGTGAACATAGATTAAGAGAATGTGCGTATTTGGGCTCTGGGTAGTTCCCCCCACCACACATACCTCCCACCATGCAGGCCTCTTTGAGCAGTCATCATTTTGATGAATAAAAGGATGGGCTGCAGTGATGAAGATCCCACATGCCCTTCAAAGTGGGTGCTGGAAGTTTTCTATATAGGAATTAGAAGATACGTAATAAAATAATGAATCATTTTCTTTTCCTCTTCAGCTGTTTTTTTTACTGTCATAAAAATATATACCGGCTACTTCTTAGAACTGAATTTCGCAAAGCTATTCTGAACTTAATCAATGACAAATAATTAGAAAAAAGGTCTTAATAACAAGATACTTTATTTGAACTCCCACTCCATTTTTCACCCACAAACACACCTCTAGTTGTTCAAAAGCATAACAGTTCTCTCTTTTGAGAGAATCATAAATTCTTTAGATTTTTCTATACATCTCTTCATGTGTTTGCAGCTCCCAATCATTCCTTTTGAGGTTCAGGAAATTATATGGAAAGGATAGTAATAGATTTGTTTTGGTAGCATGCTCTTGCCGTTACTAATGCCAGTGATGCTGTGAACCCTGCAGCGAGAGCTCCTCGATGTTGTGGATAACAATGAATCAGCCGTGATTGTTGCCCCAACGTCCTCAGGCAAAACCTACGTTTCCTACTACTGCATGGAGAAAGTGCTGAAGGAGAGCAATGAAGGGGTGGTTGTGTATGTCGCACCAACAAAGGTAGTGCTCAAGTGACTTTAATTTGCTCTTTCGTTCTTGAACCTCCTCTTTTTAAATAATGGATGTAGTCAAGGGGTGAATTTGTTTCACTTTGTATGTATTCACTGTCCGGTTTTATTGAGATATAATTGACATATAATATTGTACTACTTAAAATGTACAACAAAATGATTTGACATATGTATATATTGTGAAATAATTACCACAATAAGTTTAATTAATATCCGTTGCCTCAAATAGTTACATTTTTTTCTTCTTGTAATGTAAACTTTTAAGATCTACTCTCTTCACAGCTTTCAGGAATACAATACAGTGTTATTAACCATTGTCCCCATGCTGTACATGACAGCTCCAAAACTTTGTATCTTACATTTGAAAGGTTGCACCTTTGGCCACCTTTACGCATTTCGTCCAGCCCCCATCCCTGCCTCTGGCAACCAAATCTGTCCTGTGTGTCTATGATTTAATTGATTTTTAACCTTGTAGGTTATTTTCTTTTTTTAGTTTCAGAGACCAAAATAATACGTTCCTTAAGAGCCGCTGAGATGAAAAGTCTGGTCTTGTTATCTTGTCATTCAGCATTAGGCTTGAATTGAGAGAAGCACCCACACTTTGCTGAGCGATGTTCAGTCTCTTAAGAACCTCATGCGGCCTCTGCAGAGTTTATGAGATTTATCTAAACTGCCGCTGGGCCATAGTGGCTGCTCTGTTTCTCAAGCCAGGTTGTTTTGTAATATTTATTTTTTGTCTACAACTCATAATGGTGAATTTAAAAACAGAAAGTATGATTTTTATCATTTAGGAGAAGGTTTGATGTACCTTCAGGAATTATGAATTTGCATGTCCTCCTTTACAGCCGTTTGTTTTAAATGGGATTACACTTGAGAAAGGCAAATTTAGTTGGGATAACTTCAATGTACAGATTAACGTGAATTCAGACTCTATTTTATTTTCTAAGATAATGTGTAGTGTTGAGTGACTTGTGGTCAGCCTCAGAACCAGATTGATCAATATATTAGTTGAAATTAGCACTTTACCTGTACTTTATTATGTGATTAATAGATCTGTTTCCTTGTCAATTAGGCCCTCGTTAATCAAGTGGCAGCAACTGTTCATAATCGTTATACCAAAAATTTGCCAAATGGTCAATGTCTATGTGGTGTGTTTACAAGGGATTATCGTCACAATGCCCTAAACTGTCAGGTAGGATATATTAATGCTTTTGTTATCAAATTTTATAAGGGTACTTACATGTCTTTTTCACTTGAAATTCAGCATCTTCACAGGCCTTATGGAAATTATTTTATTGAATTTACCAAAGATGAAATATCTTTAGAGAAAATACAATATTGATACATTTTAAAGAGTGGGTAATAGATGGACACTTAAATTTTGATTTCAGATTTCACTTATAGGTCATTGTATCACCTTGGTTTATAACTTGGTTCAAAGTGATATGAATTAACCCGATGTTATAAAAAATTAACAAACACCAGTTTCCAATCAGAATGACTTTTTCTTGCTAAGTAGGATTCTCTCACTTTTCTTGATGAGTAGAATACTCATTGTAATCCTTTAAATGTTGTGTTATGGATAGAAAATTGGGCTTTAAGCAAATCCTGGACAGTGTTTTCCTCCTTATCAAACTCATAGATAAGCAAATAAGACTAAACAAAAAGTAAAAACATGATTACAGAACATTGCATGGCAGACATGAAGATGTGCTACCCAGATCACCTTTCAAGGAAGGACTTGCTGCTCAGATGTGGAAGTGTGGTCAACACATACACCAGCTGTCAGTTCCCCAGTTCTGCCTCCTTAGTTTGTATCCTGTGACTGAGCTAGGTTCGGTTATAAACACCAGGCCATGCTGACTTCATGTGGAATTGCTCTGACAGCCAACATTCAACTCTAGAACTCTGAGCCAAGGCTCAGGCTTCTGGTTCAGGCTTCATTCGGCCTATTTTGAAGTTCAGTTCTCCCTCTGCCCTGTCTTGCTTCCCTACACTTCCATTGCTGTTGATTCTTCATGAATGTTTTTCAACCTAAGCTGTATCTCAGTGTCAGATTTTAAATAAACCTATAAACCTGTGACAATTAACTCTTTTTACTTTTATTACTTTGAATACTCGTAAATAAGAATTTAAATTTAAAATCTGATATTTTACCATTTTGACTTATAAAATTGCAGTTTCATAAGTTTCTAAGTATATATATATTATAATTTTAGTGACACACTCTCAGAAGCAATACTATATCCTATTTTTCAGCTGGTACATTCAGGAGTTATGACTCTGTCTTTTATATTCTTATAACTATGTTTATAATTAATAAATGCCCAAAATGTTTATTTATACAATGTTCTTTATTTTAGGTACTTATTACAGTGCCTGCTTGTCTTGAAATTCTGCTGTTAGCACCTCATCGCCAAACATGGGTGAAAAGGATCAGATACGTTATATTTGATGAGGTAGATTTGGTATTATTCCTTGGGGTTAATTTCCTAGTGTATATGAACGTAGAATAAAGATCTTTGGTACTTCAGGACATTTGTCCCTTTGTATGGAGTTCAGGTTTGGGTGGCACTTCCTTCTGAATGTTTTTTTGGTGAACCATACTCCATAATGTGGCTCCATTTTCCTCGTGTGACTCAGTAGGGTGTATCGGTAATGCTGCAGAGCTCTGTTTGGGATGGAAATCTTTCACTGGTGTGACCATTGTTTCAGAGGAGCAGAAATAACCAGCATGGCATAAATTTTCCAGAGATGTCAAAATTCAGTCTTTAATCTCTAAAGCAAAGAATTCGGGCTCTAACAATGATGTCACTTATGTAAGTTATTTTATCAGTCATGGTTCCAACTGAAAAGAAGTGGCACACTTAAAATACAATTCAAAAAGAGTGTTTTCCAGAGGTGTTCATAAAGGAAACTATAAAGGTGAGCGCAGTAATTCAGAGCTAGTAGCTTACCCCTAGATTTAAAGGGACAAGGCAAAGAAGCAGATACTGAGACTCAAAAGGACATGCCAATATGAGGAGGATGGCTCCTCATATGTGGCCAGCTCATATGAGGATGAAGGGCATAGGTGGCTCAAGGTAACCTTCCAGGAAGGGAGGCAACAGAATAAAGACCTCATTCTTTCCCCTCCCTTCTGACCACTTGCCAAGGCTCTCCTTTAACCAAATATAATGGAACTAGAGACCACTGGAGATTTATAGGGGCAAATGGAAGATATTGAGAACCTTTTATAACAGTATTATTAGGAACATTTACTCAAAGAAACTTAAAACATTATAAAAGGATATATTGCTTCAAGGAATTTCCAGTTTAAAGGGGAAAAAGATGATGTCTTTATTTAACTTAACTTGTTATAAACTTGGAGCTTCCAAGCAGGCTGTGCTTTTGATTTGTCTGACCCTGATTTTTGGTTAATCTCTAAGTATTGCATCTTGAGGGCCTTGAATATTCCTGTTCGAAAAACATCTAGCCACTTCGTCTTTGCAATCTAGAATGTTGAATTGTACTTTAACCTCAGAACTATGAACATTTTTATACAAGGGTAAAGCTGAAAGGTTTTGAAGGCTAACATTCTGGTAGGATCAGGAAATGTGCTATCTAGTACAAAGCGCAAAGTTTGTATTCAGCCGAGTGGTATGTTATTGGACCAGGGAAAAGCCAAACGGGTAGTGATAAAAGAAGTTTAATTATCTTAAGCCTTTTCCAATTAATTGCCAGGTGTCATACCTTAATCTATTTAAGGAGGACCACACTTGAGAATCTTCTCTGAATATATATCAATTTGTTTTATTTGGTCAAATGATTTTCATGTATTCAGCAAATATTTAACGAGTGCTTCCACAATTCCAGGCACTATTGGTGTTGGGGATGCTCAGGTCTAAGGTCACAGAGTAAAGAAGGAAATATAATTAAACAATGAGGCCCACAAATGGCTATGCCAGCCCACATTGGTACATGCTGGGAAGAAAAAGGAGGGGGCCTCATGGCTGTGATAATGGCAGGGAGTCTGTAGGAGGACAGCTGTGGAGTGGACAGTCAGAAAAGTCTCTCTAATAGAGTGACAGTCAGCTGAAGTTAATACAGTTTGAAAAGGGAGGTGCAAGCAGAGGGAACAATATATGTCGAAGCTCTGGAGTAGGAAAGTTATGTTCAAGGAATAAAGAAAAGGCCAGTATGTCTGGAGAAAATTGGAAGCAAGATGAGGAAGAGTGGCTTGAAATGCAGATAGAGAGGCAAACAGGGGCCAAAGTATGTTAGGCATTATATACCTTGTTAAGGACTTTATATTTTGTTCCACATGTCATGGGAAGATATTGAAGCAAGTTATTTAGGGACATGGCCTAATCTAATTTACCTTTTAGATACCTCATTTTGGCTATGGTATGAAGAATGTAGTGGGCAGGGAGGGGGAAGCTAGTAGGGATAGCCAGGAGGACACTGTGGTAGGCAGCTAACATGTGACGGTGATTTGGCTAGCAGTAAGCATGGAGAGAAATGCTTACTATAGATTCCAAGATAGTTTTTGAAAGTAGGATAAAGAGGAATTATTGATGGGGATTAGGGAAAATTTATGTGTCAAGATTTTCTATTGCCTGAATTTTCATATATATATATAAAATATATACATATATAATAGTAATATTATATATACCTTATATAAGCATAAATATATAAGTATAGAAGTACATTTATATTATATATTTATATAATTTATATAATATATAAATATATAATATAATATTTTATATATTATATAATATATAAAAGATAAATACATAGTCTGATATAGTTAATATATTTAATATATGTATAAAATAAAAAATATAATATATATTTAATATATATTAAATATGTATATATAAATTCTGCACAGATGATTAAAGGTTACAGGAAACTAGGTAAGACAATTCAGCTTTCTGTGTCTATCTTCATGTTTTATTTTTAAATTAACCCTTTAATGGAAATTATTTGTTTTTAATAGGTCCATTGTCTTGGTGGAGAAATTGGAGCAGAAATTTGGGAGCATCTCCTTGTCATGATCCGGTGTCCCTTTCTGGCTCTTTCAGCTACAATAAGCAACCCTGAACATCTCACGGAGTAGGCATTAGATTCCAATTTGGATAGAATAGTTATTTCTTTTGAACATTTGAATATCATACTTTCCATATGGGTTCTGAAATATTTCATAACTCCCTGGTGAATATGTTAACTTATCTGTGGATATTCAAGGAAAGAGTCTCTCTAGCACCTCCTGGCAGGTGCTGAGCAAGGCCATTCTCTGTGAGGGAAAAAATCAAGGATTCTCCCTGGCAGACCTGTAATTGAGTAAGAAATTTCCCCTATACCTCTAAAAGGTTCCCCAGAAATAATCGATTATGTTTTGTTTGTTTGTTTTTTTGTCCTTTACCAAGAAAGAAAAATAAAATAGAATAATGGCATACTCTCTCATGGACCTTGAGACTTCTTTTATTGCCCTGCTTTCTAAGTGTTTAGAAAGATAGCAAAGCATTACTAGTTTAAAGCCTCATATCATTTTGTCATTGGGCTATATTTTTGCCCACTAATAATAACAGTTAGAGCAAAGATGCCAATGTACCAGGTACTGTTCTGAGTGCTTTGCATCTATCAATTTATTTTAAATGCCCAACAACCTTATGATTTACTACTTCCATTACTACTATTAAATAGCATTTCCAACACTGCTATTATTATTTCCATTTTAAAATATAGAAAATAAGGCATAGAGAGATTAAGTGGTATAACAAGAGTCCCAGCCAGTAGCAAGGAGGCTGGGATTCAGTCTCAGTTTGTCAGGTTCCAGGGCCTATTACCTTAAGTACAATGTTTAAGGCACATGACATTTTCTTTATTAAAAATATTTGATATCAAAGAAAGTAGTTTCATATTCTGCCTCAATAATGTGTCAATTTCTTTTTTAAGGTGGCTACAATCAGTAAGGTGGTACTGGAAAAAAGAGGACAATTTAATGGGACAAAATACTTCTTCTAAAAGAAGCGCTGGCTGTCGTGCCAATTTTCACAAAGACTGCATTCAAAGGAGGCAATCATATAAAGTTAGACTTGGTATGTTTGATATATTCATGGGAATTTTATTCTTTAAAATTATTCCAGTCATTGTGTGTTCATTCATTTGGAAATTCTTGGCTGTCATTTTTAGTGCTCTATGGGGAGAGATACAATGATTTAGAGAAGCATATATGTTCAATAAAACATAATGACATTCATTTTGACCACTTTCACCCATGTGCTACACTAACAACAGATCATGTAAGTAACACTTCAGCCATATTTGATCTGAATATAAAGTATGTATCACAGTTGAAAAGATGCCTCATTGATACTTATAAGAATTAAGGGGTAGTTACTGTATAACAGATATTTAACCTTAGTTTTAAAAGTATTAAGAATAGTTTTATTGCTTTCACTGGTTCTACAATGGTGTTTGCGTCCACAAAAGTTAAAATGACTGAGAATTGTAACCTGAAGTTTTTTGGTTACTTTTATTTATTCTTGGGTATTATCTTTGTCCAGTTTTTTTCTTTTAGCACCCATGTCTATCTATCTACTTCTCTGAAACTAGTTCTTAGTACAGCTACAAATACACATGGACAATATCTAGTACATGTGAGAACTTGATCACTATGAATGAGGTTAAACAAGGAAAAGACACTTTTCACTAACTTAGTAATCACAACCTGGTTTATTGGTAGTGAAGAAATAAAATGGACATCTTAAGAAGACTTCATTTGGAGCCACTGGCATTTGAGTGGGGCAAGACTTCTGAATTTTTCTTACATATTTTTCTTCTTTTCTTATCCTATTCTCAGGAATGGCTCATTCAAGCTCTGGTTGCTTCTCAGAGTGATAATTAGTCAATAGTTTGTCTTCCTTCCAAGACCTGGCAAATTAAATATATTCTAAATTCTGTTGCATGTTAAGCCTTTTAATCTGACAATTTTTAAGGGGCAGGAAACTTTAGACGTCACAGGAAGTAGTTCCATCATCTGCCTGAATAATGTTTCTGGATCCACAAAGCTAATTTAGATAAATAAGTAATAAAGATAATTCTGATTTTGCCCAGTCTTTAGTGGCTTTCCTTTGAAAATGGCTAAATGCACAGCTCCCAGCTTGGCTTCCGAGGTCTTCTGCCACCTGGCTCCACAGTTCTTTCTTTATCTACTTGATGTACCTTACCTAGGTGCCATCATCGTTTATCTTGTTCCTGGAATATTTCTCCCCAGATGCCAAATGCCAGTTGTTCAGAACCTGTTTATGTTCTATAACTCTTCCAATATGAAACCACGTTGGAGTCCTTCTGTGACTTTCTTAGATAGATGTACCCTTCTCTCCATAGCACCTTTTCTATATTTCTTATATGACAATAGTTATGACCAGCTTGCTGCTAAAATTCTTTTCACGTCTTTTTTTTTTTTTATCTTAGTAGAATAACTCCTTGAAGACAAATTTTGTGTCCTTATAGTTCCTAATGAACGGCTATACATATAAACGTGTTTAATAAATGTATGTTAAATAAAGATAGCCAGCTTAAACACTTGATTTGTGTTCTAAGAATTTTGCATATTTTGTCTCTTAACAATCACAACACTTTTAGCATGGATGCTGTATTAATACTCCCATTTTACAAATGAGGAAGGTAAGGCGTAGAGAACTTAACTCACTCGCTCAGTCACTCACTCACTCACTCACTGTTGTCCTAAGTAAGTGGTGGGGCTGGGATGAAATCTCAGACTGATTCCAGAGCCTGCTTTCTCATCCTACTCTCAGGAATGGCCACTGAAGCTCTTGTTAACCCAGTATTCTGAGTGGTCTGTTGAACAAATACCTGAATGAGGGAATGAATGAGAATTTTCGCTATGATTCAATGGCTTCTAAAAGCAACTGAATGAATCTTAATGATTGTGATTTTCTAACTGGATTTTTACTATGGATGTTTCATTTTTGTGTTGCAGTGGCCCAATCCAAAATCTAAATAAAACTAACATATGGACAAAATTCCAGTGATGTAACCCAAACCTCCAAACTACAATATGGATGACAAGCCACACATAAATAATTACACCCGTTTCTCTCTTCTTTTCTTTTCCCCATCATTACCTGGCATTTTAAAAAGAGCATGGTATTTTTAAAAAAATATTTATTTTGGGTACAATGGTTCAAGGCAGGTTATTGTTAAGTAGCAATGTCGAGTGGTTTGGAGTACTTGACAAGATTAGCATTTTGGTCCAAGTGCCTTTCCTCTGTTTTCAGTAGCTATTAATGGAGTAACTGGAAAGCAGCAAACTGCTACAGTGTGCTCTGACCCCATATGACTTCTGCAAAGGTCATGCTGCTATATGAATCTTCTTAAGACTTGTAGGCTTCTGCAACAGGAATACAAGATGAACACAAAGGCTTAGACATTATTAGATATGTTTTGACACTGTGTGTGTAACATGTGTTTATATAGGATGCTTCCTAAAGTATACTTCCTAAAGTAGCAGTGATAAAAAAGCAAGTAGACCTTGCCAAATGAGCAAATCATTATGTATTATACTTCAGGTGAGCATGAAAGAACTGAGTGGCAAGAAAAAAATCATAATAAATTGTGGCAACATAAAGAGAAGAACCACCCACCTTGATCCTCTCCTCTATAGCTGTATTATCGAAATGGTTTCCGAAGGGAAGGGGTGGGGCAGAACCAGTGAGCTGACCTTAGTCTAACTGAGGTGAGGGATTGCCTTCCATCTATGTAGGGCTTGCTTCTGGCAAAGAGCAGCGTTTGGCCTTTGCCACCAGTTATGCCACACAGGAACAGCTGCTCGCTCCTGGAAGTCCCCAGGAAGTCCTTGAAAGAACTAGTGCCTCGCTCTGTTCAGCATGGGTCAGTGTTTACCGCCACCTATAGAGTTAGAGGCAATGTGATTTGCAAAAATAACATCATGCTATTATACTATTGTGTTTATAAGTGAAGAATGATACTAATCTATGACTTTTTAAAAAATTAAATGTATGGAGTGACATTGGTTCATGACATATTTCAAGTATACAATTCTATAATACACTGTAACCTTTTATGTCTCTTTCTTTTCTACCTAGACCGGCTCAGTTTTTGCCAGCTCATTAGTTACTGTATGGTGGAGAATCACCAAATTTAATTCCCAGTTTTTGGCCATAGAATTGCTAAAATGATTTTTAAAATTAAGAACTGTAGGTTAATTAATCACATTAACAGTTGAGGCATCAGCCATGAGCCAGGTATTTTACTAGGCTCATCATGTATAGTGTCTAACTTAATTCCTACAACAAAGCTATATCATAGACAGGATTTTCCTTCGTCTTAGCAATGAGGCAACTGAGGCTTCTGTATAAGCTAAAGAGACCTAAGAAATCATAAGCGCTCTAGTGACCAAAAGAGATTTAAATCTTGAAAATTATGGTAATTCTTGGATTTATTTATTTTTAAACTTAGAATGAGTTACCGCTTTCAGGTAGTAATAGAGAACAAAATACTGATTCCAAAATAATGTATTCACTTATTATTTTGGCAGAATGTGGGCTAGCTTTCAATGCTCAAACTAAGAGATGCTAAATGATGATTCCATGCAATTATTTGCACCCTATAGTTTTTTACAAGTCTAATTGATTTTTAATTGAAATATATTTGATATGTAAGATTGTATAAGTTTAAGATATACAACATGTTGATTTGATCCATTCATATATTGCAATATGATTGTCATTGTATCCTTAGCTAAAACTTCTATCAAGCCACACAATTATCATTTCTTTTTGTGGTGAGAATAATTAGATCTCATCTCTTAGCATATTGATGTTTGTAATATAGCATTTGTCTATAATCACTATAGTGAACATTAGATCTTCAGGACCTATTTACTAGTTTTAAAAGTTTGAAAAGTGTGTGTTGATATATGTATCCTGTCTGATTTTACTAGTCTGTAAGGTGAGAGTACGGATATTTTAATTCCTATATTGAGCAGGAACTAGCATTTATAGGTAGAATTAGAACTAGATCTTCTGTTTCAGAATCTACTGCCTTTCCATTCTGCCAAACATTTTTTTTTCAATTGTGTTGTGTTTGGAACAGCTTTTTTAGCCCAGAATTTCCAAACGTAAGTTTCATAACTTGTTAATAGCTATTTACTAAAAACAAATATCTTACTTTCCAATAGTTTTGGAAAAATCTGCATACTGTAGCCCCTTCTTTGAGATTGAACCTTTCCAATGCAAAATCTTGATAAAACCTATTTAATAAAACATCTGTGAAAACACAACCCCCGCCTTTTCTTTTGAAGAATACCTATTAACATCTCAGGGATCATAGTTTACCAGGCAATTGATACATGGTAATAGTGGTTGAAACCAGTAGAAAATACTACAACACAGCGTTTTTGAAAGCAGGATTTTTAAAATTTATACTTTTCAGATATTTGTGGAAAATATCTGAAAAGTATATTTAAGTAACTAAGATATTTGTGGAAAAGTTAATAACTTACACATCCAGGAGGCTTAAAGTGGAATCAAGTTCATGACCTGGAGAGAACTTTCTTTCAGTGTCTTAAAAGTGATCTGATAGCCTTTGTTTCAGAGCTGACCCACTTCTGATCTTAGAACTTCAGCCTATAAAATTTGCCACTGTTAGCCTTGCTTGGTACTCAAAACAAATAATCATATTCCTAATTAAACCAATTTCAGTTTTAGCTGCTAGGTAGAGGTCTTGTTTTCTAGCCTAAAATGATTCCATAAACATTGTAGCTTCCCAGTACTCTAATTTGAATGAAAATGTGTCCTAGGAAATAACACAATAACTTTTTGGAGGTCTTCTTTGTTTCTATTTCAGTAAATTAGGGACACTCTGGGTTAGTATTTTGTTTGTATTTAGCACTAATTAGCATTTGAACATTTTAGTTAAAATGCTGTTTTCAGTGTCTTTGGGTTCATGATGGTGACTATGAGGCAAAGGTTTGAACATAAGATGAAATAAAGAGAATATTAAAAATTTCGGTTTTATTTTAACCATAGATTGAAAGATATGGATTCCCTTCTGATCTTATCCTTTCACCTCGAGAAACCATCCAGCTTTATGATGTCATGTTTGAATGCTGGGAAAGTTGGCCCAGGGCCCAGGTAAATAATAATTACGGAATTAATTTGAATTCTGTTATAGTGGATGGCAGCATTACTGTTCAGAAAGACAAAATCTTACCCTTTCTAATCACTTGCATCTGACCTTTTAAAATTATCAGTGGACTCTTTCCAAAATATAATTGCCCCTTCTCAGACATTCTTCTTTCTAACATTGTATGTTTAACTTTAATGACATGGAATGTCACTAATTCCTGAAAGTATTTCTTCTTTCTGTTTCTTGAGAGATTTTAGTTTCCTCTTACCTCTTGGATTTGTATACCTCCATTTTCTTTCATCATATTCCCCTTTGTTCTCTTTACCCTAATTGCTGCCTGTTTTAATCTGTTTGACTTTGCTCTTCATTCTTTCCTTTGAAGAGTTTTTTTCATTTTATGTACTAGAAACAATGGGGGGAAAAACGTTCAATGGTCTGTACTTTCAAGAAGCTTGTAATTCTGTTGAGGAAATGAATAATTAAGAAACACTTGATTTTCTTGCATGATTTTATTTAATTTTGTGGTATTTCTTTTCAAGGAGTTGTGTCCAGAGAACTTCGTTCATTTAAAGAATAAAATAGTCATTAAGAAGATGGATGCTAGAAAATATGAAGAGAGCTTAAAGGCAGAATTAATAAATTGGGTTAGAAATGGCAATGTAGAGGAGGTAATTTTCACAAATGTTTTTGGTGAAGCATGCTGTCTTTGTTTTCTTCAGTTGCATTGTTCAATGATTACAATTTTTTTGTTTTTCTTTTAATCTTTAATTTTCGTTTTAGGATTTTAAGCTGAACACGAAGTCTAGTGATTCTGAGATAGGATAAAAAGAGAAAAAAGAAATTGGTCTTTGTCTCATCCTCTGTGCCTCCTAAAAATATGTGCCAATAGCCACTAGTTCCCGATAGATGTTATGACACAGATGTTAAGAACAGAGCTGCCACTATTCACAGTCGGTGTGCTCGATGTTGTGGCAATATAGATATTGGAGTCACGGTTACCAGTATCTGAGAAGAAATTTTTACTCAATTTTTTGTCTTAAATTTTTTTAAATGATTTTTATTTTAATTTGTATGTACTATCTGTATATTAAAACCTTAATCTGGGGCGCCTTGGCCTATGTGGCCCAGCTGGTTGAAGCATTGTTCTGTAAACCAAAAGATCACAGGTTCGATTCCTGGTCAGGGCACATGCCTAGATTGTGGGTTTGATTCCCAGTCGGGCTGCATATGAGAGACAATTCATTGATGTGTGCCCCCTCATGTTGGTATCTCTCTCTCTCCCTTCCCATCTCTCTAAAATCAGTGAGCATGTCCTCAATTGAGGATTAAAAGAAAACAAACCTTAACCTGGGCTCATATAAGTTATTTTATGTAAGTTACTGGTCTTTATATTTTGAAATTTGCTTTATTACCACATATTGAAGTTTCTGATTTGGGGGGATTGACATATATTAGACTTTTCTCATGTGATTATTTTCTATTATATTTTAACTTAGATTATCTCCCCCCATTCAAAGTCATAATATAATTAACTTAGATTTTCTTCTGCTTTTTTTTTTTGTCATTAAAAAAATCTTTAAAATGTATTTGGAAATGATTTTTCTCTATGACATGGAGAAAACTGGTTCACCCCACCTCCTGCCATAGTGAAACTGGCATCATTTACCAAACTCACTGGTGTTGCCTTAAAAAATTGCATGTTACATTACACATATGTCTATGTACATATGTTACTGTCTTTTTGTTCTCTAGTGTATTGATTTCTATATTTGATGCTTCTTTACAAAGATTTATCATATAATTATTTTTTATCATATGTAATTTTAAAAAATCATAGCAACAGAGATGAGGCAACAATGAAAATATTTTAGTCAAAAGTAGTAATTCCTTTATTATGAAGAACTTAAAAAAATAATTTATTTATTTATTCCTGCAGGCCAAAATGGTCCTGAGGAAGCTCAGTCCCAGTTTGGGTGTTAGTTCAGAAAACATGACACAAATGTTTCCACTTCTTGTTGAAAAGCTAAGGAAAATGGAGAAGTTACCAGCACTATTTTTTTTGTAAGTCATGTATTTATTTTTATTTTTAAATTAAATTTATTGGGTGTAAGACATTTAAACTGTTTTTATTTATAATTTGTATTATACTCATTCCTTTTTTATATTGTTATTCAAGTACAGTTGTCTCCAATTTCCTACGACCACTTTCCCCCGCCCCACCCACCCCCAACTTCCACCCTCAATCCTTCCCCTCTTTGTCTTTGTCCATGGGTCCTTTATACGTGTTCCTTGATGACCCTTCCCTTTCTTTTCCCTATTATTCCCCTCTCTCCCCTCTGGTTGCTGTCAGTTTGTTCTTTAGTTCAATGTCTTTGGATATATTTTGCTTGCTTGTTTGTTTTGTTGAGTAGGTTAAGTTGAGGAAAGTTTTACTAAGTTTACTGTTGTAATATAGTATCATTACTATTTTTGGTGCCCATTTGTTATCACAATAAATATTTAAAAATACACCTTTGTAGTTTAATTCTTAATAAAACACTTTTTGCTTGAGCTATTACAAGTTACCTTCTTTATTTAGTTCCCTTTTCCATTTCTTGTTTTCTTTTAACTATTGTATTATTCTCAAGGTCTCCTTACATATCTAGGTTCAATAAATATCTAGGTTTAGTAAATACCTAAGTTCTTTGTAAAACAGGTAGAATGTTTATGTGTACAAATATCCCACATAAAATTAAAGTATCCTTACAATGTGCCAGAGTATTTATTGGTGGGATAGTTTATTGTTTTTAATTTATAGTTGTGATAACTATAAGTTTCAGACACTGATATCTTGATAAATTTTATATTGATATAACATGAAACAGCTTAAAATTGAATATAATAACAGTTTTGATAAAGTAGAAATTATACCAAAGTATAATTTATTAATTGAATAATACCATATCCTGGATTAACCATGATCATATATTTTGAGGTAAGAATAGAATGCTTCATTTGCTTTAGGCAATTTCAAACTACTGTAAGCCATGGAAGCTTCATATAAATAAGGCCACAGAATCTTGCTCAAGTGGCAAAGTTGAATGAAATTTGTTCACACATAAACAGACATATAGTAATGAATTATTATAATGTATATTTAAAATAATGATAATATTGAATGTAAGGTTGTATTTTGGGGAATGCAATAAAATTGTTCCTTTACCTTTATTGCTGAGACAAGAAAAATAAATTTCTGAACTACCAAGAAGCTACACAGCTCACCTACTTTACAAACATGTTTCAGTACCTCTGGGATAATTCTGGAAGCCTAGTTACAAAATAGAAATCCAAAAATAACTGGATTCATTATTTATATAGATACGCCAACTTAAAATATTTGAAAGTAAAGTATTTTACAAAAACACCAAAGTTTAATTCTGCTTGAGGAGTTGAATCTTGACACATCTTTATGGAATTTGGGATTCTCTACAAAGCATACCATACCATGGTCTTATACAGTTTTATTTAGACTTAAGGAGCCCCAGGTCATCAGCAAATCTGAGGCGTTGTCAAGACTCAATCTATACTGCTGGGAGCTTTTCCAATAGTAGCATACCTGTCAACCTTCTCCAATTTGGTCTCTGAAAAAAAAAGAATGTGTGGAACATGGTTAGAGCTTAGTGACTGTTATCAGTGTGTGCATTCTTCATGGTCTGGCCCAAGTTTGGAATCTACCTCTGCTCCCTATCAGCTCGGTCACTTCTAGACTGCTGCTTAACAGCTTTGAGCCCTAGTCTTCTCATTTGCAAAATGAGATGAAAAAATAATAATACATAGGGTTGGAGTTAAAAATAAAAATAAATTATGAAATCAGTACAATACTGTAACATATTATGGGCAGATGTGCATAATATGGTTATCAGAGATTTAAGAGAAAAAATTATTTCCATGTGATCCATTTTAAGAAATGAAATACCATGATGAAAATTACATTGCTTAATACACAGTTTATGCCTAGGCCATAGGGACTTGCATTCAAGTACAAAGAGAAGCGACATTAATGTCAAGGTTAAAAACACTGAGCCCTAGCTGGTATGACTCAGTGGGTTGAGCACCAGCCTGCAAACTGAAAGGCTGCAGGTTTGATTCTCGGGCAGGGCACGTGCCTGGGTTGCGGGCCAGGTCCCTAGCTGGGCATGTGTGAGAGGCAACCAAATGAAGTTCCTCTCACACATCAATGTTTCTCTCCCTCTCTTTCTTCCTCCTTTCCCCTCTCTCAAATAAATACATAAATAAATGAAATAAAAAAATAAAAAAAAGAACATTGGCTGGGAGGTCAGACTGCTGCATACAAAGTGTAGGATCTTAAAGGCCACTTAATCTCTTTATGTCTCCCTTTTCTCATCTGCAAAATAGGGATCATAATAGTGCCTTCCTCACAGAGATGTTGTATTAAGTAAGTTAATATATTTAAGACATTTAGAATAGTGTCTGATGTAATAAATAGAGGGTTTACTATATTTACTATTTTGTTTACTACATAAAATTTCTTGTCATGTGGCATAGACTGCCACTTTCTTAATCCTTCCTTCACCAGTGTGTCAATTTATTTACTCTTCATTAGATAACATTTTCTGTTCATGCTTGTTTTGTCAAGACTTTAGACAAGCCCTTTGCTTTATAATTTACATTTTAAAAAAACTTTGTTGTGTAGGCCCATGATTAGTAAATTGATAGTGGCTCTCAGCTCCTTCCAGGCACAGAGCTTTGCTCCTAGAATATCATAGGGGAATAATGCTTAAGTGGTTATTTCAGTATTCTTGTGAAAGGCTCTATATTCCTGATATAGGGCGATGTATATGATCAAAAGAAAAAAAATGTTTGATTTTACTTCCCCTAGAAATATTTTGCTTTTCACATACAAGGAGAATTTGACCTGCAGCAATTTGGCTGGTTAATTGCTCGGGTCTGAATGGCCTAGTCTGTAGTTTAAATCCCAAAGTGCCAGGAAATCTGGATCACTATGGCCCTAAGCGCTTACATTTCAAAAGATACAAAGTCCACGCTCTGGGTATATTTGTGGATTGTAAAGGCCAGCGACATCTGGGGTTCATCTGGTCTCCAGAAAAAGTTGTCACATTCCAAAAGGTTAAGGTGAGAACCCAAGATTCTCTCCTATTCTCTCCGTCCTATATATAGAATATAAAGAAGCCTAACTCCTAGAAACAGAGTAGATTAGTGGTTGCCAAGGACTGGGGATGGGGTGGTGCAGGGGGAAAAGAAATGAGATATTATTTGAAGGGCACACACTTCTTATTGCAAGATGAATAAGTTTTGGGGATCTAATGTACTGTATGGTGACTATAGTTAACAATACTGTATTGTGTACCTCAAAGTTGCTAGGAGGTTAGATTTTTTTTTTACCATTTTATTTATTCTTAATTGAATTTATTGGGGAAGTATTGATTAATAAAATTATTTAGGTTTCAGGTATATAATTCTACAACACATCATTTGCATATTCTATTGTGAGTTAACCACCCCAAGTCTCCTTCCTTTACCATTTAACCATTTATCCCCCCTTTACCTTCTTCTACCTCTCCTCACCCCCACTTCTCTATGGCAATAATCATACTGTTGTCTGTGCCTATGAGTCTTTTTTTCCCTTTGGACTCTTAGATAAAAGAACAGACTGACAGCTATTAGAGGGGTGGGGGTTGGGGGCTGGGTGAGAAGGGCAAAAGGAGAGTAGATCTTAAATGTTCTCACCACACACTCACACAGACAAGGTAATTATGTGAGGTGATGGAGGTGCTAGCTAATATTATTATGGTCATTTTGCTATACATACATGTATCAAATTATGTTGTAAACTTAAAATTTATACAACTTATATTTCAATAAAGCTGGGGAAAAAAACAAAGAAGACACTAGAATTCACAAATGATTTGGCTATCAAGAAATCTGAACTTAAGTATATTTACTTAACAGTAAGGGCCTTTGACTCTGTTATGGACAGACCTAAAGGTCAGTGAAATTAAATACAGGAACAACTACCACAACAATAAAAGTAAATAAAAGAACAAAAATGTTTTGTTTAAAAATTTTTCTCTCATTTCTCATGAGGGGAGGGAGGCATCTCTCCTCTGTAAATAAATAGAGAAAATCCATTGCCTTCTATCCCATGCCTGTGGAGTGTCTGACTACCCCTACAGGAAAAATTTCTACAGGCTCTCATAGCCATTGTCCCAGGAGTAAGGTCTGGGACACAGAGGGGAACATCCTATGCACTAAGACATAGTTACTAAGGAGTCTGCTGATGCAGAACACCTTGTGCATCTATTCAATATAAAACTGATAAAGGTGGATATTAAAAACTCAATAGGTATGTGTCAGGCTGATAGCAGTAAATGGAAATATGACTGTATTCTATATACGATTTTCTTTTCAAGAAAAGCATTTGTTTCCTTTGTTTCCAGATTCAAGTTAGGAGATGTAGAGCAGAGAGCTAAAAGTGTGAGCGCTTTTCTGGAAGAGAAGCAAGAGAGAGAAAGGCATCCCAAAGCTGATAAAGAAACCCATAATATGGCTAACAAACTGCGGAAAGTTAAAAAATCCATTGAGAAACAAAAAATAATGTAAGTATCTAACTAAACAAAATGGTGGTTAAAAGGTTAAAATACTTCACAAATCCCAGTGGGAAACATAGACTGAATGTGTAACAAAGAAGTTCTAGTTATTGCTTGGGTATGTTTGCAAATTAAGTAAATTTGGGTGGGAGATTAGTGTAAAAATAAGTAGCCATAATATTTATATATTTCTAAGTTGCATAAATTAGTCTCATTTAGGGCGTCAGGGAGGCAAGACCACAGCCTATGAGTAGGGTTAGAATATATACCTGACATAATCATTCCTCAAAATAAGCACATCTTTGATACTTACTCAATTACTCTCAGTCAGCCCTCAGAAGGTGTAAACAAAGTCTACCACATTGCTTTGGGCCACAATATGGAAGTGTTGCTGATGTCATCATAATCTCATGTGGCATTGGATGAGCTTGAGAATGGACCATAATGCAAATTTTATGCTTGGTAGCAGTTTGCACTTTTGACTCCTCTTCCCTGTTCTCAGTGTCTAATTCTGACAACTCGATGTCCAGAATGTTTATTCTCTTTACCACCTTTTCCCTCTTTAGTCACTGCAGACCTGAGACGCTCATTTTGTCTTCCTTGCAGAGGACTTTTTTTCTTAAGATTCACCACTTTCCAATCTATCTGACAAAGGACTTTGCTAATTTCAAGTGGATTAAATGATCCCACACTCAATAGCCTTCCTTGTTCTTTGCTTAGAATATGAAAAGGCCAGATAGGGACAACCTAGGAGGTGTAACTAAAGATCAGCAGCTGATCTTATAATTAGACAATTTTTTTTTCCAGTTCACTAGTAACTACCACTTCAAGTTGAATTAGTGACCAATAATTGAAGCTATAAAAAGATAAAGAATGTTTTAATACCTTGTTTAGCCCCATCATTATACTGAGGATGAGTAGGGCCCTGTGTTTTAGAAAGTTCCTCTCTGGTCTTCCTCCATCTGCATCCATTCCCATAAAATTGTGTATCAGTGAAGCTTAGGCATGTCCACCTAGAGCTCACGCTCACCTTTTTAAATTCCAAATTTTTATGGAGCTATATTTGTCAAGGTAGAAGGATAGAATGTATTACTTGATAATTTATAACCTTCACTTAAAAGTCATAATTTATAACCTTGATTCAAAAGACAGCACTAGGTGGGCCTCCATTTGCATTCTGGTCCCCACTCCGAAGACATCAGGACCAGGTCTTGGCACAGTCTTGGCACTCTCCCCAGAGTTAAGGGTTATGTTAGTTGGCGGTGAGAATACTTGATGATGGGATAAAAGTGAGCTCGTCTCATATGTGGAGTTGTCTTATATGCATACTTAAGAGGCATACTGTAAGATCCAAGAAAGGGTAAGTGATCTGGGAATCTCTAAAAGGCTGTTGCACTGCAATAAGGGATAATGCAGTCTGGTGACACAGGGTTATCTAAACTAGGGTTTATGTAGTGACATCATGGGTCAGATTCCCCAGTGGCACCCGCTGTGATGGAGATATCTGTGTAAGGGATTTATTGAAGTGGTGTGCTTATGAGGGGCTGTAAGGAAGGAAGGGAAGCATGAAGATGAGCAAGGATGTGGGTTTTCCTAGAATATTGCATCAGCCTGGTCCAACAGAACGATCTGGGGCACCACAAAATTGTCCCAATTTGAGTCAAGGTGGCTGACTTCTATACCTCCTATCAGTGAGTTACTGGCTGTGGGCTACTTCCCCATTCCCAAGAGAGGTTGTAACCTCCTGGGAATTTCCAAGAGACTTGTCAGTTGAGGGCAATTCTGCAGGGAACTGTGCAGCCAAGAGCCCTTAGCAATCAACTCAGAGCAGCTATAGCATCCACCGCAAACAGAGATGGAGAATGGCCTGCAACTGGCAATATGGAACAAAGAGGTCACCTACTTACTCTCAAGCCTAGAGTTATGAAGGCTGAGAAAGAGAAAATGATCATCAGTTTAGAAAATGGACCACTTATCAAGGTCATGTGGGAGAAGGCTCCTTATAGCAAAAAGGGAAGGAAACATTTGACAAGAGGGTTCTTTACAGCAGTAATGGTAGTAAACCTTAAGAGAAAATAAGCTTATATAAGGGAATTTTTTATAGGGATAAGAAGTTCCAGAGGCCAATGAGAAAGTGCATTAGAGGAAGAAGGTTCAGTCAGGATAGTAAGATGTGTGTAAGACTGAATGTCTGGGTTATGAGGAAGATTTGGGAAGCCTTGGGCTTCTTATAGTGGCCAAATTCTTACTTAAAATTTATTTTTATGAACAGAGATGAAAAAAGCCAGAAGAAACCCAGAAAAATGGATAAAAGCCTACTATACGAAGCTGAACATGATAATCTAGTCAAGATGTTAGAGAAGAACCTGGAAATCCCTCCGGAGTGTACATATGCTGATCAAAAAGCAGTGGGCCCTGAGGTAAGCACTTCCAATGAAATAGTTCTCCAAGAAATTATTTCTCTCACCAGCCATTACTTCTCAGTGGTAGACAGTGTTGAATGTAATAACTAAATGCAATCCCTACAAGAATAGACATCTCTGTGTATGTCCTCCTGGCCACACATAACATTTAAGCGCTCTGCAGAACATGTCTAAAAAGGAGAGGATTAGGATTTATAGATTCTTTTTTAAAAAAAGATTTTATGTATTTGCTTTTAGAGAGGGAGGGAGGGAGGGAGAAAGAGGAAGAGAAACAGCATTGTGCGAATACATTGATCAGTTGGTAGCCTCTCACGTGCCCCCAACTAGGGACCTGGCCCACAACCCAGGCATGTGCCCTGACTGGGAATTGAACCATCAACCTCTTGGTTTGCAGACCAGCACTCAAACCACAGAACCACACCAACCAGTGCTTTATAGATTATTTCTTGCTTGTTTACAATTAACCCCTGGGAGACTACCCTTTCATTATTTGTTTCTGTGATACTGTTTTTCACAGCTTGAATTCTGGACTTCAATCTCATGTGCCTCATTTGAATGTTTGGGTACCTGTAGTCCAATATATTTTAAATGATATACATAGACTCTCTCAAAATCAGAGGCTTTTTATATTGTAGTCAAAACATCCCACCAAAAAAGTATTAAAATATCTACAAGTGGTATGCCACTTCTTCTTTAAAACTTTTTTTAGATAAAATAATCCATGCTTATAATAGACAAATTTGAAAATACAAATTAGTAGCAAGAAAAGCAATGCCATCAATCAGAAGTAATCATTGCCCTTTGACATGAAATATTTATATCTTTTATTTGTGGCTACACACACGCACACACAAATACATACACACAAGGTATCGATACATATGCAGGGTAGGGAAAAATAGGTTTACAGTTGTGAGTATACAAAACACAGAGTTTATTCTTGTGTTACTGTTTATTAATTATTGTCTTATTTTCCATATGAGCAACTGTAAAAACCTGCTTTGTCCCACCCTGTACATATGTCCATTCTATTGTATACATGTGTGCATTCTTTGTAAACTTCATGGTCTCTTCATTTTTAATGACCATGTATTTATATCATCATTTTTAGTTAGATCCTTAATAATCCATTGAACGGATGACTATATCCCTAAAGTGTTTTAGGGATTATTTTTTCTTTTTCTCCTCATAAGCAGTATTTATCTTTGTACATGTAACTGTACACAAGTGGATTGCCTCCTTTGGGCATAAGTATTTTTAAGGCCATTTGTGACCAATTTACAGTGAGAAGTAAGCATTCCTGAACTATACAGGGTAAGGAACCTGTTCTGTCTTTTTGGAGAACTCTCTTTGTCCCTGAGAACTCATCAGGACCCACCAGAGAGCTGACCTTTCTTAGGCACATGGAGGTCCTACCTTTGCACCGCCTCTGGATCTCTTATCTACTGCTTTGTCAGAACTTCCCACCCCTACAGCTTGCAGTGGGGGGTAGGCCCTGGTGGAACAGTGCAAGATCTGTTCACAGATTAGGGAGTGTTTCTTTTATTTTTAACATTAAAAAAAATTATTTATTTATGTTTAGGGAGAAAGGAGGGAGGGAGAAACAGAGGAAGGGAAACATCAATATATAGACTCTTTCCCTTTATTTTTGCCATTAATCTGGGGGAGCAGGGAGCAGGCTGGTTGTGACCTGAGGAGATTGGAAAGCCAGTCTTTCCTACTCACTCTGGTGCCTGGAGTGGTTGCCTCTCATGTGCCCCCCACCGGGGACCTGGCCTGCAACCCAGGCATGAGCCCTGACCGGGAATCGAACCGGTGACCCGCTGGTTCGCAGGCCAGCACTCAATCCACTGAGCAATGCCAGCCAGGGCTAAACACTGTATTCTGATTTAAATGAAAATTAAATAAAAATGATCAAAATCCCTAAAACTTTTGTTTCTTTCAGATTTTGCAGATGGTGTTCAATCGAGTAAAGTTCACAAGAAAAGGTGCAGAACTGAAGGCCTTGGCAGAAAGGGGCATCGGATATCATCACAGGTCTTTGAACTTCAAAGAAAAACAGCTCGTTGAAATTCTTTTTAGGAAAGGATTTATTAAGGTCGGTGAATATTTGCATTCTAAAATTTGAAGTTGTGTCGACATAAAGAGGTATATCCCTTGAAAAAGGGAAAATAACTACTTTTTTCCTCATCTAATTGGCTTTTTTAAAAATGACTCCTGAAATGACTGCATATTTCCCATCTCATTTAATTGAGGGGAAGGATTGGAAGTTTGTCATTCAGTTTACCTCTTTTTCATGAAACTAAAATAGCCCCTATAAAGATACTTTTCCAAATATTTCTGTCATTAAATTGCCTATGCTGATCTTAGAAAAACCCCTTGCCTTTTTAATTTATAATATCTAGGGAATTTGGTCAGCTGTTCATATAATTTTAGCTACAGACATTCTCTCATGGGCTTGGACAACATTTATGATAGTGCTTTGATCAGATCTTTTCTCAAAATAGCTAAGAGAAGAGCAAGAATGTATCACTTCCTCACAGCCCACTGCATATCTTGGCAGAGTTTTTAGATGTGTCACTCCTCAACGCTCTTTCTTATCACTGATAGTGGACAAGAAGAAGATTTCCTGAAATAGCCTGCAAACCAAACCCTTGTTATGTTTTATTTATGTCCCATGAGGATGTATGGGGGTAGTCTGGATAAATTCACAAAGAGAGTTTATATCATTTCCTAGTAATTTAGATCTTCAGTAATATTTCAAAAGAGTTTTCAAATTATCTATATTAAATTTTTTCGTATCATCGACAGAGGAAATAGTATTCTTCCACAGTTCCACAGGAAACATATTTTGGGGACACACGCATAGGAGGATTTGAGGTATAGTGGCTAGATTTACAGGAGCAAAAACAAAAGAAGCGTTTAGGTGATGTTTCATCCACGACTAGCTAGCTCACATCCCGCTGCAAAAGAATTCCAGTCTCTGGGGCCACAAGCCTGCATTTGTGCCCATGAAGCCAAGGACAAGGGCAAGGACCCAGAGCTGCGGTGCCATTAGCCAGGCATCCGAGGCTCCATTGGTCCAGCATCGTCTCTGTACCCGGGGGCGGTGATTGGACTGCACTTCCTCCCGTCCCTACAGGGGCTGAAGGGAGAAAGCGCCTGGACCTTTGTTAAGCTTCGGTTACATTTTCTTGGGCTTGGAAGAAAGTAGGCTTTCTTCCAAACGATCCAGTATCTTTGCTGGCTCTTCCCGGGGCTTTGCCGGTGCCTCCCTTTATCCATTCCTTTTCTAGGATCTTCCTAGGTTTCAAGCCCCTGTCATATCCTGCCCCTCACCTTCCTCCCCACATTTCCCCTTAAAAGGGTAGATTCCTCCCCCTTGTGTTTGCCATTAATCTGGGGGAGCAGGGAGCAGGCCTGCTGTCACCCAGGGAGCTTGGAAAGCCGGCGCTCTCCGCTTGCTCCGGTGCCTGGAGTGGCTGTGAAGCAGGCCCTCTGGGTTAATAAAGCCTAATGAGATGTCTGGCCCCCTTTCCTTTCTTTAATACCTAAATAGCTGCGTGCTATAACTCTATGATGTGTATCCTATTTGTGTATATGGGGAGAGGGGAGAGGGGAGAGAGAGATTGGGATTGATTTTGCTACTCTTTTGCTAGTCTTTAGATCTTAAATAAATGTTGAGGAAAATCTGACACCATAAATAAAGGGTAAATCTGTAATCTGGAAAAAAACCCCAAAATATCATTAACAACTTTGTTTAGCTTGTCTCTTAAATAATGTTATTTATTTATTTTGAAAGTCAACAGCTGGAGATAAAAGTTTTCTACATGATTATGGATTGAGGAAAAGAGGCACATCTATTTTGATCAGCATATCTTGTATCTAAAATAGTACCTGTTAAATAGTACTAATTAATAGTTGCTAGATCGTAATAGAATAGTGATGTGGAAATGGTGATAGCTTTGTGACAAAGAACCTTTTTATGAAGGTATTTATTCTCATTATATTTCAAATTTAATGGTCTTACTTTTTCATTTTTATTCTTATTAAATACTTTTAGATAAACAGTTAATGGTGTGTTGCATTTTGACAGATGTCTAGATCTCCATTACCAAATAGAGAAAATTACCTCATATACTTAACAATTAACATTAACCATGGTGCATATGATAATCAATACACAGGGAAAGAGAGGGCAATTAGGAATACCCAGAATTATATGAAAATATAAGCAAAAGTGGATTATTTAGTAAACTTTAAAGTTTGTCCTACCCTTTTCTGGTAATGACAATTCAGGGAAGAAATGGAACTTTGCTCTTATTACTTAGATATGTTATTGCCATAGAAATAACCTTCACAAATAAATTAGCGATGAAGTTGGCCCAGGGTTTGTAAAAGCATTATTACCCTCTCACGGCGAAATTTCCTCTCTAGTTATTTACTGAAGAATACTTACTGAACACTTATCATGTGCCAGGTACCTTTCTGAACGTGAGGCTACAGTGCTGAATGGGGCTTGGGCTCTGGTGCAGGACACCTGAACAAGCAAATAATATTACTAGAGGCAGTCATTAATGCTCTGAAGAAAAATACTGTAGGAGAGAGAGAGAAATAACGATGACAGGGGTGGTTATTTTGAAAATGGTAGGCCAGAACTTTCTCTTTGACATCTGAACAGAAAACTGAATACAAAAGATAAAAGACTGTTTGGAAAAGAATATTATGCGCAGAGCCAAGAGTGACCGGTATTGATGGCTCTGAGCTAGGAGTGTGCTTGATGTGTTTGTAAAATAGCAAGAATACCACTGTGGTTTAATTGAAGTTCAAAGTTCTATAACTTTATGGCATTTTATAGAAATCCTATTTTGTGATATAATTGTTTTATTCTCTCTCTAGGTGGTGACTGCTACTGGGACACTTGCATTAGGAATAAATATGCCTTGTAAATCTGTGGTGTTTGCTCAAAACTCAATCTATCTCGATGCTTTAAGTTATAGGCAGGTATTGTGATATGCATACATTCTCTAAATCACTAAAATACGGCTATAAAATAGTAAAAAAAAACTTTAGTTTACAAACATGCTGCAATTTATGAGCTAGCACACCTTGATATTTATTCATGCTTGACTTTCATTTTTAGCGGTAAAATAATAAAAAGCTCATGAGCTTGGGATTATGTGACCATCACTAACCAGGCATGTGACTTCAGGTGAGATATCTAAACTGCCTGATCCTTCTTGCCTGCAGAATAGGAATGATAATTAATATTCCACATCATTTGCAGGAATTAAATGAAGTGGTTTGTAGGGAAGATACACGCTGAAGGTGCTCCGTGAGCATTTCTCATCTGTTTCCTCTGCACAAGATTCTGTGCTGTGGCGCTCTCTTTAATGCTTCTCTCTTCTTTTGCTGCTGATACACAGTCTATTACCAAGCCCATTTCATTAGTTTCCTGTAGTGATATTTAATTTTTGCCTTGCAATTTCTTTTTCAATATCTCATCAGACATCCTTGGCTTTGTATTAGTAAAATGATTTTTCTTAATTTTACTTCTCCTTACTCTGTTGCATGTGGTGTAGTTTGTCTTCATGTGGTTTCCCTGCTCAGGAATATTTGATGAATATTTTTACTAGAGGCATGAAAGTTAGATATATCACTTAACATTGGAGTTTTTATCAAAGTACTGTCCTTCCCTTTCTCTCTAAATGCTGCTTATGGCCTTATAGCCCTTGCATCTGATTTCCCACCACTGTACCAAACCCTGTCTTTTTTATTTCTCCTCCTGCTTCCATGCTGTGCATAAACTCTCCTCCCTTATCAACTTTGGGAATCTCATACTTAGGGCTCTGGAGCCAGGGTGTTAATGCTATTTTAGATAGTGAACTTGGAAGTCAAAAAGTCAGAGTTTGAATTCTGGATCTCCCAAGCAAATGCCTGATTGTTTGACTATGGGCAAGTTTCTTATATTCCCCATGTCCCAGATTCTATATTGTAAAATGGGGGCAATGGTTAGATTTACCTCATATAATTGTGAGGTTTGTATAAAGAAAGTTTCAAGGACTTAGCACATTCTAAGCACTTAATAACTCCAAACTAATAGAACTTCTTTCAAGGAGTTTGTCCTTAAGTTGTTTTTTTACATATAGCATTTCTAAATTTTATCTTATTCACGTATTTCCTCAATTTGGGCAAATTTTTACAGTGATTTGTAACTCAACACACTTGCATGTGAGAGAGAGTGCAAGAGAAAGGGACGAGGGAGGAGCAGATGGGAAAGGAAAGAATGTGTGTAGTAAGTTAAGCTATAAGTAAACTTGAAATCAGGACCTAGTCTTGTCTTCTTGCTTTTTGTTTCTTCTATGTATAATACAAATGTCTAGCATGATCTTTGGCATGAAATAAGTTCATAATAATAGTAAATGGCCCATTTTTAGCTCTATCTCAGCCTGGTAAATTTTGTCAGGACTACATAGTTGGATTTTACTTTCAGTTATTTAATGTTGAGACATAGGCACAATTTACCTATTCCAACCCCATGTAAAGGCATCAAAAAGAAGGAAAAAAGACTCATAGTCATGGACAACAGTGTGGTGATTGCAAGGAGGTGGGGGTATAAAGGGATGAATGGTAATGGAAAAAAATACAATAAAAAATAAGATAAAAAAGCATTTAGGTAAGTGTTACACTGTTGCTCTATTCTGTTTCCAGATGTCTGGGCGTGCTGGAAGACGAGGCCAAGATCTGATGGGAGATGTGTATTTCTTTGATATTCCATTGCCCAAAATAGAAAAACTCATAAAATCCAATGTGCCTGAACTAAGAGGGCAGTTCCCCTTCAGGGTAACCCTGGTTCTGCGACTCATGCTCCTGGCTTCGAAGGGCGATGATCCACAGGACGCCCAGGCAAAGGTACTGTGCTTACATTTTCTAAGGTAGAGTGTCCGTTACCGGCCTGACTGTGGGCAGGTCTGCTGTTCTTTTGGAAGCCTGTGGCAAGAACTTTCAGTTTCATTAGTCTTTAATGCTTTGTTCTGTCTTGAATAATATAGGATTGAGGGTGGAGGGGAAGAATAACAATTCATTTTGTTTGTCTCTTCTATCAGTCATAGAATTTGTGGCTGGATGGGCATTTGGAATTACTCAAGATTATGGTTTTCCTATGTGATAGACTTTGTCCCATAGTAGTAATGGTGCTGGCTCTGGATTTATAAAGATCTAGGTTAGATCTTATGTCTACTATTAAGAACAAAAATATTTTTTTATGGTTTTGAAATAAAAGTTTATTTTTCATAAAAATACAACCCAAGTTCATCAAATAATACTTGGATAATGTAGAAAGTTGAAAGAAGAAAAAGAAATACCTGTACCTAGTTCCACTATTCAAAGACAATTACATTATCATTTTGATATTTTTAAAGCCATTTTCCAGGCATAGATGTGCATTTGTTTTTTAAACACAGATATATATATTTATATTAAATTGGAATTCAGAATATGGTTATAAATTTTGCTGAAGAGGTTTTTTTTTTCAGATAAATATTTTGTGTCCAATCCCAAAATGAGAGATTTAAAATTTGTAATTAAATAATTTGATTTTCATCTTGATGGAGATCCTGTGATAGGGAACCCCCTCCTCTCTGTTTTTGTATATTGATTAGTATGCCCAGTTAAATCAGATACTGTTTGCTGAGAGGAAGGACTCCGTTAGGAATTTTGCAATGCATTGGCTCTTATGTTGGTTGATGGTGCTCCAGAGCAGGGACACATCATTTAGACAAAAACTTCCTCATTATTGAGTACTTAATTTTTACCTCTGTATGGGAGAGAAGATAAGTTAGTAGAATGGTTTTATTTTCTTTGCCTTGGCGTATGTGAGAAAACCTGTCTGTAACCTTCACACATAAAAGACTTCAATGTGGGCATACAATTCTAGACTCTTGTCTTTGCTAGTCACATCAAAATAAACTAGTTTTATTGCCTCCTGGCATTTACTGTTTTAGAGGAGCCGGCACTTTTAGATTCTTCTCTAGAGGAGCCATGCTCATTCCTGTTCTCTTGGAGTTAATTTGATATTTTGAGGGGTGGGGAAATGCTATGTAATTATGAATTTTTTCTTTTGAATTCTTATGTTTCAAATTCTTTTCCTCAGGATTTTCTATTTTGTGGGTCCTTTGGTAAATTGATATTTTAACTCTTATATGATAACAACCTCAATCTTTATGCTCAGATATTTTTTACTGTGTTGAAATACACATAATTGTGTTAAAATACACATTTTCACCATTTTTAAGTATATAATATAGAATGTTAAGTGTATTTGGGTTGTGCAATAGTCAGGTAGATTTGGAACTAAAAAAAGATTTCTCAAATTTGACCTTTGATATTTACTTCTGTTTTAATTTGCTGAGTTGTTTTTTTTTTCAGGAAAAGTTATTATTTTTAAATTGAAACCCCTTTTTTCTTTTGCTTTTCATTCTTAAAGAACATGAAATGTATCTTCCACATTGCTGATGAAGCTCTCCACAGTTTCAGTGGTTTTTTAGTAATACATATGTGGATTTTAGTTCTGCTACTGGTTCTGCTATTTAATTCTGTTGTAGGTTTTTCTATTTTCTTGCCTTTGAAGGAAGTTACAACTGTCCAAATCTGCTGTTTTGCCAAGGAATAATATGTATGATTTTCCTTCCGGCTTCACTTTCTGTGCAGCTAAATACTGTTTAAATACCCTCATAAATTGATAGCTAGATGAATGTGTATTGGCCCAAATCTCAGTATTTAGTAGATTTTCAGCTTATGTAGCTTCTCTGGACTGAAAATTCATCTTCTACTTTTGCCAGTCTCACGGACACCTTGCTCATGTGGTTGTCACTCATCACTATACACTACAGGATGCATCACTAACAGGGTTGTTGACTCTCTTAATGAGACCTATGTGGCCTACGCCCTTTAGTTTACAGAAAACCTCTGCTGTTTTCTGGCTGTTGCTATCTATGCCTAAATGTAGAGCAAGAGAGAGACAGATTGTAGGAAAAGGCATTTTTGGTGCCCTCAGAAGTTATCTCCCTGAAGTAAAGGTGATGGACAGTATGTCCCCTTCTCCTTCTTCTTGTCTTCCTCCCCCTTTTCTCCCTCCCTCCCTTCCTTCCATCTAGTCCATTGACCTTATAACGAACAGAGATTCTTCCTAGTTTTTTTTATAAATTTTCATATCCAAAGGCTTAAATTTTAGTCATCTTGGGAAATTTTCTTTTTAATTGGAATCTCATAGGCATTTTCGTGGGCACTCCTGCTCAGAGCCCTGTTCTCCCACGAGACCCAGCACTTCCCTTGCTCCCCACCAGGCTATAAGCCAGAACCAAGCCCAGTAGTTCCTCATCTCCTTGTCTGTTTTTAAGCCAGCTGTGCAAACAGCTCTCCATCCCCTCTGGAAATGCACTTGTGGGTTTCGCCATCCTCTTGCAACAACTCTCTCCTTCAGAATCTGGGATGCGCTGTTCTCAGCCTCCACGTAATAGTACAAGAAAACAGGTACCATGTTGCACTGGATCATGGTGAAGTTCAGGAAGGCACAAGTCCCAAAAGAGTGGCCTCTCCATATGTCCCTCAGAGAAGCAGAAGTCCCCAGTCTCCAGTCACAGTTCAGCATTCCAGGCATCTCCCGCTAATCTGTTCTTGGCTAGGCAGGGTCCCACACAGCTTCATCAGCTTTCTCCTTACATCCTTTTCACCTGCACGGCTGCTACTTCACTACAGACTACATGCCTGCTTCCTTACACCAGGCTGCATGGCCTAATCCTCAGAGGAGCAGACATAGCTCCTCTCACACACAGGCAGCATAGCAGAATATCTTCTGGATCATGGCTCCTTCCTCATGGCTACTTCCTCCTTCTCTCTCCTCATGGCCAACCTTCATGGCTGCCTCCTGCTACGGCCTGCATTGCTCCTATATCACTACAGACCTCATGGCCAGATCCCCTTATCTTCTAGCCTGCCTGGAAAAAAAAAAAAAATATATATATATATATATATATTCTTTTATATAATCTTCATATAATCTTTAATGTATTTTCTTGGTTTCAGAAGCAAGCAAGCTGTCTTTCCTGGGTTCCCTCAGGACTGTGCTGGGACCTACACTTACTTAGTCCCTGTCCTGGATCTTCTGGGGTTTTGTGTCCTTATTCTATCCAATCCTTTTCCGAGATTTTCCCAGGGTAGACTCCTCCCCTTTATGGTCACCATTTGGGAGCCTACTATGCACACCTTAAAGTTCTGCTTCATCATTTGTCCATCACATGTGCTTCTGCATCACATGTGCGTAAGTAGAAGGAGCTGCCCCTGCACCATTTTGTCTTCTACTTCACATGCACCCAGCAAAGGAATTTCCCCCTTGCTCTGGCTGTTCCCTAGGGAGATTAGAAAACTGGTCTCTACTCTCTGCTCTCCCCTGGGGTGTCTGTGAAGCTGTAGCTTTGGGACTTAATCAAGTTTAGCTGCTTTTGCTCCTTTCTCCTTTGTTAATACCTAAGTAGCTATCTATGCAAACAAGCCCACAACTGGAGACTGAGAGGCTCTGAAGAATAAAGTATTGTTCTCACAGGTCCTGGAGACAGGAGGCATGACCTACAAGGCTGTATGCAAAACATACCAGGGTGGTCAAGAGGCACAAGACAAGAGCTGGGGGAAAGCTCAGGCCACTGCCTTTGTATAAGTTTCCACAGACAGCAAGACAGGGCAGAGTAAACAGTTTAGAATTTGCTAATTTGAATAATTCCAGGGGGCTTTGGTTACAGGAGTGTTCTCTAGCTCCCTGGTGTCTGCCTCTGGGGTGATTTAAGGCAAAAGGATACGGCTTAGTGTGTGAGTTAGGTGAGAAAGTACCTGGGGGGTGTACACTTGAGATTGGTAGGTTTGCATAGGATAGGGATGCTTTCAGGCAAGTTGTTATCTTTTTGTATTAACTAGCCCTGGGAGGGGCAGTCTGTCCTCAGCCAGAATGGTCTCTTAAGATGTCAAAATATCATAATATACAGACAAAAACAAAAAAATTTAAATGACAATATACCTATATTACCATTTACGAATATACTTTGTATCACTCACATGGTGTGATGGAAGGTATTCTTCTTCAAAGGTGCTGTCAGTGCTAAAGCACTCATTGCTGTCCTTCAAACAACCCAGAACCACGGAGATGTTAAAACTTTACTTCTTGTTTTCTTTGCAGTTACTGGTGAAAGAGGTATGATTGTACATTGTCTTTTTGTGAAATAACATTGGCACTATCTCTATTTCTTATCATGCTGAATTAATTGTACTCTTTAAAATGTTATATCCAATGCTTAATATTACTTATAATTGATATAATGATCAAAATTGGGGGAGGTGGTTATTATCACTCTCTCTTACATTGGCATTACTATTTTAAACTGGCACTTAATATGTTCCTTATTGATTAATATATATGATGAGTTGAGTAAACTAATAAATTATTTTTGTTCCTTAGGGCTATGTAGATCAAGAAGGTAATCCGATGGGGTTTGCTGGACTGGTATCACATTTGCATTATCATGAACCTTCTAATTTTGTTTTTGTCAGTTTTCTTGTAAGCGGTCTTTTCCATAATCTCTGTCAGCCAACCCATAAAGGTAAGCTTGATGTGCCATGTGTATAGTCGAAAATTAGCAACAAAAGCTATAGTGAAGTTAACACTTTAAGAATATATTTCTACAAAGAAAATACAAGGTAATATTGAGATAATTTAGAGATACAAAACTAGATAAACTTATATATGCCTACGCATATAGATTATATGGGAAACAGCTATATTTTGTAATACCTATTTTAAAACGTCAACTTCTTTCTAACTTCAGTGATTCCTTGACTCCAGGATTCAGAACACATTAAATAATATGTAATATTTTAATAAACATTTTAAATTAAATTCAGTATATGCTCATTATAGAAAAGGAAAACATGTTATATATAATATTTACCATTTTTATGAATATTTCCTCCCAGTTTTAAAATGTAACTGTATACTGTATTTAAATAGCTCATATTATATTAATTGCATAATTTAGAATCTTGTTTTCTCCCTAAATATGTTTTTGCCAATGTTGTTTTTGTAAATTTTTGTTAATCCTGTTTGCAATGCCTGTGTAATATTACATTTAACACAGCTTTTGATTTTTATAATTAAATAGACCCCTTAAACAATGTTCCTGAGAAAAATGTTTCCCACTTCATACTTACATTATTTAGAGTTCCTAATGCCTAGTGGAATCTGCCTTTGACAACATTACTTTATCTTATGTCATGAACTGATAGAAACACCCTATTAGTCACTGCACTGTTTTATGAAACAAGGATACTCAGGAAATTCTGTCCTTTCAAAAGCTCTGTAAGAGGAGAAGTAATTTCATGCATCAAGATGTGTGGTTTGTGTTTATTGCTGTGTGTGTATGAGGAAGAGCAGTGTATGCAGTTACAAACACAGAGATAGAAAATTTGGTAACTTTATAAGGCAGATAATATGGCTATCACGATTTTGTGAATGAAGAAACTGAGGCACAAAGAAGTTAAATTGCCATGGTCACAAAATTTTAGTAAGTGTCAGGGCCAAGATGCAAATGTAAGTAGTCCACTTTCTAGAGCCCAAGTTATTAAATGGGGGGCTTTTTAAACCACTACCATAGAATTCTCATGTGTTGTGATGGATAGAGAGAGTAAGTCAAGTTGATCAAACTTTAATTTGAGTGACAGGAAGATAATGTAGGGAGAGGTTATTTGTAGGCTGAATTTTTGGAAGCCTTCAATGCTAGGCTCAGAAGACTGAATTGTGTTTATGATCCATTGAGGTACAATTGGAGATTATTGAATAGGTGAGGGATGTGACCATAAATGCTTTAGTAAAACTGATCACAGATTGAAGAGGGGAGAATCCAGGTAAGGAGATGAGGCAATATGTGGTTGGAATAACTGAAGTCCCAAATAGAGTGGGAGTAACAAGAATGAAAAAGAAGGCACAGATGTAACACTCCTAGGTTAGAGTTGTTCCTTAATTGCTATATTTGTCAAAAAGTTTCAGTTAACATGATATGCAAAGTAATATTGAATTTAAACATTAAAATTGGGATTAAAATACTATTTTTTTTATATTTGTTAACAAAATACTTTGTTTTATGTAGGCTCAAAAAGTTTTTCTCAAGATGTTATGGAAAAGCTTGTGTTAGTATTGGCAAATCTGTTTGGAAGAAGGTATCTTCCAGCAAAGTTCCAAGATACAACTGTCAAATTTTGTCAATCAAAGGTAATATTTATAATTCTGGTAACACTAAATAATTAAGATGACTAAATCCTACCACAGATGATTCAGCAATAATACAATTTTATTAAATGTAGAATTCATTTGTTTTATATACTAATAATTTTTTTTCTGTAATCATTGTTATATTTCATCTGTAATTCATAAATTTCCCCCTATAAGATTAAACATCTTGAGGAAACCATAAGATAAAAAACTTTGCTCGTGCTATCTGAAAGTATCAAATTATAGCATTTAGTGGCTAAAGAAAAAATGTAGATAATTATGCATTAAATGAACAAATAGTTCCCATCATTGAATCTACAGTTCTCTTAGGGGTTTTTTAAGCTTGAACTAGGGCTATAGCTAGGAAGAATATGTTGTGAGTTAGAATGTCCTTACTGGAAACAAACAAACAAACATTAGAATAGTCATCTAAGAAATCATCTCCTGACTCATATAGACTAAAATCAAGAAAAACTTTTACAATTTTATTTGCAACATTTACTTTGATCTTGATTTCCTATCATTAACTATTATGACTAATATACTCCACTAGAATCTGAGAAAGTGGGATAGGCTGGTTAGAGTAGAGAACCTTAGTAAAAGGTGACAAGGAACACAAAGAGAAGAGTTCATTTATGTTGTCTAGCCCTCAGTGTCAAATTACAAATCTTAGTCTCATAGAATGTTCTGTACACCAGTGAACACAACTTTAGACATTGATATATATCATCTTCAGGTTTTTAACTTCACACGTACACTCTTAACTATTATTTAATTTCTTGTTTACATAAATTTATATTTAACTTATAAAAGAAAATTCAGTATCTCTATTCTTACAAGTAAGGTCATCATAAAAATGTATAATAAAAGAAGGTTTTGAGCAGAGGTCTTCTGTCTCTCTCTTCCTTAAGATTATTGTAAGTGTGTGCATGTTAAGGTAAGATGTAATAGGTGGTCATGACTCTTATTGTAAAAGAGAGCTGTGAATGTAATGAGGATTAGATTAGCTAAAGTGATAGAATGGCAAGAACTTATCCCAGGTGTGATAGGAATCTCCAACTCTGGTTTTTCTCCCAAAGAATTTATCTGTTCTGGAAAAGGGTTGAAAATTGTACTTAGCATATGCAGAGAGCCTCTCCTGTGAGATAATACAAACAAACAAATAAAACATACATACATGCAAACAAAAACAACCAACCAGTAAAGTTATTAGTGACAACATGGGGCTGGAGTGACAGACTAGAAAACCTGAGAGATTTAGTGAGCTTTAGCCATTGAAAATTTACTGGGCATAAGGTCTACATAAAATGGTAGGGCACGGCACCAAATTTCTTGTAATCTTGTAGCATTTATTAAATAAAACCCCATTGGAGAAAAGGATCTGTGTTTATTTACAGACTTGTATCCTCCTCAAGACATTTTTGAAGCCATCAAAGGGCTGGAAGATATGAGTTAGGAGAGAGGTGGATTTTTGGCAGTCTTTTAAGGCTCCGAAGAATGAGACCCACCATCCTCATACCAAAATCTTGAGAGGACCATGATATAAGAACAGAGATAAATCAATATAGACTGAGACTTATTAAAACTGGAAAACAGGACCACCCAACTTCAGTCTATACTTGGACTGAGGTGACCACATCTTTATTCAGTTGGTCAAACAGAAAAGTGGGGGAGCTCATTCTAGTCAAGAAAACATCATTTAAAGACTTTTATGTTCTTTTATAAACATTTTCTGGTACAAAACCCCCAAATCCCCAAAACTAAAAGAGTGACTAAACAAGAATATATGACCAACTTAGCAAGAAGAAAAAGTAGGCAGAAGTAGAAGACACACTGGAATCCAAATACTGGAATTAAGATAAAAAGACTTCAAGTATGGTTGATGTGTTCAAGAAAATAGGGGAAGAGCTACATAGAAGTGGTGAAAGGACAGATAATTTCACCAAATAATTACTGGGCATTTCATAATTAAAAAATATAATATCTGATCAGAATATACATATCAGAAGTCAGAATCAGTGAGTTGACAAACAACAAAGTATCCAAACCATAGCACAGGGAGAAAAAAAATGAAAATAAAAGGAGATAGCAGAAGAGATATGAGAATCATACTCAAAAGGTTTAATGTTATACAGGGGGCATCCCAGAGGAAGAGGAGGCAAAAAAATGATGGAAAAGTACTTAACAGTCGTAGCTGGGAATTTTCTGAAGTTGATGAAAGACAGTACTCCATAGTTTCTGAAGTAGAGTCAATTTCAAGAAGAATAAATATAAAGAAACATTAAACCAAAATTAATGGAAATAAAAAACAAAGATGAAATCATAAATCAGCTAGAACCAAAATAGACATTTCCTTGAAGTAAGAAATAAGATAGCTGATTTTTTAACCAAAATAATGAAAGCTAGAAAAAACTGGAATTTTTCCACTCTTGTTTATTTTCATATAGAAATGTGTACTTATATTTAGCATATGTTCTATACATAATTTAAAATATGGTAGATGCATTGTGATTGATTTGATAACACATCAAGTGATTATGTATATGTCTACTTTATTCTTTTTTTAGCATTATTGATGACAATTGGTATGCAAAATTACACACATTTAATGTATACATCTTAATGAGTTAGAAAATATAAAATATACGTAAACTCATGATATATATTATCACCATAACCAAGGTACTAAATATATCTCTCACCTCCAAATATGTCCTTGTGGTTTTTGTCTTTTTTTTTTGATAGGAACACAGATTTATTCTGTTAGTGTATTTTAAAGTATGCAATGATTTATTATTAATTATAGGTACTGTGTTGTACAGCAGATATCTAGAACTTACTTATCTTGCATAATAGAAACTTCATATCAAATGGAAAAACAATTCCCCCTTTCCTTTTCCACCCAGCCCCTGGCAACCTCAATTCTACTCTCTACTTCATTCTATGACTATTTTAATAAGAGACTTCATATATATATTTGTCCTTTTGTGATTGGCATATTTACTTGCACAATGTCCTCTAGGTTCATTCACGTTGTTGCAAATGACAAGATTTCCTTTTATTAAAGGCTAAATAATATTCCATTGTATGTATGTACCACATAATCCTATCCATTCATCTGCTGATGGTGTAGAAATATTTTCTCCTATTCTGGAAATGCCTTTTTGATTTATTGATTAGTCCCTTTTCTATGCAGAGCTTTTTAGTTTGCTATAGTCCCACTGTTTTTTAAAATTTTTTTATTGCCTACATTTCTGGTGTTATATTAAAAAAAAAAAATCATTGCTAACACCTAACACCAACATCCCTGTATTTTCTTCTATGAGTTTTACAGTTTCAGGTCTTACATTTAAGTCTTGAATTTATTTCGAGTTTATTTTTATGTACAGCATATGGTAAGGGTACAATTTAATGCTTTTACATGTGTATATCAAGTTTTGCCAACACTATTTGTTAAAGAGACTCTCTTTCCCCATTGTGTGTTCTTGGCACCCTTATTAAAGATCTGCTGACCATATATCTGTGGTTTATTTTTGGAGACTCTATTCCATTTATCTATAAATCAGTCATTATGCAGAATCATACAGTTTTTATTATGTGGCTTTGTAATATATTCTGAAACCAGGATGTGTGATGCCTCCAGTTTTGTTCTTTTTTATCAAGATAATTTTGGATATTCAAGATCTTTTGTGATTCCATATGAATTTTAGGATTTTTTTATACTTCTGTAAAAAATGCCATTGAGATTTTGTTAAGAATTGCAATGAATCTGTAGACAGGTTAGGAAATTGTTGACATCATAGCATGTCTTTCTATTAACAGGTATAATTTCTTTCATCAGTGTTTTATACTTTTCAGTGTAGAAATGTTTCACCTCCTTGGTTAAGTTTATTTCTAAGTATTTTATTCTTTTTGATGCTATTGTGATGAGATTGCCTTAACTTCCTTTTCAGACACTTGATGTATAGAAATGCCACTGATTTTTAAATGTTGATATTGTATCCTGCAACTTTGCTGATTTTATTAGTTTTAATATTATAACATGGTAGAAAAATTAACGAAATATCAGCAAAATGAATCCACGGAGGTCTTAAAAACTCTCACAATCAAGTGAGGTTTATTCCGGGCATGCAATGTATTTTGTATTTTTGCTTGCTCTCCAAATGTGTCACTAGATTTTTTTTAACTATTCATAGGTCTAATGTCATTTCAAGCTCTGTTTCTGTTTAAAATTTGGTTTTGATTAAGTAGTGTGAAAGCACATTTTTAGGAGTAAAAGTACTGCTTTTATAAATGCAAGTAGAAACACAAATTTTACCTTAATTTCATGGCTGAGGGAATAAAACAATTACATTGTTGAATAAATAAATATATGTAGAATTATAGCACAATGTTCTTTGCCCGTCTTCCAAAGTTTTTAGTTTTCAAGGAAAGTATGTAGATCTTTCTGAAAACTATTTGGCCCTTTGGCGCTCTTGATGATCTCCTTGGTGACTTAGGTGTTCCTTGAGGATCTCCCTGAGGACTTTAATGCTGCTTTACATGAGTATAACATGAAAGTTACAAGGGACTTTGCCTCCTTTCTACTAATTGTTTCCAAATTGGCTGATATGAAACAGGAATATCAACTCCCATTGTCAAAAATAGGTAAGTCTATATTACCTTCATTGTGAAAAATTTGAAGCATAAATAATTGTACCTAACAATATTGTATCCCCAAAGAAGAAAAGATTCCTGAAAATAATCAGTCTCCTTTAGAATAAGGGGATTCCTTCTCCTTTCCAGTGAAAAAGCTGATTATTAGCAGTTAATATGAAGTCAATAGAGCCATTTGTAAACCATCTTGATTAAAGGTTGCTTTTGGGTCAAGCCTGGAAAATGGAGTTAGGACATATATGGGATGAAGAGAAACTAGAGACTATTCTGTCACTTTTTTCCTTGAGAGGAAATATTCATGGTATTCATGAAGATCGACAATCAGCAGATACCTGGGTCCAAACTTTGGACCCTGTTTATTAGCAGCGAATCGTTGGATGAATGACTCCATATTCCTGCCTCAATTTTCTCAACAGATATAGGAAAAAGAGGATAACATTATCTACTTAGTTTGAGTGCAATTTAAATAATTAGGTTAATATATGTGTGAATATCTTAAAACTGTTCCTAGTAGCACATAGGCAAACACTATTCATCTTTGCTGTTGTTTTTCATAAGCTATTGAATGGAACTCTTCCAGGAGAAAGTAAAGCAGAAAAAGGTTACTGGGATAAAGGGAATGGATTGAGCTGCGGGTAGTAATTTCCTGGTTACATTATATCCTAACTTCCTTAACTGAAAAAAGTCAAGGAAAGGGAGCTTGTGGCTTCTGGGCCCCTATTCAAGTGGGAAGCAACATGAACAAAAGCAGAGATTAATAGTGCAGCTCTGTGCTTCCCAGAGGAGGCAAAATCGGCGCGTGTGAATATCTTGCCTCCCTGACAAATCAGAGCCAATTTGGAACACCTGATCTAGTGCTTTGTAAGAGTAGGAATGGGAAAAATATCTCTTCTCATATGCCATTTCCAAATCTAGTGATAGTGGCTACTTGGAACACCCTGTCTAGAAAGATTCTGAGGCCAAGTCTGAGTTCAGCGGGTAAAAAATACCAAGGTAATAACAATAATTCTGTGTTAAAAGAGCATACAATTTAAATTAGTCTTTTATTACCTGTTGATCAAAGCAGCTGAAATAGAAAACAAAACTTTAAAATGCTGGTAATAATATTAGTAGCTAACATTTATTGAGTATATTCTGTGCCAAGATGTGCTATGCATTTTATGTGCCATATCCTAGCCAGTCTTCCTTATGCTGTTGGCCCTGGAAAACTGCATGGTCTAGAGCAGATACAGATGGCTTAATAATTTGGCTAATTTGTAAAACGAAACTATCCCAACCTGTTATGGCCAGATTTCACAGGTAAAGAATGTGAAGACTCCCAACTTGTGTCTCACTTGATGAGCTGCAAGGAAGGAAGAAGAGCTATTTCTCCATTTGTTTGTCTCTCTGGGAATTCTGATCATGATTTGCTTCACCTAGAAACTCCAGACCATGTAAGTAGAAAATGGGGTTTATAAATAAAAGGTCTTTAAGGGAAAAAAAAAAGATTTATACTTTCAGGCAGCTTACAAAGGACTTCAAATTTCTCAAAGTGAAAAAGAAATCTAGGTATATCAACAGAAATATAGAGGAAATGGTGCTCTTAGGGCCAGTAAGATTTGTTCTCAGTATGCACCCTGCTCCACTATATAATACTTCCAGGACCATCACTTTTTTTCCATCTTTGAAGACTCTAGGGGGCATTGAAACAGTTGGCAGTGAAAAGAGCACCGAAAACTGTCTCCAAGCTTCCCAGTGTTGCTATAGATGCTGCAAACCACTTATATACTCTGGATCACTAATGTCCAAAATGGAACATGAAGAACTTGACACACTTGGAATATGCTGAGTAATTCATTTGACCATTGGAATAAACCCCTTTCAGCAGTTTAATTTGTACCTTAATACAAATTTTGAGAAAGAAAATAAGTTTTGTTATATTTGATACACAAAATTATATTGAATATAAAATATAATTGAAAAATAAAATAAAAAATAAAGGAAGAGATGTCCAAGGCAAAATCAATAAAAAACAAAGCAAAACAAATCAAATTAGAGACCTCTGCTCCAGGTCTTGTCTGAGGCTCTATATGGATGGCTCTGTAGAGTTTTACCCCATCTAAATAGTCTTAGTTCTAATAAACTGCCTTTGAAGAATGTGGATTTCTAGCATAGAAATAATAAAGTTGTCTATTTAGCTTGTAAGACCAATGATTTCATGGAGGTCTTTTTCCTGTATTTTATTTGTATGACCACAAATAATTATTTACATAAGGGATTTTGGAATATTTTTCTTTTACATTGAAAAAAGATATATTAATTGTTAAGTATAATTCCCCCTTTCTTTTATCATACAATTAATCCAGCTTATGGACATAATGTACCATTCACTTTTGTTTCCTTTTGATGTACAAGTTTTTCCATGACTTTTGAAGAGACGTTGATACAGTTATAATAGGATATAATGTCTGTGCTTACTGTCATACAGTTCTTATGAATTAGCAAGACCTTTAAAGTGCAGGATATAAAGTGACTCAGACTCATAATTGTTATTGATGATGTGCCAGAGAGAAGGGGACATGTCTATTTCCTCTATTTTGAAACATCTTGCACTCTTGCACATTTCCAGAGTATTGCTTGATGGTGATATGCTCCTTGCCTTATCAAACTCACTTTACACAAATTTACTTTACTAGTGTAAATTATAATCCCTTAAAACATATTTTGCTTTTATTGTTTGTTACATTTTAGTATAACACTAATCTGCATACATACATATTGTTAAATGGCATACGGATAAGCTAGAAGGCATAAAACTAGTAAGAGCACTTATGTGCTCCCCCTCTGTTTCATTCACTTGTCTCTCCTCTTCCCCCCAGGATAGCAACTGATTTTCTCCTTTACAAATGTCAGATTCCAAAATCACATTTTGTTTTTGCTGCTTTTGAATTTTATAAAAAGTGAAGGAATGCTGTGGTCTTTTGGAAGTTGTTTTTTTTTTATGCCCAACACTGTGCCCATGGGATCCATTCATGTTGTGACATGAAACGACATGAAACTCTACTTTCATACTATGAAGTAGTAAAAATAAAACAACCTGTTGATCTATTCTCCTGTTAATTAGTGTTCATGTTTGTTTCTAGTCTATATTATTCATAGGGCTGCTATGAATGCCTGATACATATGTGCAACAGTTTCCTTTGAGTATAAATTATCTAGATTTTCAGAGTTAAAATGATTTTCTTTATCATAATGGAATAAGAATATTATAAGAACTGTTAACAATGGTAACTTTCCAAGCTACTGCAAAGTCATTTTAGAATATCGTTGCACCAATTTACACTCTCACTAGCAATGTACTAGAATTCCTATTGGCCCTGCCTAGTAAAGCTTTCAAAGAAAGAGCAGACATGGAAAACTATTAGTGGACTTTCTTTCTTCTCTTATTTTCCTTCTTTTCTTCCTTCTTTTCTCCCCTTCCTTTTTATTCTGGTAACTGGACTATGCAAATTGTTAGAGTTGTTCAGAAAAGTACCAACTCCCTGATACTTTGTTTATACAGGCATTTCCTGTACCAATGAGGACAATGGTAGAATTTTAAATCAGCTTTCCTTTCCTAGTGAATCTTGCTCTATTCTAAGCCGGATGGTTGAAGTTGCCATCAGCGTGCTATGAGGCAATAATGTTCTCAGGTGGCGCCACGCCATTCCCCAGGCTGGCTCAGGATGGCACTACCCAGTGCGCCTGAAGGACAGTCTCTACCCTCCCTGAAAGAGTGTGTTTGAAAAACGTTGGTTAAAGGAAGTAACTGAAAAGCACAATCTAAGAAATTATAAACTTTCTTTATGCATAGCAAAAAATTAAGAAAAATTGTATTTCCTCAGGTCATCCTGCGCACAGTTGGTATCAGTTACACTCAGGCTCCTTTGCTTTGGTCACAGAAATATGATAGCCAAGGAAGAAGAATGCCACTTAATGCTTATGCACTTGATTTCTATAAACACGGTTCCCTGATAGGATTAGTCCAGGACAACAGGTATGTTTTATTTGCTTCCATATGTATTACGACCTCTATCTTCATATCTACATCTACATCCATGTCTATGCCTTTCATCTCTATCTCTATATCCGTATTCATCTCCATCTCTATGTTGATCTCTCTCTCTCTCAAATTCATTTTGCCTAGTGAATTTTAGGCAAAAGCCTTTGTACAATTTTAAGTATAGGTTAATCATGCTAAGCATACTGGAATTTTATTTTTACAGACTAAAGGCAAGAGAAAAAAAACAATTCCTTTGTTATTTTTATTTGTGATTTACCAGAAAAAATCTTGGGACGTAAGCTGACTCACTTGACATAAAGATTTACTCTAAAGGTGTATTTACTCACAGCTATATTATTATTTATTAAGTATCCTATTTATTCATTATTAGATATTTTAAAACTAAGTAACAATAACAAATAATGCCATGCTCTTCATTATCTGAGAGAACTATATAGGACGTATATAATTCATACATTTTAGGACTGAAAAAATGACAATTATTTTAGCTCCTCGGCAGGGAAGCCATTTTTAAAAAGTCAGCAGGAATAAGTCCTCTTGGATTTACTGGCCCAGGCCCTGAGCACAGAGATGGGCGGGGGGAGAGCATTCCGTCACTCCAGTCAGGAACTCAGTGTGCATTTCACATAAAGTTGGAACAGTCCTTATCGAATTAAAGTATTTATAACTTCTGACACTTGAGAAATATCGATCCTTTAAAAAATATAATTCATTATTGTGAATAAAGTGTTGTGATATCAGTAAATAATTTATTGGGTCTTTTTGATTCTCTAGCTCTCATTCACTGTCTCGGGCTTTGCTTTCCTACTTGGGTTTTCTCCTGAGATGGTTACCCTCTGGTGTGTATTGATTATCTTTGGCTGTGATACTTGTCATTCAAATTCACAATCATCATTTGCACAGATGAAATCATTGTTTGGGAGTCTGTGGCAGAAATGATTCTGGTAAATGCATCTTGACAGACAAAAGTAATCTATTATCATTGACAAATCTAGCATTTCAATTATGAAATAAGAAGTTCTTTAATGTCTTTACACAATTAATTTTCCAAATATTGTTTTGTTTAGGATGAATGAAGGAGATGCTTACCAGTTGTTGAAAGATTTTTTACTCACCATTAAATCTATCAGGTGCGTTATATATTGTAAACACTAATTTTGAGCTTTCTAGTAATTTAGTGGTAATTTGAAAAATGCTGAGCTCATACTTAAAGGTGTCACTAAGCTTCCAATCTGCATGCACTTTTATACTTTATGAATGTTCCTTTTTCTGACACTTACTTTAAAAAATGTATACCTACATATAATTTGCCATGAATCCCTCCATTATGGGGTTTTTGCTAAAAAGGTCATTTTTTTTTCTTTTATCTGAGATTAATCCGACCTGTTTGGACTTTTTTACATGGAGGAGGGAACTTTTAGGGTGGTGGAGCAGAGGGAGGTGCTGTAGGCTGAGTCTCCTTACGTGTTCATAGTTGTCCAAATTACAGTCTCCAGAGAGTTCCAAGGAACTTCAGAGACTTTGGAGCTATCTCAAAAGCTGAGTCTAGGGAAGTCACTCGCCCATTCCCTTTTATAAAAGTATTGAAGTATTATTGATTTGAGGTGTAGTCTAAACATTTGAGATAGAGAGAATTATTAAATCAGTTCCTACTTTAAACAAATCACACAGCGTTTTGTGAGGAAACTGAATTGCAGATATTACAAAGGTAGTAAGTGCTGGGATGATGGATAAAAAGGTGGTCTACTCTTCCTCGAATTCAGAAAAGGATTCTCAAATGGAGAAATATTTTGACTAAGTCTTAAAGGATGGGACAGAGGGAATAGTGTTTTCAAAGGACAGGAGTGAGAAAGGACCTGATGTGTGAGGCATAGGCTGCAAGCCTTGTGTTGGTGTGTAGAATAGGGATGAGGAGATGCTGAGTTCCGTAAAGCAGCTTTAAAGGCAATTTGGATGTATATTGGAAAGGTTCTTCATTATCATATTATGAAGTTTGAGCTTATTATTTTGAGCAGTGTGTAGACAGTGCATAAGAATGCGTGTAATATGGGTCTGTGGTTTAGGTATGATTTATATATATGGTGGAGACTCAAAGGCTGTAACAGTCATGCAAGTGGGAATGAGTGAGGTTCTGAATTAAGGAAAGAGAAGTAATGTTGAAGAAGAGAAGTACTTATGAGATAGTGGAATCTAAAAATGACCCACAAAATAAATGAACAAACAAAACAAAACAAAAATATACTCAGAAACAGAGATCAAATTGCTAGTTGCCAAAGGAGAGCGAGACGGGGAATGGGTGAAAGGGGTGAAAGGGGTGCAAGGGGTGAAAGGGAGCATTGTCAATAATATTGTGATAAGTTTCCATGGTGAGAGCTGATCACGAGACTTAGTGTGGTCATCACATTGTAAGAAATATAAGTGTTAAATCACCATATTGTACACCTGTAACTAATCTAATATTATATTGCAACTTAAGTAAAATGAAAATAAAAATTAAAGAATTCAAAGAAATTGTCATTAAATTTCATGCAGCTGGTGAAGATGCCAAAGTTTCTATTTTAGATACATAGGAAACATATGTGTGCAGATGAGAGTGGGGGACTGACAACCAAAAATAGTGTGTTGTATTATCTGTAGAATATCATTCAGGAGGAAATGTTCACTAGTCATAATTGTGTCTGTGACTAGGAGTAAATATGAAGTTGTAAATACAGATCTGGTCGTTCATTTTGGTAGGTCAATGAAGACACTAGGAATAAAACTGGAAGTGTAGTGGAACTAAGGTAGATACAATTTTAAAAGGGTGATAAAAATCAGATCTTGGTTGTTTTCAATCCTTGATCAGCCCAGCTGCAGTGTGCATTCTTGAATTTCCTCTCTCCTTCCTCAACATCTGTACTTTAGTTTCTTATTGCTGCTGTAACAAATTATTGTACCACAAACTTAGTGGTTTAAACCTACACAAACTTATTCGTATAATTTTGGAGGTCAGAAGTTCAGAATGGGTCTCACTGAGCCAAAATCAAGGTGTTGGCAGGCTTGCATTCCTTCCTGGAGGCTTTAGGACAATCTCTTTTGTTATTTATTCCAGTTTCTAGAGGCTGCTGGCATTACTTTGATTGTGGCCCCTTTCTATGTCAAAGGCAGCATTGGTGGGTAGAATCTCACATTGCATCACTCTGACATTAATTTTCTCCTACTTCCCCCTTCTACTAATGAGGACCTTTGAGATATAAGGATCGTGGGCCTACCTAGATAATCCAGGGTAATGTCCCCATCTCAAGGTCAGCTGATTTTCTGCAACCTTAATTGTCCTTTGCCATGTAACCTAACATATTCCCAAATTCCTGAGCATATCTTTGGAGGGCCATTATTCTCTTTACCGCATTGTGTTTTCTTTACTTTCGCACACATTTAGGTAAAAGAAGAAATATTTTGCTCTTCATAGAGGTAGTTACCTATGGATTTCAGTATATACTGGACACAGTAGCAGTACCACCTCCTCCCCCCCCCACTGCCCCCAACACACAAAATGGCTTCATAGGAGACTTGGGTGGAAAAGAAGGAAACTTTTGGTGGCTACTATTGAAAGGAGGAGGGATCAGGTTTTATGGAGTCTTGTGGCTCTAAAATCCTCTTTGTGGCTCTAAAATCCTCTTAGTAATGAACATGGACTACAGTAATAGCCTGTGAGTTGTCTTGTTATCTTTGTTTTTTTGTACACAGTTTTTTTGAATAAACACTTGTCATTATTCTTTATTGTTTGTTAACATTTCATGGTCTAGGGAGATTTACTTAGTTCTGCCTTCCTGGGGAAAGCCTTTCTTATAATACTGATGACTCCTCTCATACAGGTGCTTCATACATATTTATTTTTATTTACAGTGTTTCTTTGCGTGAACTATGTGAATGTGAAGAAGACAATGTGGTCCTAGCATTTGAACAACTGAGTGAAACCTTTTCTGAAAAACTTGAGAAAGTCTAAAAACAAAGTCTATCCAAACCACTTAAAATATTTCCATGGGCATTTTTCAAGTCATGTATTTTATGATTTTCATCCTTTTTGTTAGAAATACGTATATGATGAAGTAGAAAGACCAAGCACGTTAGAGTCAGTTGTGATCAAAACTTCCATGGTCTCTCATGAGTACCATTGTATAAATTATTTAGTATTTCTGAGTTTTCATTTCTTTATATAGTTGAGTAATAATGCTTAGGTCTCAGCTAGTTTCAGATTGATTGAGAAAATGCAAGGACTTTGTATGTGACTGAAAAGCAATTTTTACTCTGTGGGACTTAACCAAATATTACATTCTGAACATTTTTCTCCTCAATGTCATATTTGTAAAGTATTTATTAAGGCTAAAATAAATGATAACAGTATTCCGAGGTTAAAATATATTCTAATTGACCTAAATGTGATTACATGTCTTAGATATATGGCCATTAAAATAGTATCTTCCAGTAATCGTAAACTACTAATTTAAAATTATAAATGAGAATTTTGGTTATAAAATTCTCCGATGTTTTAAAATTAAATGTAGCTGATGATTTCACTTGATTTTAATTATATATAATTAGCTTGGAAACTACAAAGAAAGTAGATTTAAAATATATACCATTTGTCTTGTTATGTTAAATCTATGCCTCTGTCAATCCATTTGCATGCACATATGAATTTTATATAATAGCTTATGCATATATTTTACCCTTTAACAACATGGGCTTGAACTGTGTGGGTCCAATTACATGTAGATTTTTTCAATAAATATATTGCAATTTTTTTTGAGATTTGCAACAATTTGAAAAAACTTACAGATGAACCATAAAGCCTATATTATCGAAAAAATTAAGTATGTCACGAATGCATAAAATATATGTAGATACTAGTCTATCTTATTGTTTACTAGCATAACATATAACAGAACCAGTCAAAGAAATTATGAAAAAGACTGTGGACATGGACAAAAAAAAAAAAAAAGAGGTGGTGGTGGTGGTGAAGGGTTTAAAGATATGGCTCTTAGAGAAATTCAAGCACTAAAGACACCGCACCAGAGGAATGAACAGAAGACGACTTGTTGGAGGTGAGTGCTTCTGAACCAGTGCCAGGAATTGAGGAAGAAGATGCAGAAGAAGCCATGCCTGAAAACAAATTGACATTAGGCAATCAGGGAGAAGGGTTCTGATTATTCAAGACCGCTTTGACTTCTTTTACAACATGGGCCCTTCAATGATAAGGACACTGTAACTAAAGCAAATGTGGAAGAAGGATTGGTACCATATAGAAACATTTTTAGAGAAATGGAAAAGCACAAAAGTCAGACAGAAATTGAGATGTATTTCTATAAAGTCACACTGAGAGTGTCTGCCTCTCATGCCACTCCTTCCACTTCTCTTTGCGGCTGCCACAAGGAGAGAGCAAGACTAACCTCTCCTCCTCTTGGTCCTCCTCAGCCTACGCATCGCGAAGAAAGCAAGGATTAAGACCCTGATGATGATCCACTTCCACTTGATGAATAGTGAATAATTATCATGCTATACAGTTAATAAACTTACCCGTTGTGTATGTGTGTATCTTCATGTGACAATAATAACTGTGTGGCAAGAACTATATGAGACGTTTTTGTGTCGTCGTCATCATCATCACCATCGCTTCGGTATTCAACATGCAGAGCACCCTCTGCAAGGCTTGTGTGGAATTAGATAGGCTATCCTTACATAAGCGTAATGTGAGTGATATTTAATATAAAATTAACACTGTGTTAGTTTTCTTACTGTTTTATTACTTGGCTTCCAAAGAATTACAGTATGGGTAGCATATCTCTGTTGTAATTGGAGAAACTGTGTATCAGCTTATCATCATAGGTAAGTGGTTTTAAAAAAGTAACAATGTTTCCAATACTGTAATATGAATATGACTAATACTGTGTGCCATAAAATTTTATAATGATTCATATATTAGTGTATAGGCTAGATGACCATGAAACAATCCTATTAATTGCACTAGGCTACCTAAAGCAATTATATTGCTGTTTTTTTTGTCCTCAGTGCATGAATTGTTATACCTATAAGTAAATGAGAATTTCTTTTTCATATTATATTTTCATATTTGAAGTCTAGTATTAGTACAAATAACGTCTATGTGTTTAGCATATAAGACAATATTGATTTAGGTACCAACAGGCCATTCATCTTGTAAACAATATGAAACTATAGTATCAATAAATTAGTACTGTAAATGTATTTTCCCTTTTGATTTTCTTAATATTTTTTCTCCAGCTTACTTTATTGTAAGAATACAGTATGTAATATATACAGTGTAGAAATTATATATTAATTGACTTTATGTTATCAGTAAGGCTTCCAATCAATATTAGACTAATAGTAGTTAAGTTTTGGGGGAATCAAAGTTATATGTAAATATATGACTATAGACCCTAACACCTCCACCATGTTGCTCAAGAATCAACTGTTAATTATTTTTCCACCCTAGCCTCAGCCTCAGATCACAGTTCTAGAATCTATTTTTGACTTTAAACTTGAACAAAGCATTTCATCCTCAGAGCAAAAGGTCTATTTTGTCCAATTACCTGGATGTCTTACTTAAAGATGATCTTCTGTGTGCCATTTTTTATATGTACATTTTATTGGTTTAGAAAAACACCCATGGTTCATTTCATCTCGATATAGAAGAGCTCTGTTTTCTGGAACTGAGTCATCATTAATGTGCCATGTCTGGGGTCTCTATTTTCTTAGGCTACATCTTTTTTATTATTTGAAAACATCTACTACAACAATTTCTGAATACCAGAATTCTTAGAAACCAAGTAGTTTCTATTGTCCTTCATCTCTACTAAAAAAAAAGATACAAAATATTAATGTAATATCAGGGTTTTGACTTCCTACTTGTAGTTTTCTAACTCTGATGGTGATGTGAGCTTTTCTTTCCCTGTATAAATTAGCCAATCTGGCATTTTAATTTTCAGGAAGAATATAAAATTATATACCTGAATTCTTTGATGTGAGTCTAAGGGCAGCTTCCTTTTTGATTTTTAACAGTAGCTTTGAAGAATAACTTAGGACAATTTATGTACAGTGAGTTTACATAGGCACTTTGAAAGCATTTTATGTTCTGTTTGTTGTAGTGATGTGAAACCTTTCTTTTTGAGAAGCATACACAGAAATCCTGGTGAGATTTACTGGAGACATATTATTACCACCATAATTTATTTCCATTTTTTCTAAGAGATGAAAAATATATTGATATTTGGCCTATAAAGGGTATTCTGGAAGAGCCATTTATTTTTAAAAAATGATTTGAGAAAATTGTAAATGCATATGCTATTTTAAGAAATAATATGTCCACACAAAAAATGGTAAATTAATTGATGACAAAGGAGCCAAGAATATACATTGGGAAATGGGCAGCCTCTTCTAAATAGTGTTGGGAAAGCTGGAAAGCCACATGCAAAGGGATGAAACTGGACCACTATCTTACATCATATACAAAAATTAGCTCAACATGGATTAAAGAATTGAATGTAAGACCTGAAATCATAAAGTGCCTAGAAGAAAAAGTAGGTGGTAAGCAGCTTGACATTGAACTTGGCAATGATTTTTTCCAATGTGACACCAAAACAAAGGCAACAAAAGCAAAAATAAACAAATGATAATACATTAAGTTAAAAAAAGCTGCTGCTCAGCAAAGGAAACCATTAAAATGAAGAAGTAACATACCAAATGGGAGAAAATATATGCAAGTCATATATCTGATAAGGGGTTAATATTCCAAACTATATAAAGAACTCATACAACACAGTAGCAAACAAACAAATAAATAATCTGATTAAAAATGTGCAGAGGACCTACATAAACATTGTTTCCAAAGAAAGCATACAGATGGCCAATGGGTACATGAAAAGATGCTCAACATCCTTAATCATCAGGGAAATGCAAATCAAAACCACAATGTATTACCTCACACTTGTTAGAGTGGCTATCATAAAAAATGCAAGAGATGATAAGTGCTGGCAAGGATGTGGAAATTGTTGTTCATGGTTGTCAGGAACGTAAATTGTTGCAGCCACTATGGAAAACAATATGGAGGTCCCTCAAAATTTAAAATAGAAGTATCATATGATCCAGCAATCCCACTTCTGGGTGTTTATCTGAAGGAGACAAAACACTAATTTGGAAAGGTCTATGAACTTCCACGTTCACTGAAGCATGATGTACAGTAACCAAGACAGGAAGCAACCTAGATGTCAATTAATGGAAGAATGGATAAAAAAATATATACATATAATGGAATATTATTTGGCCATAAAAAAGAATTAAATCTGGCTATTTGTGACACCATTGATGGACCTTGAGGGCATTATGGTAAGTGAGGTAAGCCAGAGAAAAACAAAGACCACATAATCTTGCTTATACAGGGAATCTAAAAACCAACCAACCAACCAACCAAGGACTTAATTTATAGATACAGAAAACTTATTGATGGTTGCCCAAGGCAGAAGGTGGGTGGTGAGTGAAACAGGTGAAGGGGGTCAAAAGGTAAAACATTCAGTTATAAAATAAAGGTTATAGAATATAATACACAGCATGGTGACTACAGTTAATAACACTGTACTGAATAAAAGTTACTAAGTAACTCTTAAAAGTTTTCATCACAGGAATAAAACTGTAATTATGTGTGGTGATGGATGTTAACTAGACTTGTGGTGGTGACCATTTCACAACATATGCAAATATTATTAAATCATTATGTTTTACACCTAATACTAATATGTCAATTATATCCCACATGAAAAGATAATTAAAAAATAATGCAGTAAGATCCCATATAGCCTTTACCAGTTCTCCAAATGGTAACATCTTGCATAATTATAGTATAGTACATTATCAGAACCTGGAAATGGATATAAATATAATCTGTTATTCAGATTTCATCAGTTTTACATGCATTTATTTGTGTGTATTTACTTCTATGAAGTTTTATCACATGTAGATTTGTATATTCACCTACATAATCAAGGTCAGAACAGTTCCATTACCTTAATAAACCCTCACATGTTCCTTTTATAACCACCTCCCTCAGTTTCGTGCTTCTTGCTGTCCCCTTCTTATCTGATTCCACACCCCTTCACCCCCAAGCTATCCCTAAGAGCTAGCCACCACTAGCTGTTCTCATTTTTGCAGTTTTTTCATTTCAAGACCTATATAACTAGAATCACATAGTACGTAGCCTTTTGATATTGGCTTTTTTCACTCAGCATAATTCCTTTGAGAGCCATCCAAGTTATTGTATTATCAATAGTATGTTTCTTTGTATTGCTGAGTGGTTTTGCGGGGTACGGGTGTGCAACAATTTGTTTAACCATTTAACCCATTGAGGTAAGTAGATATTTTATTAAAGGAAGGGCATATTAAAAGGCTACTTACAATTTTACCTTTGGCATGTGCTGAGTACTGTATAGAAATCGCTTTTAATTCTACAATAAACATTGGAGATAGAATCAATTATTGTCTGCATTGTGTTGATGTAGAACTTTAGATTCAGAGCAATTAGAAACTTGTTCAAGATGATGCAGCTAGTGAATATAACACGTACTTATTTGAAGAATTTGAACCTAAACAATCTGGCTTAAAAGGCACCCTCTTAACTGCCAGGCTATACTTCCATCTGACAATAACAATAATAATAATCAATCTTTATCGGTAAGTTAAAATTTGCAAGGCACTGTGCTAAATGTCTTACAGATAATGTATCATTTATTTTGTAAAGCATCCCTGTGAGACAAGTATATACGAGTATAATACAATACTTTTTGGGAACACAGAAAAGGTTAGCAATTATATCTGTTAAGAATTATTGAGAAAAGACATCATATAGACAATTGGACTTTTATTAAACACTTCATGGAGATACACTGGAGGCAGCAAAACATGTGAGTAAAATGTCCAAATTTCCCCCAAGTCCAAACTTCTCTTCTGGAATGAAACATTAACAGTTGTGTGGTGACTGGAATAAAAAATAATACTGGAGACCAGGCCGGTTGAGAGGCTCTTAAAATAGTCAAAGTCGGAGGTGATAAAACAAGAACCTTAACAAAAGCAGTGGAGCTAGGCACAGAAAGAAGGAATGAAAAAGAATAGTGTTCAGGAGATAGAACTGAGGAGATCTAAGAGTGGGTTAAATACAGGTCTGGTCGAAGAAGAGGTACGTTTCTCATTTGAATGGAGGAATGGATTTGGATGCCATTAAACTATGTAAGACATACCAGGGCAAATATCTGGGGAGCAGCATATAATGATTTTAATTTGGGACATATTTATGTTGAGCTACCTCTTTGACATTTCTGGATAAATTAAAGATAAAAATCAGGAACACAAGAGTCACCAGTGAATATTTAATATTTGGAGGTACAGAGACATTTTATACACTTAAAATTCCATGAGATTTTCTCAATGATAAAATCCAAACTCCTTGGGATGCTATTCAAGATCTCTACAATCTGGCATCAGCCTGTCCTTCAAGCTGTATCGCCCGCTTTTTTGTTAATATACCTTTAATAATCTGGCCAAACCAAACCAGTCCGCAGAGTGCCCGCCAAAGTGAAGTTTACATTCTCCTCTTCGGACACCTATTATTTGGCTCTGAATCGCCGCCCCCACCCCGCCCCTGTTGTTCTATCTAAATCGTAGCCGTGCTTTAATATCCACCTCAAATATCACCTCTGCCTGGCTTTCCTCTCAGATGATTTCACTGAAAGCGAAAACAACAGCCACTCTTCCAATGTTCTCCAACTCCAAATCGTCACCAATGAACTGAAACCTTCCTCAGTGTAAAGAGATGAATTCAAATTTATATCGTCTCAAAGTATTTTCTGTAGACCAAGCAAGCAAAGCCCTTAAACTGTGATATTGTCTAAATGCTAGAAACCTAACTGAAAAGAGGGTCAGCACATTAGAAATAACGGGCAGATAACCTATCCAAAGAGGTCTTCACACGGGATGGTGGTTGGAGTTAGAGCCTTTAGTTCTGTTGAGGGAGGAGCGTCTCTGCAGGCCTCTCCTACTGTCATTGAGTCAAGTCCCCTTTTCTGATTGTATTCTCATGATCAGCTTTAACAACAAATATTTTTCCATTATAAAGAAAAACTTATATTTTATTGAGTGTCTCAAGTGCTATATGCTTTACAAAACTTTATAACAGAAGAATGACAGTGATAGTAACGAATCCAATAATAAATCAGTGGCTGAACGAAGTCCTTGGACTAGGTGGCCGCTGGGGCGTGTCCCAGACTGCAGTGAAGTAGTCCAGGGAGGTGTGTGTCTATTTTGCACTTTGCCTTCAGTGTTTACTTTTCCAGGGGATCTGGCCTAAGGACTCTCTTTTTGTTTTTCCAGCCTCTCCAGGAAATGAAACTGAAAGCAGGATGCGGTAACAGGCACAGAGAAGTTGCTTACGTGGCTCACTTAGAGAAATGACGTAGATCTGACTCAACACTTCAGGGCAGACTTCGGCCCTCTCCTGACTGTGCACTGTGGCTAGCTGGTGGACGGTGAAAAGAAAGCTACAGAGCCCAGGTAAGAGAGGGTTTGGTGCCTTGTGTGTAGATAAACTAGTGAGGAAAAAAAAAATGAGTGCTTATACTGAGGGACCATTCAAGGAAAAAGAATTGCTGCTAAGGGCTAAGTTAAACTGGAAGGCTCATTAGACCTGAGTCAGAGAGCTGATGGTAGTTTTAGTTCCAAGGCAAAATAATGTATTTGCAAATAAATTAACTCCAACATCCATTTGAGACTGATGTCAACATATAGCTGCTTTAGATTGAATTTTATTTGTAAAACATGCTAGGACTTCCTGGTACCAGTGATTATTAAAAATAGATGTGACATAATTTTGCATTAGGCTTATAGCTTATTGTAACAGGCACACATAAAATGGCAAATGCATATATTAATTTAAGTAAATATTTCTGTTTTGAGAAGCCGAGGGTGGGACAGTGATGAACTTGGAAAGACTGATTGAGAAACAATGGTGTTAGTGAGAAATCTACCTTAAATGGTGATTTGTAAATTTGGATTTTGAATACTGTTAACAGAGCTATCTTGAGTATATTTCTAAATTTAATAGTAGGGAATTATATTTCCCTTTAGGATAGATGGTGATATATTTCTTACTGGGTTTCTCTAAACAATTAAGGCTATGTTTCTGCAATATTTCAGTATGATTGGAAATCAAAGGAAAACTTAGTTCTTGTCTCTGAAATTATTAATAATATGTAATTGTGAAGCCCTCTGGAGCAGCCACTTCCCTTTTAATGACCACAGTAGTATTGTTGGTCTCACAATATACAATTGTTCAGAGAGCTCTATGAGGATGAATTGAAAATATTTTCAAGAAACATTTTTATATTTAAAAAATATTGAAATAATGTGTGGTAGAACAGCAGTCCACAGACTGGTTTCCTGAAGGATAGGTGTTGCAGGGCAGGGTGGCCTGAGGCTGAAGGTGAGCTCAGGTTGAGCTTCTCTCCCCCTCTGTGGATGGGGGCAACTGAGGCAGGGTGAAACAGAAGACAAAGTGCAGAGGAACTTGGCTTGCAGCCAGTTCTTAACAGGCCTGCCCTGGGTTGGGGGTCCCGAGGTAGAATGCAAAATTTATATGCATTTTTACTAAAAAAACTGTGAAGGATGAGACATCAGTGAGATTGTAGGCTTGCCAGGGCTGCTGTTAGATGGTTCCCTAGATCCTTTATCCATTTGTCTATAGGCGGGTACCTAGATTGCTTCCATATCTTGGCTATTGAAAACAATGCTCCAGTAAAAATAGGAATGCATATATTATTTCAAATTATGGTTTTCATTTTCTTTGCATAAATACCCAGTAGTGGAATTGCTCGCTTGTACAGCAGTTCTAATTTTTTGAGGAATATTCACACTGTTTTTCATAGTGGCTGCACTAATTTATAATCGTACCAATAGTGCACATGGGGTTCTTTTCTCCATATCCTCACCAGCACTTGTTATTTGCTGTCTTTTTGATAACAGCCATTCTCTCAGGCGTGAGGTGACATGTTATTGCAGTTTTAATTTGCATTTCCCTGATGATTAGTGACATTGAGTATTTTTTCCATGTATCTGTTGGCTAACTGTATGTCTTTGGAGAAATGTATGTTTATGCCTGTGCCCATTTTTAAAATTGGATTGTTTGTTTGATGTTGAGTTGTATGAATTCTATATTTTTTGTATTAACCCCTTACTGGATATATCATTTGCAAATATCTTCTCCCATTCAACAGATTGACTTTTTATTTTGTTATTTATTTTTTTTGGCTATGCAAAATTTTTTTAGTTTGATACAGTTCCATTTGTTTATTTTTACTTTTGTTGCCTTTTCCTGAGAAGACATATCCAAAAATTATTGCTAAGGCCAATATGAAAGAGTTTACTGCCAATATTTTCTTCTAAAAGTCTATGGTTTCAGGTCTTACATTTAAGTCTCTAATCCATTTTGAGTTCATTTTTGTGTATGGTATAAAAAATGTGATCTGGTTTCAAATTTTGTATTTCTCAAGTTTTCCCAACACCATTTATTGATGAAACTGTCTTTTGCCTATTGCATGTTTTCTCCTTCTTTTTAGTAGATTAATTGACCATATATACATGGTTTTATTTCTGGGCTCTCCTTTCTGTTCCATTGGTGTTCGTGTGTGCACATGCACGCTTGCATGCCAGCACCATACTGTTTTCAGTACTATAGCTTTGTAGTATAATTTGAAATTATTGAGCATGACACCTCCAACTTTATTCTTTTTTTCCCAGATTTTCTTTGGCCCCTCAGGGTCTTTTGTGATTCCCTAGATATTTTAAGATTTTTTTTGTTAGAGTTAAGTGAAAAATGCCATTGTTATATTGATAGGTATTGCTTTGGGTAGTACGGACATTTTAAGTACATTCTTTCAATCCATAAGCATGGTATATGCTTCCATTCTTGTCTTCTTCAAATTATTGTATCAATGTCTTATAGTTTTCAGAGTACAGGCCTTTTACCTCCTTGTTCAAATATATTCCTAGGTACTTTATTCTTTTTGATGCAGTTGTAATAGGATTGTTTTCTTTTTTTCCCCCAATAATTCTTTATTTGTGTATAGAAACATAAGAGATTTCTAAGTATTAATTTTATATCCTGCAACTTTACTGAATTCATTTATTAATCCTAATATTTTTGGTAGAATTTTTAGGTTTTTAAAAAATATGTAATATGTTATCTGCAAATAGTGACAATTTTACTTCTTCCTCTCCAAATTGGATATCATTTTTTTCCCCCTCTTGTCTTCATAGCTGTGGCTAGGACTTCTGATACTATGTTCAATAGGAATGGTGATAGTGGGCATCTTTGTCTTGTTTCTGATGTTACAGAAAAAGCTTTCAGCTTTTCTCAGTTGAGTATGATGTTAGCTGTGGGTTTGTATATATGGCCTTTATTATATTGAGGTATATTCCTTTTATACCCACTGTGCTGAGAGTTTTGTTTTCTTTATCATTAATGGATATGGAATTTTGTCAGATGAATGTGTGCTTCTTGAGGCTAGAGGCCTTGAAGATATTGCCTAGAATAGTGTCTGAACTTAGAGTAAATATGATTGAGTAGATAAATTAATAAAATAATTTTATTACTATAGGCACTCAGTAGGATGGCAGGTATTACAGCTAAATTACTCTCATATACCTATTTTTATAAAAATAAAGCATTAACTTTTGTGAATCTGTATATGTAGTTTCTTTTTATATCATTTTATCATTATATCTGTGATTTCTTTTAAAGAGCCCATGACATTAAAATATCTTGCTGAGACTATTTATGTTACTATTGATTGGAGTTTATTTACAGAGAATTATCCTGTCTGCATGTAACTGTATTGTGAATCTAAGTATCTATAGTACCTATGATTGTACCTGTTTGTTTAAGGTATATAGTGACCCTTTATTAGTTTGATTTCTGAGAAACCTCACTTGATTCTTTCCTCCATTAGTGAAAAATGAACATTTTATACTGTCTGTTGGCCAAGACAGTGTCTCACTGTTGGTATCCACCTTGGTATCACCACTTAAATATTTTACTATTAAAAAAAGAACAGATAAAAGAAGAGCACACATGTTGATACAATGAAGGAATGCATATTTTATAAACTCAGTTGAAAAAATGATGAAAGTCATTGGGTACACCAGCAAATTTTAATATTAATTGGATGTCAATTCATTGTAACCTGGTTGCCTGTGTGTTCAACTATGAAATAAAAGAACACAGTCAAAGTAATATTTAAAATGCTGGAGGCCTTGACTGGGTAGCTCAGCTGGTTAGAGTGTCATCCTGATAACACTTAGGTTGCAGTTTCGATCCCGGATTCATTCATTGATTGATTCACATACAGGAATCAACCAATGAACGAATGAAGTGGAATAACAAATCAATGTTTTTCTCTTTTCTTCTCCCCACAAATCATTAAATTAAAAATGAATCTGGAAATTTATCTATGTAGACTGTTCCAAAGCTAAAGTGTACATAGAGATGTTTACTATTTTCTAGTTTTCCTGGATCAAATCTTCCTTTAAACAGGTATGTTATTTTTTTTGCCTTTGTAAATGTGACTTTCACATATATATTTTCAGGAATATGTTTTGCCCTACCATGCCACTCCACCATCCCTTCTGAGTGACTTAATGGTAAATATATTTAAGGAGAAGATTATGAAAATTATCCTTATTAGGAAACCAGGTAATTATGAGGTTTAGAGAACAGATTTTACTTCTGAAAGAAGTAAACTATACTGTAATGTTATTTTAACAAAAGTGACAATTAATAGCTTTGTTTTTATAGATCATGGCTTCTGCACCTCCTATGTTAAATGAAAAATCAAGCCCTAGTAACAGCGAAAGTGAGAGTGAGAGGGAGAGCGATGCTGAAAGTGACAGCTCTGATGACAGTGAGACCGTGGAGAGCTTGTCCTCATTTGATCAATCCGAAGAAGAAGATCATCTAAGCTCAGAAGACATGATAAGAGAAGAGCCAGCTTCTGGGCAGTTGCTGTGTGAGTTTGAAATCGACAAAGAAAAACCTTCAGATGTTGAAGCTACAGATGATAGCAGCTATGATTTAGAAAGATCAGGTGAGACATGCCCCATGGGTGAATTACCCTCCCTCCCTCCGTTCTCCTCCCCGCTTCCTCTGCCTCTTCCTCTCTCTCTCTCTCAATAATATCAATGCCTTCAGACATTTCTCTTTTATATTGAAAAAGATTTTTGTTGCTGTTTTTTAGTTGACCTGGAGTTGTTTGCTTGGCTTGGAATCTGTATTGTAAAAAAAGGGTTTCGAATTTTTTTAATCAGTGTGTAAATTTTATGAATGTCCCTATTTTATTTTTTCTACAGTGGTATAGTTTATGTGTCCATATATTATTTACATTATATATGGATCTGCTACATTTCACCCTAGCATAGAATCTTAGACTTTTCTTCAGTACAACTAAATCAATAAATCCTCAGGGATAGGGATAGAGAATCAACAAGTACAGTAAGATTTTCACATGATTCTGATTATAGTAGTATAAATTTAAAAGCAGGTCCACAGAATCTGCTTGACTCAAAAGTTTGATGAGTACTACAATGTTAAGCTTGAGTCCCTAAATTACGTACAGGGTAGGGCAAAAGTAGATTTACAGTTGTGAATATGTAAAACACAGTTTATTCTTGTATTATTATTTGTTAATTATTGTATTATGTTCATACAAACAAATGTAAACCCACGTTTGTCACTCCCTGTATTAGCACATAAAATACTATTATATTGAATGTAAAAAACATCAATACCATGTTGTTTTAGTGTATATCTCTATATAAAAATTTTATAATAAAATACTCTATCAGGTCAAAGAAAACATATTTCAGGAGATGCAGAAAAACTTTTAATAAAGTTCAGTAGTGACTCATGATTACTTTGTCACCAACTAGGGAGAGAAGATATTTACCTAAACTTAAGAAAAGACCTGCTAAAAATCTACATCAAACGTCAAATAATGATAACACTTTATCTACTTTGCCACTGAAGTGAGGGACAAGAAAGCCTTCATTACTACTATTCAATATTATATTGAAATGTCTAGTTAGTCTAAGGAAAAACCTCAGAAAAGTAAATAAAATATGTTAGGGTAAGGAAGAAAAAGAAACTAATTGTTACTATAATCTATCTTGGATAGTGAAGAAAGTCTTCCTAAAATATCCAAGAGAACCTTTATACAACAGAGAAATAAGAGAAATCTCCCTTGGGAATATAAGATCACATTAAAAAAAATACTGATCCTATCTGTTATCACTATGAAAATGTTCATTAGTATTGAATATAGTACTGATTCTAAGTACCAAAAATTACTAATTTGAAAATTCATTAAAAGAACAAAAACTCCCATCAAATTAGCCACACAAACTAAAATATACCCAGGAATATATCTAACAAAACATATTAAGGAGAAAATAATTTTGAAACGTTATAGAAAGACTTAATTGTACTATATAAATGTAGAAATATACAAGGTTCTTCCTTGTTATTATTCAATATTATAAGTATATCTAATATTCCCAAATTAATCTTTTAATTTAATACATCTTCAATATGAATCTACTCTTTCATCTGGCTTCTACCATAAAAAGTGAGCTAGAATATCTTAAGGATCTTGGGGTAAATTTTTTAAAAATAAAACTGGTGCTGGATTTCTTAAACGAGTTAAAAGAAAATTTCAAATAAAATATTAAAAGTTTGATAAGCTTTACCATAATAAAAAACAAAGAACATCTATTTAATAAAAATTCCAAACAAAGTTAAAAGCACAGACTGGAATGAGACCATAAATCCTTGTATAAATATAAGAATCATTTATCCAGAAAAACCAAAGATTGTATACCAATTAATTGTAGAAAGACAACCCAATAGAAAAGGGGAAAATGTTGTAAATTAGGAAATCACAAAAGGGAAATCTGAATGTTAAAAAAATAGATATGTATTCTACAAGATACTTATCCTTGGTAGTAATGAACAATGAGACACTATTTCCCATTTCTCAGATTAGAAATGTTTTAAAATTTGACAATATCAATATCATGAGTATGAACCGAATACTATCTAGTAAAGTCGCTTACCTTTCTAATCCTTACCTCTTAGAGAATCTCTCTTGCATATGCTCACTGAGATATATTAAAAATAATGTACAATATGCCATAATTTGTAAGATGATGACAAGAAAATAAATAACCTAAATGCCTATCAGTCACAAATGATGAATTTTAGGATAACAAAATGATGGACATTTGGAGACTTCTACATTAATTGTAAGAAACACCGAATAATTATAATTTTAATGAAAATGAATATATACACCCAAACGTAGCCTTACTGTTTGCTTAATAAAGTCCAGAAGTAGCTTTTAGAAGTGAAGAGCTATTATTCATAAATCTGGCCCCGTATGTGGGTATGCCTAGGGACCCCAAATATTTAAATATTCTTTTATAATACCTAACAGCCCTCAATTATGCACAAATTCACATTTTTTTGAGGAAGAAGCAGTTGTGAGGACTCAATTAATTAACACCAGTAATAACAATATGAGAGACTACTAATACTGTAACAAAAATGCCAAAAAGTCTATAGTGTGTTTTACTATTCCTGGTTTGCTTTTCTTCCTGAGACCTCACAGGCTAAATAGATGAATATTTGTTTTCCAAGTCCTAATTTCTTAACAAGGACAGAATATTACAAAGGAATTTGCAGGAGAAATTTATTTCAAAGAATTAAATCAATTTTTCTATCTTCCATACATTGGAGAGTAAAAAAGAAATACAGTATTTATCATTTTATCATTTATCTTTAGTAAGAGAACTTTTGAAGACAGACACTGTATCTATATTATACATCTATATAGTCATGTGAATACATTTCAAAATTGGTAAATTATCAGTTTTCTGGACAATTTTGTCTTTGTGGACTAGTTATTTATGTATATCATTAAAACTCATTTGCAACTGAGAATGTATTATTGTACAGTTTATGAAAAATCTAATTTTAAAACTGTAAGATTGGCTTACCTTGCCCATAATTATTTTTTAGAGAGAGTAATGTATGCATATCTCATTTTAACATATTTGTTTATTTTTTGACATCACTGAATATTTCAGCCATGCTTACATAGTCTTGTACAAAATGTAAGTATACTCAAAGTTAACAACAGAAAGACTTATCAGTTAAAATTAATTTAAAATCAAGTATTAAAATCCTGTTACTTATGTTTAAAGAATCAACTGAATATAAGAAAATTCTGAGGACGCTCTCATTGTTGATTTGGAATACTCTGTCAAAATCTCAGTAAGTACAACACAAATTCTTAAAAGTAATATATTATTAGAAGCAGTTCATTCCCTCTATATGTCATAATTTTTATTTCTTCCTGCTAAGAATCATTTTGGAGAAACTGCCAATGGGCCAAGAGGTTAATTTTTTGAAAACAGGTAAACGTTTTCTCTTCTAGGGAAGGGTTATGCTGTAGAGCTTTCATTTGACAGCAAGGCACAATATACTGAAAACTTTGAAGAGAGGTGTATGTGGAGGAAAGACCTTTCTTTTAATATTGCGCAAGACTAAAGTAGCGATTTAATTGGCATTGTATTACATGTCACAATATTTTCAAGTCTCATAAAATTGTCTCTGGTATGTTTTAACTAATGCCAAAACATTATGTTATAGCACCAAGGACAAATCCACCAAACCAATGCATCATTTTATTCCCTCAACAGTTATTTTGTGTGCCCATTAATATGCTAGATACTAGGGAAACAGTGATGAAGAAAGTAAGATTTTCCATTTAGGTGATTTACTAAGTCTAATCTTATGTCATCATCTCCAGTTTTCTAAGCTCACTTAAAGTAAGATGTACTATACTGCCAATTATATGCAATTACAAAATAAAATCAAAACCCAAAACATTTATTTATTTTTTTGTGGGGGGAGGGAAGGGTCATCGAGGAACATGAAAAAAGGACCCATGGACAAAGCCAAAGGGGGGATAGTGTCAAGGGTAGGAGGTAAGATGGGTGCTGTGGGGGAATTGCTGGGGAGAAAAATGGAGAAAACTGCTTGAAGAGTAATAAAAAAAAAACAAAACATCATTTAAAATATGCATGTTTTAATCATATGTTATGATCTAAGAGTACTTTGGTTCTAATAACTTTATAATATCTATTTCATGAATTCTCACAGCAACTACATGAAATATTATCTGCTTTTAATTTCCACTTTAGTTGAGAAGCTGTAGCACAGAATAGAGAAGCAAGTGATCTAAAGTCCCAGAACTTGTTGGTGATAGATGGAGGATTCAAATCTCAGCAGTCTGGCTGCAGCAAATGTAACTTGATTCTATGTGTTCAACTATGTGAGGATTAAATTCTGAAAAACTACACAGCAGAATTAACATCTTTCTGCAGTGTTTTAATTTTTTTATGCAGCATGTAGTAGCTTCTCACATCCTAGCCACAAAACCAAAGAAATAATCCCCACAACACACACACATACACATTAGAAGAAAGTATGCAGTTCATGTTTTGTACAGCACCAGGGTGGGAAATTATGTAGCTGAATTGAATTTCTGACGTCTGTTAATGCACTTATAACTCTACACAATTGCTTTGGAAAACAATTTGCTATTGCTGTATGATTGTGTATTAGGGAACATCTGTAAGAATGATCATTGCAGCACAGTTTGTAACAGCAGTAAATGACGGAAATAATTCAAATGCTCATGGGAAGGAGAAAGATATAAAATAAATTGTGATGTAGACATGTAATTGATATTATATAGCAGTAAATTTATTTAGGTATAGCTTCCTGTAATCTTATGCTGGAATTTTAATAGTAATTGTAATGAAGTTTGACGAGTAAACTCCATAAAACACAGGTAAGACATTGTCCTTTAATAAAGACCCAAAACTAGGCGTACACATATTATCATCAAACTTTAAAAAATTAAGCAAGATAATGAAGAAAACTTAATTCAAGGCAGTGGTTGCCTCTGAGGGAGAGGTAGGGAAATAAGTTTTGAAAATAGCTTATCGGGTAGATTTAAGTTATAGAAAATCTTTTATTTCTTGGAGTGGGTGAAGAGTTCACAGCTCTTCATTATGTTAATTTAAAATGCAAAATAAGCCCTGGCTGGTGTGGCTTAGTGGATTGAATGCCAGAGTTAGAATAAAAGAGTCACCGGTTCGATTCCCAGTCAGAGCACATGCCTGGGCTGCTGGTCAGGACCCCAGTAGGTGGTGCACAAGAGGCAACCACACACTGATGTTTCTCTCCTCCTCTCTCTCCCTTCCCCTCTCTCTAAAAATAAATAAATAAAATATTTAAAAAATAAAGTAAAATGCAAAATAACATAGTTTCATACATGTAATTGACCAAGGATTATGATTGTTTTAATTTTTCACATTAGAAGTACAAATATAGTATCTAAATTTAAAATAGAGATGCAATTTTTCGCACAACTGAATTCCAGTTTCACTTTAGAATCAGTCATATTTTTAACTAGGGGCTATTTACCATTGCAGAATAATGAGAATGCCCTGGAAAATTGTTACTTAAATATAATAGAAATTCATGGTTAGTTTTTCTTTAAGTTTCTTGATTAAACTAGAAGAATATTTGTGTAACCAATTGAACGGTGGAATTTTATCTCAAGCAGCTATTAATTTAATAATCTTTGCATTATGTGTTTTATATTTTTAATCAGAATGGTGAGCTTACTTAAAGACTTTGTTGAGACTGAATGTTTTTTGATTGATGGAGATTCACTATTCATCACTTGTGTTTTAAATGTGAACTTCAAGAAAGGACAGACTCTTCACTTCTTCTACATTGTAGAACAATTTCTGCATGATTTCATTCAAAAGGAAGCCAGATTTATAATAGTTTTTTTTAAGGTAAGAAACAGATATAATTCTTCTCATTTTTTAGAGTCTAAGAAAAAAGTATTCATTTTTAAATGTGATCAGTTGTTATTTATTCTTTTAGGTATTTTGCTTCTTCAGGTTAAGGTTAAATTCCTACTAATAGAAATAATACCAAGTATAATTGATAGGAAAATAGCTAATGCATATTTATGTGACATTTCTACATGATCCAGAAAAATTATGTTAATAACCTTGAACTTCTTAACTCTTTGTATCATGTTGATACAACAATTTATATACAATGCTAATATTTTGAAAAATAACTAGTTACTCTATTTTTATCTATAAAATTAATATTGGTTTGCTTTTTTTACAGGATGCAGAAAATCTGTATTTTAATTACCCTGAACTTCTGGCCCTTCGTACCATATTGATTCAACATTTAGAGTACAATACTGATGTCACTATTCATACAGAATTTTCCAACTGTCTGACACCAGAATGGGAGATATTTCTTAAAGAATGTTATCCATATTTCCTAATTGTCTCATAAAAGGGAATAACACCTCATCAAACGCAGTTTTTAAACATTTTTAGCATTCATGCTCTTCAGAAGAAAATCAATATTGTACAGCCTTTAGGAATGGAGTCAGATGTCCTTAGAATTTATGGATACTATGCCTCAAGTCGCTATTTACACAGAGAGTTTTTTGAAATGGTAAGGTTAAATTGCCCAGAAAAATTAAGCAATGTAAGTGTGGAAAAATTAACCAGACAACCTATAGCATAAGTCTTTATTAAAAAATTCTGGTTGTGAGAACACTCTGAAGGAATAGTCTAATATGGAGAAAGAGGGCAGAATTTTTTTGTATGGGTTTAGCAAAAGAGGTTACCTTAAGTTCTTGTAAATTAAGCCTTTGTATGGGCAATTTTGAGAGGTAAGGAGGAAAAATATGGGCTCAGGTCATGTACAAGAGACTCTGGGGAGGAATAGTTCAGAGGGGCTAATGACATGTGAATAGCACAGTGGGAAATTCTCAGCCAGTGTCTTGTGCATAAATCACGTTATGTGTGTGTACACATAAACACATATTCACACACACATAAACATTTATTTATATACTCCCATATATTATATATGCATGTTTTTTGTGTATATATTTTACAAATACATATGTGTGTGTATATATACATGTATATGATCTGGGGTGATTTTTATATATATTCTCACTTTTAAAATTAAGATAGCTACCCTCACTGTTGTGGCCCAGTGGGCAGGACGTCATCCCACAAACTGAAAGGTCACCAGTTTGATTCCCAGTCAGAGCATGTACCTGGGTTGCAGGCCAGGTCCCCAGTTGAAGGAGAGCGAGAGACAACTCATCAGTGTTTCTCTCGCACATCAGTGTTTCTCGCGTACATGGATGTTTCTGTCCCTTTTTTTCTCCCTCCTTTCCCTTCTCTCTAAAAATAAATAAACAAAATCCTTTAAAAATTAAGGTAGATGATAGAGAAAATATTTTATCATCATATTTTCCAGTGCTTTTTTGCAATGATTTTTTAAAAAGATTTTATTTATTTATTTTTAGAGAGAAGGGAAGGGAGGGAGAAAGAGAGGGAGCAAAACATCGATGTGCGAGAGATACATGGATTGGTTGCTTCTTGCACACCCCCAACCAGAGACCTGGCCCGCAAGCCTGGCATGGCCTTGACTCAGGACTGAGAAGCAAACTGGCGACTTTTTGGTTTGCAGGCCAGCACTTAATCCACAGAGCCACACTAGACAGGGTTTTTTTGCAACTATTTTGAATAGTTGTATCCATTAAAAAGATAACTGTGAGTAAATACTAAGCTTAAGAATATACCTTGCAATTTTCTTTCTTTTTTGTAAAAAAAAAAAAAAAAAACCAGAACAGGTCAATGTGTGGCAATATAGAACAATTATACTACTACTAAGGCCAGTACTTTTTTAATGGTTAGTTTTTATTAGAATTAACGCACTTTAATGTCTCTTCTTATATTCTAATAACACCAGCAGTGAATAGTACAAACAAAAGGAGGGGAAATCTATTTTAACTTGAATTAATGGATTTTTTGTTTTATCTATAGTAAATAATTATAAACATTATTTTCCACCTTGTATTTAGTTTAATTAGAGGTTTGCAATAGGTGTTTTTATTTGAAGAAGACTTACTTAGTGCTTTGTTTTTTAGCATAAGAAACAGCTGCAACATGCCTTACATGCCTACATACTGGAGTATTACCAAAAGTCACAGGAAAAAGAAATATTTCTGTACGGTCATTTGAGGCTAAACTTGGGAGAAATGCAGAAAGAGGTAACAACACATTTATCTGGAAACTAAAGTTCAGCACTTAAGAAATATACTTCCAATGATTTGTTGCTTCTGGAAGACATATTTTTAACCAACTCATGCCTTTACTGATTATATAGACTTGCCTACACTGTGGCAGAGGGAGTCTTGCTAAATTTATTGATTACAAAACCCTAGACATTTTCTACAGAAGACACTTTGTACAAAATACACAGTAAAATTGGGGGAAGATCTCAAACTTTAATTCTTAATATATGGCTGAAAATTGTCTGAACTGACAACATTGAAGAATTTACAAGTTAGTCACTCAGGAACTTACAAACTGGGCATGGCTTATCCAGAATTGCTAGACAGTATACAAATCAGGAGGATAAATAGTTATTAATATTAAAATGATACTTAGAGCCTGGCTAGATAGAGCCTCATTGTCATTTTTCATTAAACATTTTTCCAACTGTCCTGTTCTTCCTTAGGTATATCTTTTATATTCTGTTTTAATTCTTTGAAAGATTAAATTTCAGTATTAGTATTATTAATGGGAAAAATTAAACTTCTCTTTTATGAGGCTAAATGTCACCTGAACTTTGAATCTTGTCCCTTGTAATCACTAGGTCTTTAAAAAAATTTTTATTGCAGATACATCAAACCTTGTCCTTGCTTCACACTCTGTGCCCTGAAGGAGCTGACGTGCGAAGTGTTGTCTGCTCTATTTCATGTGCTGTGACACTAAAACTCTTTACAAAAATGTTACATGATGCAGAAGATAGTGAAAACCCACCCACCTGCACAGAAAATCAAAACGCACAGGTGGGATTCTTTCAAAATTAATTTATTATCCAATGTTATTTTTAAAGATGTGGCAATGCTTATGAGTAGTAGCTATAGGTGTAACCTCATCATCAAAAAGAAAATATGTGTTTGTCACATTTGTTGAGTGAACATTGATAAATATATTGATCATATTTTTATGAAGGCATGCAGGGCTCTTCACAAGTTAGGATATTTTTTTTTTCCTGGAATGAGCATGTCATCTCTTTCTTCCTTAACCAAAGAACAAATATCTATTTCCTTCTTGTTCTCAGCTGATCATCACTGAGGCTAAGACTTTCATAGATGAATTTCAAGGCATAGGTGGTGATGTCCCACAGGAAATTTACAATTTGTTATAGCTGATGGAAAGTAGTATTGCTGGCTGGAATCAGGATGATCCTGGATAAATAACTAGCCATCTACTCTGTTGCCCAGAACCCATGTATTCTGTTAAGAATACCAGTAACTATGCTGTATACCTGAAACTATTATAAAATAATATTCAATGCCAACCGTAATTGAAAAATACTATACAAAAGAATACCAATGATAATAGTGATGTTACTGTTAATAATAGACACTAACTTTTACTAAATCTTTATTACATGCCAATGCCAGGTATCTTATACACATTATTGTTAATCTTTACAACCCTTCTGCAAAGTAGATGTTCTCATTATTCTACTTCATAGATGAATAGCAGTCAAACAACTAATTGGTAGCAAAGCTAGGATGCAAACCCAAGTTTGTTTGTTTCCTGCTAGACTATACTGCTTAGTATACAGGTCATTTCTCCCATGAAGCCCTGGTCTTCCGCATAGGAACAGGTGTGACAGTAAGCTTTATTACCCTCCTCATATGTCTGCTTTGAGATCGTAAATAAATAGATAGTAGCCATGCCTTCCAACAGGCGATCATCTGCCACCATTTTTATTAAAAAGTGTAAGTATTAAATACAGTAAATGCTGGGGCTCTATTTATTTTGAAAAGTTTTCACTACTAAGCAAAACAATTAGTTGTATTGCTTAGAAAAATAAATCATATGCTTATTGAAAAGTTTCTTAAAATAATTAAATAGGAATACATATATCATATGGGGAAATTCTGAGTAAGATGCTTTAAGATGCTGTTCTTGCATATCTTAATGTTGCCTGTGTGTAGGCTGATATTTTTAAATTCATGTTCTTCTAGGACTTGAAGAAAACACCAACACTAAATGAAGCAGCATATCTTTGCAGAATGCACTGTCTTAGTGTGATTTTCCTTCAACGTTTACCCCTGTGTCAAAGAGCTAAGAGTAGAATCATTACTTCTATTTGGGACAGAACACTTACACCATTTTTAAGAATGGTAGGTGAACCACATGGAAATTCACAAACTTTGTAATTCAATAAGGCAAAAGTTAGAAAGCCGAACGTTTTTTCTAGTACTTTTATTTCTGCATGCATCTTAAAAATTGCTATCATCAAACAATGCATGTTTTTAGGAAAAATAGTCCAGTCATGTATAAAAGTATGCAACGATAAAAAGTACTTCAAACTACATATAAAAAATCCATATTCTGAAGAATATCAAATATTTATACAATTTCTTTGAAGACAACCCTTACTATTGATATATATAAAAGTAATAAATAAAATTCTATGTCAATTGCATGTTTTCATTTTATTATTAACTAAAACAGAAAAATACATTTAAAACTCATTTGTCAGTTTTTTTGAAACTTCAAAAATCTTTGTTCCCATATTTTAGCATAGTACTTTCTAGTTTGATATTTTTGTTTAGTGTAGTGATTATCAACCTTTTTCATCTAATGGCACACATAAGCTACTAAAATTCTGCAACACAGCAAGAAATTTGTATTTTTTTGCCAGTCTTATAAAAAATAGGTATAATTTTGATTCATTCACACCAGATGGCTATTTTTGTGTTGGCCATTGTCATTTTTTTATTTGACAATCTAAGGGGAAAGATGTCAGTGCCCGTGATTAAATAGGCAGGTATTGCATATTTTAAAAATTTTTGTAGCACACCAGCTGAAAATCACCTGTATAGTGTCTTGCAATCTTACTTTGGATTAAAACTGTAGCTCAAGGAGAAAAGTTGCATTTTGGAGCAAACTTTAACCAAAAAGAACATTAAACTTTATTATACTTTTATTATCCTTAAGCCCATAAAGAGTAAAATTATTCCCATTAGCTTTAGCACAGGATGAGATAAAGGGATGCTAAGTTACAGAAAGCTAGAACAGTCCTTTAGTGAGATATTGAGAAACCCATATAATACAATAAATTAAAGCATAGTTGTATGGTTGAAAAACTGCATTGTTGCTTCTATTACCTAGTTATTGTCAGCACAATAGTATTATGCATGCAGGTGACATTTTTATTGTATATTTAAGAAATCCCATCTGATCGATGACTGTGTTTTATTTAGGACCTAACTCATTAAATGATGCCAAAAATAACTTTTAATTGAAACTATAGCAATAACAATGAAATATCCACTACTTTTCTATAATGACTCTATTATTTTGAGTCAATGAAGGAATATTTATTGCACTCATGTTTGTGATACATTCAAAAAGTCATTTCATTTTAGAGCTGCAAGGGATATTGGAAGATACAGATTAGTCATGTTATGTTGCAGTTATAAAGAAATGAAGCATAAAGAAGGTAAGTCCTTTTATATAGTCACATACTTTGTCAATGCCAGGACAGTGGCATTGTATTTTCATATGTACTCTTGTTCTTTTTTCTTAGTAAACATACATCATGCTGAGGAAAGTTTTAGGAAGACATGAATATTCTGGAAAAATTTGGTATTATTAAAACATGCATCTCTCTCTTCTTTTTTTTTTCCAGTTAAATTATTGTAAATTTTTTACCCTGAAACAATTAAAGGCTAGAAGTAATTGGAATCTGAATTTCACTGGCTTACCTGACCTAACTGATAATAGTTTGTGGAAAAATATTGCTTATTATTATGAAATTGAATATAGTAGAGGTATGTTTTAAATAACTGTGTTGTTAAGTTTTTAATTTATTTTTGGTGGGTGGGTGAGAATTGTATCTGACAATTAATGGCAAGGAGCTATTCATTATATAGCTGTAATTGGATAGGAAGCTTTCTTTGCTGAAATTTTCTATGGAAAGTCTGCATTTTCTTTTTTTTTAACTTTTCATATGTTTATTTACTATTTATAGGCCTTTTTGGTGAAACGTTTTTTTTTTCTAGTTTTTTTTAAACATTTTTTGCATATTATGTTTTTACATTTTTTTAAATTAATTTATTTTTCCAAATACATTTGTCTCTGCCTTCCCCCCTCTCCCTCCCTCAATCCTTCCCCACTTTGGTTTTGTCCATGAGTCCTTGCTATATGTTCCTTGACTTTCCCCTTCCCTTCCTTTTCCCCGCCCCCCCCCCCTTCCCTCTTGTCTCTGTTGGTTTCTTTTCCTTTCAGTGTTGCTGGTCTTATTTTCCTTGCACCTTTGTATTGTTGGTTAGGTTCCGCTTATAGGTGAGATCATATGGTATTTGTCTTTTGCCCCCTGGCTTATTTCGCTTAGCATGATGCTCTCTAGTTCCATCCATGCCGTCATGAAGTTTAGTAGTTTTTTTTCTTTCCGCTGCATGGCATTCCATTGTGTAAATGTACCATAATTTTTTTGATCCAGTCATCTACTGATGGGCATTTAGGTTGCTTCCAACACTTGACTATTGTAAATTGTGCTGCTATGAACATTGGGGTGCATAGGTTCTTTTGAATTGGCGTTTTGGGAAAGTCTGCATTTTCAAAAGAGCTAAATGTTTCCATTGAGGACCTTGTCAGGGTTTTTTCAAACTATGAGACAATATCAGCTATTGGGAGGGGAGAGTTTAAGTAGAAGAACTATGGGAACTACTCCTAAAACTCTATGATAAATGTTACCATTTATTGTATATCATTCATATGTTAGATAATTTGCATATGCTATAAAATGACACCATAGCTTTTCTGCTGATTGTTTTGGACAAGGTATGATTCTGTGAAAACTCAAAAGGAGTGTCAGGTGAAAGTATTATGTGAAGAATTGAAAATGCACAGTGCAGAAACCCTGCCCCATTTCCTCCAACATAACCTACAGAACTCCTGATATTGACTCCTGACTCCTTCACATATCATTTTGGAGCCATGAGCTGACTTCTCATTGGCCTGTCTGGTTTTGTTAAGAGAAAAATACAGCAATGCCAGTAGCAGTTCAAACATACTTTTACTTTTTTATAACATTAACTACAACATGAAAAAATATGCCAGAGCCTATTCTATTTTGTTTTAAGCATCCAAGATGAAATACAGACAAACATGTAAAATAATTCATATACTCATAAAATATAAAATATAGTGATTATCACTCAGATTTTAATTATTTACTTGGACATATTTTTTTTTTCTACTTAAGGACTAACCCTGGAATTGGGTGACACGTTGAACCAGGGGTATGAGAAGTTGTGGAACACAGTTTTAACATTATCTGGGGATGGTGATTTCGGAGGGCCTTCGCCTGTGAGGACAACATCCAGACCATTTCTTACACACAAAGAAACATCATCTAAAGGTGCTGATGAGTTTTAAGAGTTGATCTCATTCAGGACAGAGAAAGATTAGTAGTACAATCCATGTTTAGAAAATAAATCTGACCTTTTAAAGTTTTGTTTTTTTGTGGGATTAGTCCTGCTAATTAGCTTCTATAGCTACACACCTTCTTTGTCTTCTCATTGCTTTACTTGTTTATTTCTTTGTTTATTTATTTATTGTAAGGACATGAGAAAGGGAGCTAACTTTTATTAAATACCCATTCTTCCAGGTATTGTGCTTTGCCATTCAAAACTGCCCTACTCATTGTATAATCCCACATTACAGATGAGATCTTGGGAAGCTCTTAAGTCATGTAACAAATTTATGGTAGAAGATTAGAATCCAAATCTGTCTGTCTGCAGAGTCAGACATAGAGGACATCTTAATAATATTTTATTGTATTTTATACAATAATTAGAAGTTTTGCTAAGGCTCATGTGAAGAAAATAGCTTGTACTTAAGTAGACCTATGAGGACTGCAGTTGACAGATTAGACCAGCCTATTTATGTGGCAAATTTTTATTTGCACTAAATTAAATATACAAATTTCTTTTAAGTTTCAACTAATCACAGAAACAAAGTATTTTATTAATATTTCATTTTATTAATACTGATTATGAAATTTGAAGAACTTTTGTAAACCTTATTTCTTTTGGTCTCTGGAAAAAATAGGCATATATCTTGTTGTGTCTCAAAATAAATACTTGTCCTTTCAAGATTGCATAGTGATTTCTTGACTATTTCTCAAAAGCCTTCAACCTTTTTTGAAATGAAATACTACATCAATTCACTCAATATACATTTACATCTGTGACCTAAAAGGTATAATATAAAGTTGATCTAAACATCCTGATTTGCTACAATTCTATTGAAGTATTACTTATTTTGAAATGAATCATGAAAATGTCTAACTTTGCTGTTTCAGAAACATTTGCATCACAATGGTAAGTTATTATTAGAGTTTTGTGTTCAAATATTAATTATATTTCTAAATATTACAAGGATCAAGTCAAGAAATTCACAAATTAGGACTCATTCCTCTGAAAGCTGAGATTATAGAAGATTATGCTGGAGATATTTTGTCAGAACTACCTTTTCTAAGCAGGTATTTATAGAAAAACTTTGCCTGTTTGTGATATCACTGGGTATAGTGAACTGGATTTATTGTTGTATATATTGTATACATATGATTAAAATTTTGCATTGGAAGATAAATTTTACTGATAATTTTAGCGACCTTTGTTTGTATGTAATTGATTACTGTAATTTTTAAACCCTTATAAATCTTCCTTAAATAACTTTTTTCATTTCTCACATATGGAGACATCTCCTTTACCTTTTTCTCTCTAATAGATATGACAAGTTAAGGGTATAATTAATGGGTGGCTGAGGTGTGGTGGTAGCCAAAATATAGAGATTAAAGTCCAGACATGAATGAATCATTAGTGTGGATCTTGAAATCATCAAGAATGGTAAGAGAAGAAAACAGCAAGGAGAAAGAGAGTTAGCTGGTTTACACCTTCAGTCAAAGAAAGGAAGTAAGAGGAGAATAACTCTCAGCAAGGAAGGGTTGTCGATGCTGACCTGGGGTAAGGCTGCGCAAAGTAGACTTGTACTAAAAATTACTCATTGTTTATATGAAATTCAATTTTATCTCTGTGTCCTACATTTTTGCTTGCTGAATCTATGAAACTGATAACAGATTCCCATATTTCAGTAGGATAGAAAGGGGAACAGGTGTCCTGAAGCAGCGAAGAGGAGCAAGGAGGGTATTCCTTTGTCTCTGACCCAATAGTAAGGGAGGGATGGGGAAAAAAGAGCAAGCACTTTAAAAACAAAAAAGCAAAAAAGTCCTCAGGGAAGAGTCAGATCTTAGAGGAAGTTGGGTGAAGGAAATATTCAAAGAAGAGTTTATGAACAGAGGGAATTGCTAATTATAGTCTCTTTGTTCTAGAAGATGTAGTGAAATGATTTAGTCAGGTTACAGAAGTAGATTCATATGAAAATCATAGTCTGGTGATGATGAATAGTGACCTTGTAATTGTAGACTTTGGATGAAGAATGAGATAAATGGACGTATCTGGCCTGATGGAACTATTGTTCTGAAGGTGGTTTAGGTAGTCCAAATATTGACCATCATGCTAAGGATGTGTCTTTTAGGTAGTTAATGGTGATGAGACCAGAAGTATGGTGGGGAAAGTGTGGACATTGGTGGTCTCATAAGGAGACTGGAGTATTTGGAAGTAAAGGTGATCCTACCAATAGTGTATTTGGAAGATGTGAGAAAACTAAACACTGAAAATGACAAATTATTTTGTAAATGTTATATATTTTTAAAATATATATTTTTTTTTCAAAAATTAAATTCTATCTCTACAAGATACCGTGCAACAAAATAAATCCCAAGTAAATAGAAATATAAATGTGAAAACCAACAGTCGTACCTGTGGAAAAAATTTTAAGAAAATATCTTTACACTCCAAGGTAGAGGTATCAGAGCATTTAAATTCCATATAAAACATGTCATTAAAAAAGTGATATTAACAATATTAAAATTAAATACTGCAATACAAACAATATTGGGGATGTTTAGAATGTATGTAGTCAGCATAGGATTAATATAAATAAATTAGGGTAAAGAATTCCTACAATGCATTAGAAAATTATGAATGAGACAGAAGAAAAGGAGGGAAAGAATGGGAACAGTTAATTAATAGGCGAGCAAGTATGGTAATAGCCAATACAACTTTGAAAAGATGTTTAACTTCATTGTTACTCAAGGAAATAGATTAAAACTACAATTAGCTGTTATACAACACCATTTCGACAAAATTTATAAGACTAAGTGATGCCAAAGATGTGCTCCAATAGAAACAATGTTTACAATCTCCAGAACTGATTCCTCTTACAGTTAGAAGTTTGTATCCTTTGACCAGTATCTTCCTATTTTCCCCAACCTCAGCCCCTGGCAACCACCATTCTAATCTCTGTCTCTATGAGTTTGGCTTTCAAAAAAACATTCCGCATAAAAGTGAGATCATGTGGTATTTGTCTTTCTCTGGCTGACTTATTTCACTTAGCATACAAATGCTCTCTAGGCCCATCCATGTTGTCTCAAATGGCAGAATGTTCTTCTTTTTAGTGGCTGAGTAATGTTCCACTGTAAATATCTGCCTGCCTGCCTGCCTGTCTTTCTCTATCTCACTTTTTTATCTATTGATCTGTCAATGGATACTTAGATTGTTTCCCTTTCTTGGCTTTCATGTTTCTTGAACACAACTGTCCTACCACAAGCCTTTCTACTTGCTGTTCTATTTGCCTGAAATGGTCTGACTCTGACAACTCTTAGCCCATTGCTCAAATGCCTTCTCAGCAAGGCTTTTTCCCGACCATTCCTCCTAAAATCACACCCTCTCATTTTCCCAGGACTCACTACCTTATCTCCTGCTTTATTTTTGTCCTTCATGCTTTCCACCATCTTGCATAGTATTGGATATATAAAGTCATGTACCATATGACATTTCAGTCAACAATGACTGCATATACAGCAGTGTGCCTATAAGATTATAGTGGTTTATAAGCAGAGAAGTTTATCTTGAAAGAAAAGGCTGGTCCCAACCACAATGTTGAATTTACTGCAGGCTCTGAGTGGTTTAAATATACAAGGAGGCTCAGTATGCTGTCCTGTACCTGCCCAAGACTGTGGCCCTGAGTTGGCAAGGGCGTGCTCTGGGGAGGATGGGAGCCAGGAGCCTGCCCTTCCCATGACCCAGCCCCTGCATGCCCACGCGCATGCACCCTCACACATTTTCATGCGCACCAACTCATTTCCCTTCCTTTTCTCAGTATCTCTTTCCTCCCGGTCCCTTCTGCTCAGTATCTCTTTCCTCCCTGTCCCTCTCTCTCTGTCCTATCCCCTCTCCTTGTTGTTATTTGTCGTCTTGAACTTTATGTCTTTGGTTTGCTTTTGATCTTGACTCTCCCTTCTCTCCTTTACCCTCCCTCCCTCTTCCTGACACCTATTCTCCCTCTAAAGGCTCCTTCCTCTACAGTCCTCTCCCTGTCCCTGCAAGAGTGGGTGTGTGCACACACATGTTATCTTCTATGCCATATTTTTACGGTACCGTTTCTATGTTTAGATACACAAATACTCAACCATTGTGTTACAATTCAGTGCAGTAGCATGCTTTACAAGTTTGTAGTGTAGCACCACTATGTTATAAACATATAGCCTAGGAATGTTGTAGGCTATACCACCTAGGCTTGTGTAAATGCATTCTACGATGTTCACACAATGAGGAATCTACCTAACAAGGCATTTCTCAGAGCATATCTGATGACTAAGTCACCCATGATAGTATTTTATCTTTATATTTCTTTGTCATCTGTAAACCTCTGTTAGAATATATAAAATCCACAGACATTTTTTGACATTTTTTTAAAGCCTCTTTTGCTCATTAACGTATTTGTAGCATTGAGAAAAGTGCCTGGGACTTTGCAGGAACTCTGAATATCTTGGAATAAATGAGTAGTAAGTTCATGGGTGTCACTTATTCTTTCATTTTTCCTTCTATGCTTGAAATATTTACAAGTACACACACATACATAGAAATAAATATGCTAAAGTAATGCAGAAACCTCTCTCACCTTTAGAGATATCATCTCTTATAGGTAATGCTATATACACTTCATTATTATTTGGTACATAACTCAATCCCACATACAAATAAATTCTTAATATGCACTTTTTATTGCTATAGAAATGCCATTTCTCCAGATATTCTTGCCCACTTCTTGACTATTTCTTCATGAGATATTTTGTTCATTTATAATTATAAAATTAAGGGTAGAAGCCCATTAAATAAGTTCATGGCTTGTAGTAGAAACTAAAACAAATTCTATGCATTTTATAATATATGCCTTTTGATTTTTTTCCCCAGTGATGACCCAGCTGTTATATCTCTTTCTGAGAGGAAAGAATTTGATGAACTCATACACTGGCATTCTTCTAGGCTTCTCAGTGATGATTTTGAAAGGATGAAGTACAGCAGGGATGGTAAGTATAACTAATATTGTCACCATTTTCAATATTCTTATATATTAAAGAATGTATCCTATGTATAAGAAAAAAATGACTCATCTTGGTTTAATGAAATCTAATGTAGAGTCTTCTTCAGTCTCACAGGCCACCATACAAACTTCCAATACTGTTCACAGCAGAACCAGGAAGAAGCTAGTTTTTATAGTATAAAAAATGAGATTTCAATCAGTCTGTTGGGGAGTAGGGAAGTTTGAGACAGGATTTTAAAAAATTTTTCTTGGGCTTTTACAAGAAATTATATGTTATTTTAAATGTTCTTTTAGTTCTTTTTTCTTCTCAATTAAAAATTCTTGTTGTGTTATGAGATCCAATACCTTCAATAATCACATTATATTTTCATTATTTGCCAAAATTACTAATTCTATTAACTACTTGGTTTAAAATACTGTTTAGTAATTGTTAATTAAATGAAACAAGTCATAAACATTCAAATAACTTAGTAATTATTCTGGCAGTGAGATATGATGGGCCAATATAGTTTTCTAATCTTGCTGCCTTCTTGATTTAAAACCGGTACAGGAAAATCATTATAGGAAAATTAAAAATCAGTTGCACACAGTTAGGATTCCTTATAGATTGGAAAGTGGCAGCCATATTGGTATTCCAGGTCTCTGACATACTCATTCAGCATCTGTCCTATGAATTGAGAGTTACTGTGCCCAGCTTTGGGCTGGGCTCCAGGTACCGAGCAGGGAACATGAAATATATGTTCTTGCTCTTGTAGTGCTCTTAGCTTAGCAAGGGAAAGTAGGTGTTAAACAAACGATTACAAAGATACTTACTTAAAATTATGGTGAATACTACAATTGGGTGCAAAGAATGTGAAGAGAGTCAGCTCAAGGGTTTGGGAAATTTTCCAGCCAAATCTGAAAGTGGAAGACAGTTAGCTGGGTGTACATGTTAGTGGTGGGGACCAATGCGGAAGTGGTCAGAGAGCCCGTAGTACAGAGCAATGTGAGAGGAGTCTGAATCACGCAGGCGTTAGTGGGGATTCTGAGCGATAGAAGAGTAACAGGAAGCCATCAAAATGTCGAAGCCACATGAACAGTGTGCTCAGGCTTATCCTTACCTGGCAGCAGTGTGGAGAAAGGTGCATTCCCTTTAGTTGTGCCCAATACTGCTGAAGACTAAGAATGGTCTGCAAATTGGTAATTCCTTGTTCCAGAGTCCCTTCATTCTATGATATCCTCTGGAATTTGGTTAGTTGTTTTGGACAAATGTTTCTGACCTAATTTTGGGATAGTTTTCAGAGATTCTGTTCCTAAATTGTAAACTCTTGTGGAGTATTCATGTCGTTTGCTCTTGCCCCTATGCCCAGTGCCATCAAAAATGCCAAAGTGCTGAGGTTTCTTTTGCAGTATTGATGTCCTGGAAGAAAAGAGAAGCATAAGCTCACCATTGATTTATTCTTTGGGATGTACCCATGAGGTTTATAGATTGTAACAAAGTTAAAATGCAAGTGACAGGCACGGATTTATTTTTATTTTTTTAGTTCTTAATTCATTCTGCTGTGTTTTACAGCTCTTTACCCATGTAACTGGACTCTCTGGTTCTCCCCAGCCTTTTGTTTCTTCTCACATCTGTCCTGGCTTGTTGTTTCATTCTGTGCCTCAACCGTAAGCTTCCCTTTGACCTTCCGAATTCCTCTGAACTTCTCCAACTGTGTTTCTCAATGTAACTCTCTGTTCAAATGTTTTTACATGTTAGTGCTTCCTAAATCACAAAGCATCCTCAACAGAATAAGAAATTTGGCCACCACAAGCAAGAGTTAGGATTTAGTGAGGTTTTTATTAATCATATGGCAGATTTTTTGATATATCTATTTCACTATTTGTTCAAATGTTCTCCTTACCACAACTTCAGGTTAATAGTTTTTAGTGCATTTACTTACAACTTCGTATGTTGCAGCAGTGGTTTTAGACAAGACACAGAATATATTTCTTTTTTTAGATATCAGTTTAATGTGGCGTAGTAGTTTATATACAGTAATAACCTCTTTTTAGAAATGCAGTACAATTCAATGACTTTTGACAAATAACTTAGTTGTGTAACCACTGACACAATCAAGCTACATGGGCACCAAAAAATTGTCTCCAGTTCCTATGTCACAGATCCCCCACCATGGCATCACTCGTTCCTGGCAGCACTAATCTGATTTCTTTCTCTATAATTGCACCTTTTCCAGAATAGGAGATAAAATGGAATAATTATATATGAATTTGTATTTCAAGGGTTTTTTGTGTCTCACCTCTTTCACTTAGCATAATGCTTTTGATATCCACCCAAGTTGTATGTTCATTCCCTTTCACTGCTGAGTATTCCATTGTATGGATGCTCCACAGTTTATTTGTCCATTCATTATTGAACAGACCTTTCCACTGGATGTACTGGCTATTAAAAATAAAGTTGCTATGAGCATGGATGGACAGAGCTTTGTGTGGACTTACATGTTCATTAATATTGGGTAAATATGTAGGAGTGGGATTCCTGGCTCATATATAAGTGGATATTTAATTTCATAAGAAATGGCCCAAGTGTTTTCCAAAGTGACTGTATCATTCTGTATTCCCACAAGAAATATAAGATTTCTGGTTGCTCCATATCTTTGCCAGCAATTTGTATGACCCGTTTTTTGGTTTGTTTGTTTTGGTCAGTTGGTTGGGTGGTTTTGTTTTAATGTTAGCAATCCCAGTAGGATGATAGTGGTATCTTACTGTGGTTGTACTTTGTTTTCTTCTGAAACTAATGATATTAAGCATTTTTATTGTGCTCATTTGCCACCTGTATCTTTTATTTTAATCATGTGATTTAAAAAAATTTTTTTTTTTGTTGTTCAAGTACAGTTGTCTCCATTTCCCCCTGCCCTCCCCACCTCCACCTCCCTCCCTCAATCCTTCCCTACTTTGGCTTTGTCCATGGATCCTTCATACATATTCCTTGTGACAGACACTGATTTAAATTCTACTATGTTACTTACACATGGCAAATAATTTGGATTTCTATATCTCAATCTCTAACATGTCTATAATTAGATTAGTGCCAGTTTTAAGGGGATTTGTCAAAGGCTTTTTCATGAATGCTTCCTAAGTGCAATTCTTGTTCATAAATAGCATTGTCAGTATATATTAATAATGTATTTATTTCCTACAGCTAAATACAAAGGCATCAAAGAAAGAAGGGAAATACAGAAATTACAGTGTTTCTATCACCTCTTTGGAAAATCTATGATAGGAAGTAACAGATCAGTAAGAGTTATAAGAGGAAGAGATCTGCCACCTCCAGAAAATTCTTCAGTGCAAAAGAAAAGAAAACCCCAGGTACATTCTTGGTCTATCAGGGCTCAGTCACGTGGGGGTCCCAAGAGTCTACTCATTCCACGTGAGATCTTCCTTAACAATATCCATTGCTGTGCTCATTGGTAATCTCATGTGTTATTAGAGAAGGAAAAAACACACCTTTTTCTAAAAAAAAAAAAAAAAACTGTCAAATTAAGTATACTCTAAATACTAACCATGAATTAACATATAGACTTTTAAAATACTTGTAAAATGAAAAAGAAAATGAAATGAAGTAAACAAAATCCTAATAGGATTTTAATTTTTTGGTGCATTGCCTTGTAGTCATTTTCCTTCCATGTTAATGAAAATCTTCTGGAAAACATTTTTGTGACTGTATAACCTATAGTATGACATGCTATTATTTGTTTAATTATTTCTTTTGAAATATAGAAAAACAGGTAAGAAAAAAAGGGAAGAAAATAAAGTCTATTCTCACATCCCACAGATAAACACTATTAACATATTGACATACATCCTTTCAGTCATTTTTTTCATGATGTGCTTTTTTTTTTTTTTTAAAAAAAAAACCCTCTATATACTTTCAGCCTATTTCCCTACCCATCAATATATAATGGACATTTTTCTGTCCATTTATTAAATGTTTCCATTATAGCACACTATTTCCCAAATTTTAAACAGCTTTTTAAAAAAAGATTAAGAAGGTCAAACATATTTAGTAAATTTAGACTATCTAGAAAAGAATTTTAAAAATCACCAAATTTTGCCCCACCTCCAAAGTTACTTTTGTTAACTGTTTGATGACTACCCTTCCAAGTTTTTCAATCTACACATATTTTTCTTCTGGGAATCACTGGGCAAAAGTTAAATTTGTTTTTCTCTAAAGCATAACATGCTACTCTACTGGCCAGTTTTTGTTATTATATTGAAGTACTACACTTTGCCTAGTTTTATAAAACATAGATACTCCAATTGGGTATAAGTTTGAAATGGTTTTTCCTAGACCCTACCCCACAGACTTGGAATTACAGAAGACTGGTTTTTCACATAATCAATTAAGAACGTAATTGCTGAGGATAGAAAGAAGGGAAAGTTGAATTATCATTCTCGTATGAATATAGATGTTTGCGTTTAACTATTCAGGACCCCTGAAGTCCTCTTCAGTGTGCTACTTCACTGTGCTAAATGTAAACTAATGACCTGAGATATTAAATATTTCCTTCAAAAAATATCAAAATGTGAAAGATTTTCTCTCCTCCTTGTGGCATCTCCTGAGAAAATAAAGACTGTTCTCAGCAATCAGACTGTCGACATTCTAGAAAATGTCGTTATCACTCTGAAGGGAAATAAAGTTATGGTGAAGGGCCTCAGAAGCAGCCTGTGGAGGATGCCAATCACATCAATATAGAAATCTGTCTCCTTGGAAAGAAAAGAAAAGGCTCCAGACTGACCAAAGAAGGGAAATAGAAAGCAAGTGACTACCATTTGCACCATCTGTAGTCATGTACAGAACATGATCAAGGGTGTTACACTGGGCTTTCATTAAAAGATGTCTGTGTATGCTCACTTCCCTGTCAATGCTGATATTCAGGAGGGTTGTTCTCTTGTTGAAATCTGAAATTTTGGGTATGAAAAACACATTTGCAGAACTCAGATGAGGTCAGGTGTTGTTTGTACAGTATCTCAAGCCAAGAAAGATGAATGAGTTTTTAAAGGAAATGGCATTGAACTTGTATCACATTCAACTGCTTTGATTCAGAAAGCCACAGCAGTTACAAACAGGATATCAGAAAATTTTTGGATGCTATCTGTGTTTCTAGAAAGGAAACAGTTCAATAACAGGCTGATGAATAAGATTTAGGTTGCCTAGCTACAGGAATAGCAAGATGCCAAATTATTTCTCATAAAGATTCAATAAAAGCCATGTACTGAAAAAAATTAAATGGATTATCATGGAAACTCATGTTTTATTGTTGGTTTTTCCTATTTCTTTGTTTTTTTAGAAGACAAATGCAGAAAAAATTATTGAGGAAAATCAAAAGAAACAGCTAGCCAAACTAGAGAAAAAAGAGGAAGAAAGATGGAATAATTTGTCCAAATGTATTCAAAAGGAAATTAAAGAAAATCCTGACTCTGGAGTAAAAAGACTAGAAGATTTTATCCAAATATGCCCTGTTAAATCTATAAAATTTGCTGCAGAAATGGTAGGATTGGATGCCTGTTTCAAATTATGGATGGAGCACTGTTCAAAACCAGGTACATAAACCATTAATTTTAGAAATTTCTTGAACTATTAATTAAAGGTCAGTAAGAACAGAGCAAGAGGATTGATATTGGCCACATATGCTGATTTTTCTGGTCTGTATGACCTCAAGAATTCTTTGATGCCTAAAGAGTAGGAACATATCCTTTTGTTTGATCCACTGATGACATTATGGCCATTTGTGTACCTGATGGGCAAATAGATTTAATTTGAAATTTAATTTAGCAAACAGGTCTTCAAGGTCAGTCATGAGCTGAGTACCTCATTAGGTGCCCATGTGGATTCTGAAGAAAAGAGCACTGGGCCTACTCTGAAGGTGCACAGTGTGAGGGCCACAAGCAAAGCTGCATGCAGTGAATTCTCATGAAAAGTCATCTGTGGGTTCTGTCACTAGCAACACAATGTATAGTGAAACTCATTTTATCACAGGCTTATTGATAATAACAAGAGTGAAGTTCCTAAGGCATCTCATTAATGTTATAATGAAACAATATTGAACAAAATGGTGTTATCCAAGGACCTATACTATATATACATATATAAATTCTCACAATTCTCTGAGGTAAGTTTCATTACCCTGATATTACACCTAAGAAATTAAGGCTCCAGAAGAACAAATTATGTGCCCAAATGTCAATGACAGAGCAAGAATAATATAGCATTCCTACTCTAAAGCATATGCACAGTTTAAATAATTAATTAAATTGGGACACAACAGTGTTTGGATAAGGGCCAGAAAATTAATATTTTTCATTGGAGGGAAGATGAAAGGTATTTATCTTTTAATTGTGTTCACAAGAAAGTAAATATTAAAAGAATAAAATGTGGAATGACCTTCTTTTAAAAATGTCAGTTCAGCCCATTCTCCATATTAATCCTTCTGATTAATAATAACTGCTGCCATTGTTTTATCATTTTATATGAATTAATTTACTCAATCTTAATAATAACCATATGAGATGAGCTCTATTATTAGTATCTTATTATTTATTTAAAGAAAATGATGCTTAGAGATGTAACTTCTCAAGTTCCTAAATCAAGTACAGGCAAGTTAAATTTGAATTTCAGATAAATAGCATTTTTTAAAATATATGTCATGAAATATATATCTGAAACAGGATCTTTTGTATTTTTATTTGCTAAAGCTGGCAATTGTACTCTAACTTGAAGCCACACTCTCAACTGCTATGCAATTGACTAATCACTATGAATTCCTCAATTTTTATGAGTGATTCATATGAATATGCTTACTTTTCTTATCCTGCAATAAAATTAAATCAGGTTTGGAGGTTTTATTATCAATATCTTGTGTAACTTAAGTTATGCATGCCATTTTTTTTTAACAGAAGAAGGATCCAGAGATATCAGCATAATAATTAACTTGATGAAAAGGATTCATGTAATTCATGAAAAACATTCAGAACTATTACAAACTACACATCGACAAAAAATAGCTAAATATCTAAAATATATTGGTTTTGACAACTTGGCACACTTATTATGTCCTCAGGTAGAATTCTTTGGGTAAAATAATTTGAACAATGATGTATACTCATTAGATTCTTATAAGAATATTTTCTTTTTTTTAAATTAATTAATTTATTTTCTCAAATGCATTTGTCTTTGCCTACCCCCCACCACTTTCCCCTGCCCCTCTTCCCCCCTTTCCCCTCCCTCAATCTTTCCCCACTTTGGCTTTGTCCATGAGTCCTTGCTATATGTTCCTTGACTTGCCCCTTCCCTTCCTTTCTTATAAGAATATTTTCTTTACTAAAGCTGATGTTTTAAGATTGGCAAGAGTCTCTTAATTGAAACACAAATTTTAGTGTGTGTGAGGGGGGGCAAGGTTGTTCATATTTAACAACTATTAAAGATTACACTGAATTATAATTAAAAAATTAATTTAATATCACTTTTTAATTATATTCCGTGGAACATAGTATTGCACATAAAACAGTATTTAAAAAAATCATAGTGAAGATGTAAGATACCTTATCCTCCATTGTTAACACTGAACAGCTGTGAAACATGAAATAGTAATCTTGTTGAAGCAAAGTACAACATGATTGATAATAACTTTTTTGCCCAGATTTAAAATTCTAAATATGAACATCTACTATGTCATCCTTATTTTAGGTGCAGGAATCAGGTACTGAGAAGGATATTTCTAAATATTCAGTTCACGTGGGAGCAGCTCGGTTTCAATTAACATATATGGGACCTTACTTATTTCGAGAAGAAAGAAGTGATCCAGACCCCAGAGTGTATCATTTTATACCTGACACATGGCAGGTACTTTCTGAAAAAATCTGCAGCCCGACAAAGCCAAGAAACTTGATGGAGACAGTTGGTTCGGATGTCACTGCGTGCAACAGATTTTGGATATGTACATCATTAGAGAAGCAACATAATAATAATGAAAATAAATCATGTCTTCACCGAAGACATAAAAGAATAAAGAAAAGAGTCAATTGAAATGAAATGACATTGGTTCTAGGAAATGACATTGGTTCTATTAAATGACAAAGCCTGGATTAAGAATTAAACTAACTCCAGTTAGACTGCTCTTAACAATTACACAATGTAATTTTTATCCATATCAATTTAATTTAAAAATGTAGTGCCTGATGTTTAATGATATATATTTGGCAAGAGTTTACTGCTTTCTGAAATGAGTGGTGCTCTCAGGTTGTCCCAAGTCAAACAGCAGAGTCACTCATATTATATCATGATAAATAATGATAAATATATTGTCAATTACATATATGTATGCTTTTTTTTTTAAAACTGCCATCTTCTACACTGTATTCATTTGTGGGCTCTTTATTTATAAACAGAAAAATGGAGCTATAAAGAACAGTAGATTTTGGTAATTTTGATTTTAGTCTAAGTTTTCCCAACTCAAGCTAAAAAGAATGCAGAGAGCTGGGCTGCTTGGTAACCCGGGCAGACCCCTTTGTGATGATGTCTGTATATTTGAGTATTTTAAGACAAGTTTAAGTGAAGGATTTTTTTTAGTAGAAAGTGTGATATAAGTTATTTCTGAGTAAAAGAAAATATGATTCCTTCAACTACCTGCCATCTTGAACACTAATTTCTATGTCTCAGGAGTAACTGAATTCTAATGACTGTAAAGTTACTTTTAAATTAAAATTTGATACTAAATATGAAATTTTTTCAAAATGAAATATGATTTCTTTTTATCTAGAGGGAACTTCTTGATGTCATAGATAATAATGAATCTGCTGTAATTGTTGCTCCAACTTCATCAGGGAAAACCTATGCTTCTTACTACTGCATGGAGAAAATCTTGAGAGAGAGCGATGATGGGGTGGTTGTGTATGTTGCTCCAACAAAGGTATTGTGTCCCTAGGACACTCTGTATCTTATGGTAATTCTCAACTGTAGTTGTGCCCTTAATCAAAGAGAGGTACCAGAGTGTACAGGTTCTAGCATTGCAGTCATGGATGTGAGTGCTTTTATGCTGTGTGATCTTGAGCCAGTTTCTTACCTTAGTTTCCTTATCTGTAAAAAGAGGATAATAATGCTTACATTATACAGTAGCCCCAGCTTATTCATGGTTTTGCATTCCATGGTTTTTTCCTTACCCATGGTTAACCATGGTCCAAATGTATTAAATGGAAAATTTCAGAAATAAACAATTCATAAGTGTTAAATTGTGTGAGCAGCATGATGAAATTTTGTACCATCCACTCTGAAGCATTCCTGTCCCAGGGTATCTTTGTTATAGGTACTCCCTGCCCATTAATCACTTAGAAGCCTCTCTGTTATCAGATTAACTGTCGTGATAGTGCAGTGCTTATGTTATGTAACATCATTTTACCAAATAAGGGCCCCAAGGTGCAAAATTAGGGATGCTGGCAATTTGGATATGCCAAAGAGAAGCCATGAAGTGCTTTCTTTAAGTGAAATAGTATGTATGTATAGGAGAAAACCTAGTACTGTGTGTAAGGCTCATTAATATCCGTGGTTTCTGGCACCCCTTGGGGGTCTTGGAACATACACTCCGTGGATAATGGGGAGCTGCTGTACTTTAATTCTAAGCATTGAGATGATGTATGTAAAGCATTTACTATAATGCCTGGGGGTAAACATTGATCAATAAGTGATACCCTTCACCCTTTTTTTTTTTTTAATTCATTTTATTGCTTAAACCCCCTTAGGTCCAGCAATTATTAAAAATCAGCATTTAACATTTTTGAGACTTTCGCTATAAGAAAACATTTGATTCTGTGCCAGGGTTAAGATGGTATGGACCAGCTCATGAGAGCCAGCAGGAGAGGGAGGAGCAGCTGCCCTCATCTGGCCACCGGGTCTCTGTTATCACGGCCTGACTATTGCGAGTGCTATAGGCGTCTTTCTTTACCACATCCTGTATAAAACAAAGTCCAGAGGCTCGTAGCTAAATCAGAACTTTTCTCTGTATCTGGAAGGGATTTAGGGTATTCCTTCCTTTCTCTTTCCCTAGAAGAATACTTGATTTCAGGTCTTAAAGATGCAGTGAGAGAAGAAATTCAGAATGCTAGTGTTGGGAGGGGTCATCTCTATCATATCACCCAGCCCTCCCACTCTACAGATGAGATGATGGAGGCTTAGTGAAGTAAAGTCATATGCCGATATTGGGAACCCACTAGATTTTTAAATACAAAATCATCACATGATTTTACCTGTACAAATATATATCACATTTATGTGCCATAGATTGTTGTTTATTGTTTTTAGCCATCACATTAATAAACACTGTTAATATATTACACATTAAGGAAAACATTAAAATGGAACCAGTGGGAAGCATTTAGTGCAAGTAATTCTTTTATTAAGAAAGAATGATATAAAAATTGGTTCTCTACTTTTTGCATGTAAATTTGTTCTGGATATTTTATTTTACTTTTAACATTTTTTTTCAGTGTTGTCAATAATTACTGAATAGCAGATTATGTTTTTTATGATTTAAGGCTCTTGTTAATCAAGTGGTAGGAACTGTCTACAGTTTATTTACCAAAACACTGCCAACAGGATTAACTGTGTGTGGAGTTTTTACAAGAGATTACCGTCATGATACCTTCAATTGTCAGGTAGGTCATACTTTTAAATAGAAATTGTTAAACTTTACTGAGTGATACTTAAGATTTTTTAAAATAATAAAAAGAATAAAGATAGTCCATGTTTTCACTTTGGAAAATTTAATATTATGATTATACTTACAATTGATCATTGTGGACACAAATAGGTTATTTTGGACAATTAGGAGCCCTAAATTGTCCTGTAGATTCAGGGTAATCACTATAAAAACTCACTGATTTTTTTTTTTTCTGTCCTTTCGTGGTATTTGTGTGAGTGTGTGTCCATAGGTGTAGATGTGCACATTTGTGTGTTAGGAGGAGAGAACTGATTACCAGATTCTGAAATTTACATAGAAATGCAAAAGGCAAAAAATAACCAAGATACATTTGAAAAAGCAGATTAAAGTACGCAGAAAGATGCATTTGAAAAAAAAAAATCAAGGTGGGCAAATTTGCTCTTTCAGGTATTAGGGCTTATTGTAGACCAGTGGTAATGAAGTGATGTCTTTTGAAACAGGGATAAACTTATAGGCAAATGGACCAAAGAACCCAGAAATAGAATCATGTGTAGACCTTTTATTTAAGAAAAAAGTGGCACTGTTAAGAGTATTGGAAAAACTGGAAATCCATATGGAGAGAAAAAAAATTAGATCACTTCCTCATATCATATGCAAAACCAATTTCAAAATGATTTAAACATAGAAGCATCAAAGGCAAATTAATGAAACTTTAGAATATCTTTATTAGTTAATTCTGTAAAACATAGTCTATAATATTCATAAGGATCTACTTTTACCAAATATATAAAAGTTTATTGTTAGTTGAGGATCTTACAGAAATTAAAATCAAGTCTTTCAAATTTGTTTTGGCCTTCATATATTATTATTAACTGCCCATATTATTGTGGCAAACAAGTAATGAATGAGCTAATAATCACTGCACTTATCTTGTCCCCATCTACAGTCAAGGGACTAGGCTTTCTCTAGATTTCTAAATAGTACAAAATAAGTGCTCTATGTATATTTATAGACTGAAGCCTGGAAAATTTTATTTACTTCAAATTAACTTATTTCAGAAACATTTTTATCTGCATTCTAGTGATAGAATTAGAGACATATGAGTAAATATTTTATTTTTATAGAGATTTTTCTTCACCTTATCTTTTTGTGGTAATCAGTATAATTTAACCAGTATTCATTTGTAAACAAGACTTACACAGTGTATTCTTTTGCTCAATTTGTTCTTGCTTATGAGTATTATTATCATGGCATGTAATTACCTTTTTTGCAGTTCAGGTATCATCATGCGTAATAGAGCAAGTCATCTCTCAATGTGTTGTTCTCGAACCCAGTTTAATTCTTCTTGAAATCATGTTGGGATTCTTTGACCAGCTTTCTCAGGGGTGAATGAACATTACTGAATGTGAAGAGTGAGAGAAATAATAAGTTTTGCGGGCTTAATCTATTAATATTTTAGAAAAAATTGTAACTGATTGTATACTGAGTCTACATAATCCCATTGCCAGGTTCACTGTCTTGGGGGAGAAATTGGAGCAGAAGTTTGGGAACATCTTCTTGTCATGATCCGATGTCCCTTTCTGGCACTTTCTGCTACTATCAGTAATCCTGAACATCTTACTGAGTAAGCCTGAGTTTCCCATTCATTGTAATTGCTATTAGTGATGATAATTATAATAATAATTAATAATCCAGTAGATTTTTAAAGAGTAACCTCAAAAAAAGAACAAAAAAAATCTCTTCAAGTAAGACTTTCTTTAAATTTTGTTATATTTAACTAGAAAACATTTAGTCCTTCCTTTGACTAGATAGATGTAATTTATATACCTACTTCTTCAAGAACTCTGTATGAGAGTTATTTAATATTCCTGTTTATAACTTGATATTTAGATTCCCAGAGAACAGCATAAGGCAGTTTAGAACTATCCTTCCAATATACTACGCACATACTTTCCTGCGCAAAACACTAAAAATCTTTTCAAAATGAGTCAACCCATATTGCAGAAATGGATATAACTTTTATTGCATCAATGAATTTCATAAGAAACCTCAAAGTACCAGTTCTTGGTGACTGCATGAAAATAATAGTGGTAAACTATGTAAATATAAATATAGTTTTAATATGTACAAAGTTGGTATTTTTTTCTCTTAGAATCAATTTTAATGATTTTCCTTAGAAAACAAATGATACAGTTTTTCCTGTGATGATAATACCTTTCTTTTTTTAATAACTAGATGGTTGGTGTTAATTAAAAGATACTGGCAGCATGTTGAAAGCACAATCGAAAATTCTGGTCCATCACAAAATGCCTGGAAAGGTGCAAAGAAACAACAAAGAAAAAGAACAGAAAAGCCATCATACAGAGTTAGATTGGGTATGACTAACTTAACCTAGAAGGAAAGCTCCACATGCTTGAAACATATCAGAGCATCTTCTATGTGTAAAATCAATTTGATTCTTACTACAACTCTGAAAGGAAATCAGTTTTGTTTTAATATACAGTGGAAACTGAATAAGAATATCAGCTCTAGAAGATTGACATGCTGAAGCCCGCACAGCTAACAAATGTGGGTCTAATAAACCTGATGATCAAACTCTTGCAAAGATTATCTATTTTGAAACAATGTGAATTCCTGCATTATTCAGTGTGGTTTAAGGCAGAACTGTAGCACAGATAAATGTTTCACTCCATTTTGTAGGAAAAAATTAAAGACAAAAACATTTCTAGAGAGCAGTTTAGTTTTATTTTGCTTGAAAATCATTGCTTCAAAATAACCTGTTTAACTTGTGTTCTAGTTCTGTGCTATCATTCCTGTTTCATACCACAGTAGTTTTTCACTTCATGAATTTTCTTGATGTTCAGATTATTCATTGTTCCTCAAAACATGCCTTTGCTTTTTAAGTTCCCTTTACTAAAATAACCTTTCATCTACACTTGACCAGATTCTATCTACTCACGATTTAAGAGAGATTGTCTAGAGGCATAGCTCAAATGCAGCCTTAATTCTTTTAGTTAAAGTCCCATAGTATGTCCTACATTATGACATTTCCTAAAGTCTACTGTAACTATTTTTTATATGTCAATTTTCTTTGGAAAACAGTAGACATTTTAAACATATATGCATATACACTTAAGTAAATAGATAATATAAAATAAGTTATATATAAAACATGTATTTTTAATCCACATCATGGTGTCTTTTATTTTATATGTATTCTAAATATTTTACTACCGAATTAATGAATGTTGCTATATATATTATATACTTGTGACTGTTTTTATATGAATTCTATAAAGTCACATAAAATTATATTTTTCTGGCTACTTTTCAGCTGAGAGCTGCAGATGCCTGTATGTGACGCCCATGCTTTCATTTAACAAATATTAAAATGCCTCCTGTGTCCCATTATTGTCCCTAGAATTACAGTAGGAATCTTGTTGCTTTTCTGGAGCTTAAATTTTAATGTGGACATTGATTAAACAAAGTGAATAGTAAATAAAATAAGAAATAATATAAAGCAAATAGCATGCTAAGTAGTACTAAGTGCTAAAAAAAATAAAGCCAAGTGTAATATTAATAGAAATATTTAGACTATTAGTTCCTTCAATTAAAGAAAATGAACAGAAAAATAGGAGACAGATATTCTTTCTTTGATCCCATAATATTATTTTTAAAGATAGAGAGATAATATAATAAAAATAGTAATAGTGATACCCAATGTTCCTAATTAATTTTATGTCTATATATATATTTATTTATTCCATGCCCCATTACACAAAGGCATGCTTTAGAAGAATACATGGAGTTCTTGTAAACAAGAAAATCATCATTAAATACCAGGAACTGAAAAATGATGATACAGTATAACTGAAGATTAAGACCAGGAAGAAAAGTAAAGCACAGAGAAGGAGTATAGATACATTGAATCTTCTTTCAACGTTCTTCCCAATGAACAGCACTGTTTCTAATGTTTTGTTGACAATGGGCTCATGCATAGGTCTTCCTAGGCCTGTTTATAATTGTGAAATCATAAGTAGGTCACTGTTTTGAAAGCAAATAAATCTTAGTGATCATTTCAATCCTATAATTACAGTGTGGTACAAAGAGCGATACAATGACCTGGAAAAGTATGTGTGTTCCCTAAAGGATAATGATTTTATCATTGAACACTATCACCCATGTGCTGCACTTACAGTCCAACATGTATGTATAAACCACTTTGGAAAATGAGTATGTATCTGGGTTGTTAAAAATCTATAGATGGAATACAAAATTATTAATTATTGTTTTTAGATAGAGAAATATGGAATCCCTTTAGGTCTTGGATTTTCTCCACGGGAAAGCGTACTGCTATATGATGCAATGGCACATGTTTGGCCAGAATGGACAAGGATGCAGGTGTGTGAATATATGCATTCTATGACTGATATCTTAGTTCTTTGGCTATGGTGGGCCATTAATAATGAGCAAGTTCATGAATAGTTTTTATTCTGGTAGATAAAGGCAGCATATTTCATTGTTAAGAATTTAAACTCTAGAGCCACAATGCTCCAGAATTGGCAAATTAGCTCTATTTTTTTATATTATCCATATTTTTTCCTGCCAAAAAAAATCTACTTGGGGTTGGGTTATTATGAAGATTAACTGAATTGTTATTTGTAAAATGCTTAGAATAGTACCTCGCCATGGTAAAAAAAAAAGAATATTTTAAAAATAAACATTTAAGACATTTTATTTCTTTTACCTCTAAAGCTAACTGCAGTATTAAAAGCATGTATGTGTTGGTATGTTCTAATGAAAACAGAATAACATGCAACCGTTACATAGAGAACAGAACTGTCAGCCTACATTCAGTTACCTCTAATTGCATATGGATGATTATTGACTGCTTGAGAGATTTCCTTAATAATGATGTATATGGAAAACTTTAGAAAGGATGATGATGACTTCATTTTTCTTGGTATTTGTGCATCTTCATTTTCAAGGAGTTAGAACCTGAAGAATTCAGCTACTTCAAAAATAAAATAGTCATTATGAGGACAGATGCCAAGAAATATGAAGAAGAGCTGAAAAAGGAAGTGATTCATTGGATTCAGCTGGACCGAAGCAAGGTAGTTACAACCATTTAAGATTTCTTTACATTTCAAATGAATAAGAAATGGATCTGACTTTAGGTTCAAGAGAATCACCCATAAAGCTCTGGAGGATTTGCAGATGAATACCCCATTGCCATGCTTTGCTATTCTATCTTAAATTTAGTTAGCTAGATATGGAAAAATACAAAGAATCACTACTTGAGCTCCAGCTTGGACAACCCACACATGCTGGTACCAATGTCTTTTCTGAATCTCAAGTTGGGCTATTGCTTTTCATGGAAGACAGGACTTCTCTAATTTCTTTTCTTTTTTTTCTTTTTTTTTTTTTTGACTTCTCTAATTTCTGATACAACTGGGTCATAACCCTGATTTTCTTATTCAATATTTCCCCAAGGAAGACCTTTCGCTTGCTTTCTTATACGAGTAGGTGACTGTCCAGTTTCTTTCTGTTGCCAACAAACTGGAAAGATAAAAAAAATTATAAGTATTATTTAATTTATCTTACTATAAGCTGTATTCTTTGATTTTACTTTTTCATGTTGATAATATCCTCATGATACTTCCTGATAATGGGTACAGTATTTCAATGCACAAGCAATGGCACATATCCATAGTTACTCAAGGATGGTTTACTAGGCTGTTGGAAGAAAAAGAGTATGGTCAAACTGACATGTAACATGAAACAATCTTCACTGCTTGGGGCTCAAAGTCATAGTTAAGAAATGATTACTCCTTGATCAGTTCAGGAAATGGAAACAAAATTTTAATCCATCCCTATTTTCTGCATTCTTTTTTCACATGAGAAGGGACCCATGTTGGTGTTTTTCCTGTGTTTTTTTGTTTGTTTGTTTTATGTTTGTTTATTTTAATTGCACACTGACTTGGACAGATGACCTGATCTACAAGCCTGAAAACCACCAAATGTCAAGAATTGCTTTTATATTAAATAAAGGTTTTCAACACTAGCTGCTGATAAACACTGCTGCTTATTAAAGATTCTGATTTGACTGGCCTTCTGTGGGGCTACAGCACTGGAATTTTAAAAACAAATTCTTTGAAATTTTAATGTGCAGACGCAGTTGAAAATCTTTGGTTTATCATTGCTATTATCTTGCTTTTAACACACTGGGATATATGGAAACCAGTCTAGATCGAACTTAATTTTACTTAGTCCTCTTGACTTACAATATTTTCAGAGGGAGCATATCTCTAAGCTCTGATTAGCTTCATCCAACATCCCGTTCAGTAGGCATGAGTCATATATTTCTTTCCCTTACAGCTCATGACATGCCTCGTGGCAATAAACTGTGCCATTCATAACATGGAAATCATCTTCTCATCTATTATATCTGGTCTAATAATTTCCATTGGACAATTTACATTCTTTTCACCTAAAATTTTAGTTTTAAACATTTATTTTTCTTAATTTTTAAATTGTAGATATTTTGTTAAAAATTATTTATAGACAGTAGAGTATAAATTAGAATATCAGTTGAATGAGTAAATAAATAAACTCATTTCTTAATTTTATTTTTTTAACAGGTATCCTCTGGTATAGTAACCCAAATTCTGTTTTTAGTTAATATTTATGTGTCCAGGTTTTTCTCTTACGATAATTTTTTTATTCTATATTATTTTTAATTAGAAGACTGGTTATAAATATTACTTCATCCCAATATTTTTACTAGACAAACTTAAAGGGGTTTTGATTTTTTAGTTATATCATTTCTTTGTGGTTTGATATGGCTTTGATTAATGTTACAATTTTTTCTTCATTTTTTTATAGTTGTTCAAGTACAGTTGTCTCCATTTCCCCACCACCACTTTCCCTTGTCCCACCTACCCCCACTTCCCACCCTCAATCCTTCCCTACTTTGGTTTTGTCTGTGAGTCCTTTATGCTTATTCCTTGACAACCCTTCTTCTTTTCCCTGTTATCCCCTTCTGGAGAACATTATGCTAAGTGAAATAAACAAGGCAATGAAAGACAAATTCCATATGATCTTACCTATAAGTGGACCCTAATCTACAAAACAAACAAGCAAGCAAAATATAGCCTGCAACATTGGAATAAAGAACGAACTGATTAATATTACACTTTTACACTGATGGGATATCAACACAGTTTCAATTATGAATTGAGATACCTCGCAGCAGATATTTAACAAGTCTTACTTGACATACTTTAGTCTTAGAGTGAGTAACAATTTTTTTCCTGTGTTGGCATCTATAATGATTTCTTGTTTATCTGAAGTTCATGGAAGGCTGTTTATTCAGAAAGTCTAGTTTTACGATATTCAGGAAAAACTTTTATTTTAAGTCTCATGTTTCAAAATTTATTTTTTAAAAATTTTTCTTCTTTGTATCTTTTTCTACTCCTCTAGTTGATTTTTTTTAACCATGTTTTTTCCTCTTTTGTCTTTCTTGGCACTGAAAGTATTTACTTATATTTTTCAGAAGTTCTTATTCTGAGGTGACTAATCTACAACTGACTCCTTATCAGCTAATTCCAACATCTTTGTAATCTTTTATGTTTATCTGGGATAATTTTCTTTCCTCTTGAGAAAGGGTCATATTTTCCTTGTTCCTTATATGTTGTTATTTTGGAGGATTATCTTCTTTTAGTTATTTTTGGACTGTGAATGTTATGTTATGGAGATTCTGTATTCTGTTATAGTCCTCTAGAGAATGTTCTTTTCTTCTTTTTTAATTTATTTTAGAAGGTAACTATAGCTTAAATTACAAATCCTGTCTTCTGAGTGACAGCTAAAATCTCCATTCTTTCATCTTTAGTTGGGCTGTATGGCATTTGCCTTACCCATGTGTGGGTCAATAGATACATTTGAGCTTAGTTTATTCATAGATTTTCAGAATTTTCTTCTGTAGCTTTCTCCTTTCTGGAATTTCCCCCTCACTTTAGTGGCTATTGTTCTCAGCTAGATTTTCTATTTCTTTAGGCAAAAGACTGTAGGAAAGGGGAGGGAAAGAGCCTGGCAACATTTTGGCTTTACTACCTACCCCAGGGCTAAAAGCCAGAAGGCTGTGTTTTTCCACTCCTGTTGTTCCCTTTCCCTCTTTACTCTCCTCTAGGACCTGTCTGCTTTTGTTTCACTTCTCAGGCCATTATTTGGTAGTATTTTTCCGCAAAGTGGCAGTAGTTACCTGCAAGAGGGTGGGGCCCAGTAGGAACTCATTCACCGGTAACAGAAACTGAAAGAAGCAGAACTCCTGCCTTTCTGTTTTTGTTCTCAGAGAATTTCTCTCACACTCCTGAAGGAGAATATATATCCTATTAGATTGCCATAACTTTCTGGAAATTCTATTGGCACTTTTCATATATACTGACTCACCTCTTTCTGTTCCATTTTACCTATAATACATAGACTGTCTACTGATAAAAACACATCTACTTTTTCTCAAAATGTTGGGCAATGGTATCAAAAAGAAAACCCTTCTCATTTAAAGGCAGAGTGAGCTTTACCAGAGCAATTTTCTGTAGTACTCAGCTTCCTCTACTGAAGCTGGAGCTATTGAGGCCTAGTAGGAGTCATAGGCCAGGCTAGAGAGGGTTGAATCACCAGGTTCTTGTGAAGTGGATTAATCTCTACCTTATAACAGTTGCAGATGGCTCTGAGAGGTGTTCCTTCAGGGTGAGTCAACTGGTGGAGTGGAAGAAATGAGAGAATGAAACAAATCTTGTTCAAATTTTTAATGATATATTCATTTATGATTTATAAATTAAGTCATTAAACATAAACAGAAAAGTAAGAAAACATGGTACATATAGTCTGGAAAATTGGAAGAGTTCCCCTAGTGTTTTATTCCTCCTTGAGCTTATATTGAACTATACATTGCTCTAATTCCAACAGTTACTGATTTTTTGGTTTAATAGTTGATTTGTTGTGTCTCACAGTTGGCTTCCTAAACACTTGGGGAGTCAGTTGAATTCTTTTCCATTATGGTATTTGTTCACATTTCTTAGTTTTCCAGGACAACCATGGTTTGCACCTCTTGTTTTTAGCCTCCTCAGTCCTTCCCTCTTAACATTAATTTGATGATGAATTTGGACAAATACATAATATCTGATTTGTATTTGTAGAATTTTAAGCAATTTTGACTCTATTTATGTTAAAGTCTTACTCACCATACCCTGTGTTCACCCTGTTAATAACTGCATCAATTTGTGACAATCTCCTTTCCCTTCCATAAACACCATGTCACTATATTACATAGACATGATTATAATATTGTTGAAATATATCATTCAAGTTTTCTTAGATTTTAATTTTATTTAAAAATGTGCATGACTTAAATATAATTTCCAGCTTACTCCATGAAATGCACTAAGCCTTACCACTTTGATTTTCAGTCTCAAATGCTAGCTAATTGTATCCTCTTCACAACTATAAATATTTAATGACTTATCTTTTACTGATGATAATTTTATTTAGGTGAATGAATTACTGAAGTACCTTAAGCCTCAAACTTTTGACAGTGCAGAAACTGAAAAGCAAAGAATGTTTCCTTGTTTTGTGGAAAAACTTAAAGAAATGAATAAGCTGCCTGCAATATTCTTTTCATAAGTAACATTTACTTATCTTTATACTTAATATTGTATGAATTTGAAGACTTTTGAAAACAATAATTGAGGAAGGATATATATATTCTCTGATTCATACTAGAATTTTAAAAAATTTTAACTCTGTGTCGAAGTCATACTTACGATATCAAGCTGGGTATAAGATGAGGGGAAGTAACACCTCTCTTAGTAAATTATACTTCAAAATCTAATTGTATAATTTAGTGCAATAGAATCCTCTGGCCTATCAAATATTAGAAAGGTTTTTTATACCATCAAAGGAAGACAAAGGAAATAGGCTAAAATATAGTGTGCACTTGCCAAAAGAGAGCATGTACACTAATACACATGCATACCAAATGCACACATATGACCTTGCTGTAAATATTTGTTTTGAGGGTTCTTTCCAAAGGTGGTTACATCTAAACTCTTCACTAAAAAGGAAAGACCTTCAGTCTGCTCATTTTCCTTTTTCTATTTTTCCCTTCAGAGCATTAAAAGAAAAGTTAGCTGGGGCTTAGTAGCCATATCAAATAATTAGCAATCATCGTTTTGTTGTACTTAAAACACAGATTTTCCTTTGGGAGATATTTAATCAATCTATATGGATGAAATGTGCTCATACTCAGTTCATTTCACTTTGCTTTGAGTTTAGTGGGAAGAGACATCAGTGGGTTAGGGTGGTTATGGAGACCCTTACAAAGGGGCTGGGTTTCAAAGTGTAGATATTCTAGACAAAGAGGAGAAGGAAGGAAGCCTAGATCAAATTTATTCCATTCCATTTGAAACAAAACAAGGTGTCCAAAGCAAGCAAACTAAAGGTAGATTATGAATAAACCTTATATGATTATATATAAAATCCATCTCTCTCATATATATGAGATAGATATCAATAAGATATATGAGTGTATACATATGATTGATATAAAGATGAAGTTATTGAAAATTCTTATTAATTCTTAATTTAGATTCAACATTCACTCAGTGGAACGATCAGCTTCACGACTTCTTACAAATCTGATAATCAAACAGAATACTCATAATGATCCAAATTCTGAAAGAGAGAAGAAAAATTTGAACAAGAAACTATGGAAAGCAATAAAGTCTCAAAGAAGAAATTATGCTGTGTGAGTACTTTTAGTTGAGTTGTAAAAGCTTAAAATAAAATGTATATATCTGCAGCTGTTTTTATAATTCAAACGTGTTTTTACAATGTGATGATGTGACTTTTTTTCTCTTTTATATGACACATCAAGTTAATTGAGTTATATTTCACTTTTGGGAGGACATCCAGAGAAGGACTTTTTGAGTATTTTACAGTAATAATTATACAATAATTTGCAAAGATTTTCTTCATTGTGTTAGCTTCTTTCCTTTTTCTCAGAAGTACAGGTTACACATTTGTTTTTATAGAAATTGCAAGTTTGCAAATTTGCTAAAAATAAATTGTATAATTGTTTACATTCACTTTTAAAAGATAACCATTAAAATATCAAATAACTAATTAGAACAAGTTCACTAACTGTCTTTTAATACAATACAGGAAATATGATTTTTGTATTTTTATGCTTTTATTGTCTTAACATAAAGTATACAAATATGTGAAGAAATGCCTCTATTTTTGTTTTATTGTACTGGACAAATTACCCTGGAAAACATGAAATATGAATTTCGTTACCTAACTTTGTTTGACTGTAGTTCCACAATTCTCACCCTCACTCCAGCATTCTTTTCTAGCATTGACCCTTACCTACTCTTGAAAGAAATAATAACCCTAAAGCAATAAATTATTCTTTTCTGACAGTTTCAGGAACATTCCTGAGATGGAGGTGGCTGTATAGAATATGACCTTATTCTTAAAAGAGTGAAATTGCAGAGAAGATGGCTGATACGCACTTGCTTTAGTAGCCCAGCAGGCTGGTCACCCTTCCTCTATACGTTGTTCCACCCAAGCAATGACTTACTAAGAAGTACCCCAGTATTTCTCAAGGCTAATTTTGGCATGCACAGAAAATTAATTACAGTATATATTAGAAAAACAAGAGTCTTGTAGATAAATTTATTCTATACTTCTTCAACTATAAAGAATTTGCATTTTTATGCAGTTATTTGGAAAATTAAGTTTTTCACTCTAATGTCAAAAATATTGTTCCATTGGAAACAAACTGGTATTTTTCTCTCTCCCTTCCTTGCTCTCTAAAATAAATAAATTAAAAAAATATATTGTTCTACTTAATGTAAAAAATAAATTAAAATTTGGTTGGCATGAGAGATAGAGGAGGTGCAGAAGGTTTTTCACTGTGTTAGGTGCATTTTAATGAATATATTTAAAATATACTTTAATGGGAAGCTGATGAAAGAGACAATTGAGGTAATTAAGGCCTGATGAATATTCTTTAATAGACACAGAGTGTTTTGGGTTTGAATTATCTTGAATTATTACGTGGCATTTATGTATATAACCTCAAACTTAAAAAATAAAAGAATAAACTATAATCAAAATATTTACTGCTTTTCCAAATTTTTTATGTTCAGATTTTTAAATTCAGATTCAGGTGCTAGAATTCAAAGAATGATTGTATTAAAATCTAAAATAACGGAAATGAAGAAAAACCTTAAGAAGTATTATGAAGTGACCCCAGGCTGTACTTATGCAGACCGTACAGTTGTGGACAGCCAGATAAGGGAAAAGAAACAAGGCTGCATTCATGTGTTCCGGTGTGCGTGTTGAGTCTCTGGGGCTGCTGTAACAAAGTGCCACAGAGTGAGTGGCTTCAATAACTTATTTTCTCCCAGTTCTGGAGAGTAGAAGTCTAAGGTCGAGGTATTGGCAAGGTTGGTCCTTCTGAGGGCTATGAGGTAAGGATCTGTTCTAGATCTTTTTCCTTGGCTTGCAGGTGGCCATCTTCTCTCTGTATCTTCATATCTTCTTCCCTTTAATGTGTCTGTGTTGAGATTTCCTCTTTTTGTAAGGACACCAAGTATATTGGATGAGGGGCTACCTTAATGACCGTATTTTAATGGAATTACTCTATAAAGAACCTGTATCCAAATACAGGTCATGTATTGGTCATGTCTTGAAGTACTGAGGGTTAAGACTTCGACAAATGGATTTTTGGAGAAACACAGTTTAGCACATGAAAGTCTACATAGTGTCTAAGTTGTGACATGGGATTTATAAAACACACAACATGATCTACATTAATCGAAACAATAAATCAGAGACTACAGTTAGAGGCTAGATAAATTAAGATAGTTTGTGTGAGTTTATACAGCTGTTAAAAGCAGCACGAAGGTTTGTGCCAAAGTATAACTCCTATATCTATGAAATTATATTTATTAACTGAAGTTAGTTATAACCATTTCTATATGTAGACAGATATATTAAAATTAAATGTAAAATCTTTTTTTCCAAGCTATAGGCTTAAGCAACAACTAGCTAAAAGAACCTCAAAATCATATTTGTCTTTCTTCTGAAAATTCTTTCTTGTCCTTTTTTTTTTTTTTTTTTTTTTTTTTTACCTACCTTTCACCTAGCTCTTCAAGCTGGAAACTGTGGAGTTATGATGTCTTACACTACTGCTGTATGCCATACCTCATTCAGAAACTTCACTCTAGAACCATGGAGAGACAAGCTGAACAATGGGTGCTCATAAAATGACCTAATTGTTCATGTAGTAGGCAAGGAAAAGTTATTTTTTTATTTTTAACTTATTTTTATTTTTTATGGGAGAGAGGGAGAAAAAGAGGCAGAATGAGAGAAAAGGGATGAAAAAGAAAAGAAAGAGAAAGAGAAGAGAGGAACAATAAGAGTGACTGACAGAGACAGACAGTGTACTGGATTAGATCCAGGGTGTTTCAGAGAGAGAGAAAGGAGAAGAAGAAGAAGAAGAGAGAGAGAGAGAGAGAGAGAGAGACAGAGAGGAAGGGAGAGAGAGAGACAGACAGACAGGCAGGCAGACATAAAGAAAACACACAAAATATAGACAGGAAGGTGCAAAGAAAGAGAGAACAACCAACACTGATCAGACATGACTGGAAGAGCTAATGAAAAAGAAACCCAGTAAGTTAGATTTGAATTAACAGCAAAAATGAAACAAAATTGGGGTGATAGAAAATTAGACTAAGCTGAGAATTTAGGCAGGGATAGGTTTTGGTACTAACATCAGGGTATTCTGGTCCCTCACCAGCCATGTCTTCTCTCTTCAGGGTTTCCTCATTGCCCCAGGGTGAGCTGGAGCCCTTAGTTCAGCTCATTAGAGCTATAACCAGTGATTAAACAGTTTGGGACCAAGGATAGGTCCCAACCACTCAGTGGGTATGGGGAAGAAAATGGGGTGCATGTTCCTGATGAAGAAATAGATGAAGAAAGCATCACCACACGTAAGGTTGGGTTGCATTTCCTTGTATCAGACATCAAACTTTGAATATCAGGTACTGTGAAATAATTCTACTAAAATACCATGTATTGGGCATTTTGTAGTTTAAATAGGCTTTGTGTTCTGACCACAACTATTTTTAGAAGTCTGTCCAACTCTGCACTGATTTCTAAACAACTTTTTAACACATGATATCATTGTTAAGTTGAGGGATAAATCCTTTAAGTTGATAATGCACACTCTTTCTTTGGGGTATTTCAGACTTTATCAAAGATCGTATACAGACTGAGAGGAACAAGAAAAAGCTACAAACTGCACGGTCTGTTAAAGCGGGGCATCGGATATCATTATGGTCCAATGGAGTATAAACAAAGACAAGTTGTAGAGATACTTTTCAGACTGAAACACGTCCAGGTTGGTGAACTTTGAGGACAACATTCCTAGAAGCAATGCGCTCACTCCTTTGGCCTGAGCAGAAGGAAGAAATGTGCTCTGACGTAATCCCTCCACTTGGAGAGATGCTCTCCTAACATTGTAGCATATTATATTCTGTTCTTTCAACTATATTTTATATAGTTAATATATAATGTATATGCAATTAGGAATCCTGTCTGCTTTGCCCAATAATATATGCTTAAGTCTATTATGAATTAGCATTACATACAGTTTATGAGTATATCATAATATACACATATATAAAATTCATTTGAACATTCTGCTAATGAAATTTTTGTTTATAAACATACATCATTATTTCTGATTGTTGATAGGATCAGCTGATTCTGCAAAGTAACATAACTGTTTCAAAGAGCAAAAGTAATTTTCAAGCTCCAGAAATACATTGCTAAATATCTTTCCTGAATTACTCCATTTGTTTACTTCACCTTGACAAATGTTTAGTACTATGGTTAAGAAATGGAGTTTTGAATACAGTGCAGAGAGTATCTTATATGGCATGCACCCAATTTCCCACATTAACATCTTACATTAGAATAGCACATTTGTTATAATTATCTAATATTGATAAATTTTTATTAACTAAAATTTATTCTTTATTCACTTCTTCAGTTGTTCCTCTAATGTTCTTTTTCTTTTCCAAGATCCCTCCCAGGATGCAACATTTTATTGATTTGTCAGCCCTTTTTAGGCTCTCTTGCCTGTGACAGTTTCTTAGATTTGCCTTGTTTTTGAAGATCTTGATGGTGATGAGGATAATCGATCAGACATTTTGTAGAATATTACTCAGTTGGGATTTCACTGATATTCTTCCTCATGATCACGTGGAGTCTATGCGGTGCCTGAAGGAAGACCTCAGAGGTCACATGTAATTCTCCTCATATTATATTGGGGTTATAGACTGTGGATATGACATCACCGTTGCTGTTAATCTTGAGCATCTGGCCGAGGTCATATTTGTTAGACTTTTCCACTATAAAGTTACCTTTCATTGTCACTTTCCATACTGTCTTCCTTGGAAGGAAGTCACTATGCACAGCCCACTTAAGGAGTAGGTAGTTCAGTTATACTTTCCTCCTTATAGTTGGGGTATCTACATGAATTATTCAGAATTGTTCTGTGTAAGAGTTATATCTCTTCTCCCTCATTCTTTTATGTACCCAGCATTTATATCAATATGGACACGTGGATATTTATTTTATGCTTTGTATATAATTCAGTGCTGCTTTACTTATTTTCTTGTTCAAGTTGTACATGTTTTGACAATTAGGAGCTTTTTCACTTGCTTTCTGTAACTCTTTGGCATGCTTCCATCATTGTGAGTTGCTTGTTTTTGAGCATTTCCTTACTTTCTGGCAAAGTAAGGTGCTCACTTATCTTGTATATTTCTTGCCCCAATCTTAGAAAAAGTCATGTCTCCAAAGAGCCCTGATTTCTTTTAGACAAGATACAGATCTTTTGGTTACAACCAAAAACAGTCAAAGGAGACATGCCTATCAAATGTCATATGGTACCCTGGGTGGATTCAGAAAAAGGACATTAGGTAAAATTAAGGAAATCTGGGAAAAGTTTGAGCTTTAGTTAATAATACTGCATCAATGTTTTTTCATTAATTATAACACATGTATAGGACCAATTTAAGATATTAATAATAGAGAAAACTGGGTACAGAGCATAGGAACTTTGTATTATCTTTGCAAATTTCTGGAAATCTAAGTGGGTTCTAAAATAAAGTTTATTTAGCAATATGTTCTATACATGCATTAAAGTATGTGTTCTGTGGGTCCTGGTTTCAGTGTTCTTTGAGGCTTCTTAATTTAAATCTGTATTATTGGAACTCTTTTTTTTTTTTTTACCTTCTATCAATTCTTAGAGTAGAATTATGAGAATAGAAAGTGTTAAAATCTCTCATTGTTAATATAATTTTTTCATTTCTCTTTGTAGTTCTGCTAGTTTTACTTTATATGTTTTAATATGTACTATACTGTGAAAGAAAATGGCATTAAAGATAAAGCACATTAAAAGTGCTCTGAGAAAATAGATTATTGTAGTTGAGGGACATCTGATTTGTTAAAAGCAAAATGGAAGCCAGGAATAAATGAAATTTTGTTTTCAAAAATTTAAAGAAAATAACTTCCAACTTAGATTTTATACACAGCAAAATTATTTTTCCAGAATGATGGCAAAGTGGAGAATTTTAGACAAGTAAATACAATTTTCACCTTTTCCCCTCACCAATTAAAAGAAAACTAAATCAGGCAGAATGGAAGTAATTCCAGGAAAATGAGAGTTGTTTAAAAATACATAAAGAGTAATCCTAGAAAAATGCAAATATAGTTAAATTAAAACTTTTATTATCTGAATAAAAATAACCCCTTGGAATAAAAACAAAAAAGAAAGTATGTCACACTAGTATATGTTTCAGAAGTGGAGATTATTTGAGGAAATGTCTTAAGGAGGATAAAATTATTGATTAATTTTGGACCTTTAAAAGGTAAGTACAGATTATGTAAATTTGTTAATACCCACTGAAAGAACAGAATTTGAGTGTTCAACATCCAAACTACAAAGGAAAAATAAATGGCATTACAACATCTGAATGAATCAAAAGATAACTAAGCAAGCAGACAATAAAGTGATTTAAAACACCGTGACTACAGTATAAAGTAATAGCCAGGTCATCAAATATAAAAATTATATTAAGTAAACAGATGCATATGTACTCAATGACTCTAAGAGGAACATTTTTGAAGTTGATTAACAAAATATCCAACTAGGTGTTGATTATATGGGACACATTTAAAACATAAGAAGAAAAAAAGAACTGAAAAGAAAAATGTAAATAATAACCAAACGAAAGCTGATGTGGCTATGTTTATGTTAAACAAGATATATTTTAAGTTAAAGTCATTACTAGAGATACAGATAATCCCACCATTAGAAAATTATACTAATTTAACATTTTTACAATGTAAAAGTACATAAAGAAAAAATCATTATGGAAATAAAATACAGAGTTGATAGATAAATAAAACACTATATAACCAAATGTGTGTGGTGGAGTTAAACTAGTATTTAGAGAAAAATATGTAAGCATAACTGTGTCTATTTTGAAGAGAGAAAGCCAAAAAGAGAAGTAAGAAAGAGTACGAACAATCTCAAGTGTGGTTGCAATAAAATAGAGATAAGACATTCTTGCTGTTAGCTTAGTTTTTAGTAAGAAATGTGAGTAAAAATAGTATTTTTAAATTGAGACAGAAAAGCAAAGTCTCAGGAAATCCTCTTTATTCGTTTATTTTATCTCAATTGAGAATACCATTTTCTACTCAATACGCCATCAAGTCATGTCCAAAAAAATCTAAATGCCTCTATTGGATCATTCATTTTCCATTCATCGCTTACTAAAATTAGTTCACAGACTAACCAAGGCAATTTTATAAATATTAATTATATCATGTTACTCTCCTTTCTCTTAAAATCTAAACTCCTTAGAGTGTTTTTTTTTCCTTTTTTTAATGATTGTTGTGACCTGGTTGCTGCCCTCTCTCTTTGAATTTATTTCCTACTGTATTTTTAGAAATTTTTTTATGTAAAATAATACTCCTTTTATAACCTAGCGCTTTTGTTTATGCAAAATAATTACAGATTTACTGAATGATTATGATTTCACATCATTTTGCAATCTAAAAAGGCTAGATAATTATAATATTAAGGAAAACATTAATGTGAATGCAAATCTCTACGGGAGTTATTTATTCCAAAAGAAAATGTACTTTGTATTTTTGATGACATTGGATTCCCACTGGTGTTTTACTCAAGAAAAATGATTTCAAGGGAGTCTAATCTAATTAATATTTAAAGACTATGCCTACATTAATGTATTCTGTGTTAAACTTATTTTTGATATTTTTTTACCCTTCACCCTTAGGTGGTAACAGCTACCTCTTCCCTTGCTTTGGGAATTAACATGCCATGTAAATCTGTTGTTTTTATGGAAGATTCTGTTTTTTTGGATGCCTTGAACTTTCGACAGGTATTTATACAATCTGCCTATATTACCTTTGCATACATAGGGACTGGGAACATCTATTCAGTAAGCCAAAAAAAAAAATGATTATTCTGAAACTTTGGGGACGAATTCACTTATAAGGTTGAGTTGTTTTTCATATGTTTATTGGATATGTTTATTGATTTTAGAAACAGAGGAAGGGGGAGAGAGGCGGTGGGGTGGGGGGAGAGAGGGAAAAACATCAACACGAGAGAGAACTGTTTATAGGTTGCCTCCCTTACATGCCCCAAGCAGAGAGTGAACCCACAACCTAGGCATATCCAGACAATCTCTAACCAGCTGAGCTACCAGGCTACAAGGTCAGGGCCCCATTGTTTGATTCTTATATGTGATTTGACAGGGAATTGAACCTGCCACTTTTTTTGTGTACAGGACAATACTCTAACCAACTGAGCCACCCAGCCAGGACACCCCTACTTTCAAGTCATGATCTTAAAACATAGGCATTACTAAAGTAGCAAACACTTTGATAATATATTTTTAAAATAAAATAATATTTTGCACTTTGATAAAACTAATATACCAAGCAACAAAGAACTCTTTCAAGGTTTTTGAAAGTTTGTTTCTTGTGGTATGGGTAAGTCAGACATTAACCATTTACAGAGGCAAAATTTGAAATTACTTAAAAGTGTTATGTGGTAATCTTTTTAGATGTCTGGTCGTGCAGGAAGACGTGGTGAAGATCTTACAGGAAATGTGTTCTTCTATGATATTCCATTACCTAAGATAGAAAGGCTCTTAAAGTCAAATGTGCCCAAACTGAAGGGTCAGTTTCCTTTAAGCATTTCCTTGGTTCTCAGACTTCTGCTTTTAGTTGCCAAAGCAGATGACAAAGAGGATGCCAAAGCAAAGGTATTCCATTTCATATTATTTAAATTACTGAACTAAATATAATTATTTAACCTCTATTTCATAATAAATTACATAAACTGAAGAGAATAAAATAACAATGTGCTCTAAATAAAATCACTGTAACATTTGATTCTACTTTATAGTACCCTTATTGAACACAGAAACTTGCTTTTAATTTTCATGCATTCGAACATATGGGAAATTAAGCCCATGATTGTCCTGTTATAATAATCCCTGGGTTCTGTATATATATTAGAAAAGAAACATTTTTAATGTACATCTGGTCTAAAAGATTTAAAAAAAAGTTTCAAAGAAATAACTAATGGTTGAAAAACAAAAGGTACTACAACATTCACAATTACTGGTTTTACATTTTTATACTTTATTTTACCCTCACCTGTCATGCAAAAAGGTGTCATTATTTATCTTTCTCTCAAGTGTTTCTTACTATTTTCAATCACACACATGTAATATAAAACACTATGAAATGCCTAATTATAATAATATAATAAATCAATATTCAATGACCAATATAAATATATGCCATATGTGCTATGTAGTACATAAATATATATAGCACTCTGTTCTATAAAAGAAATGTTTAGTTGTCCTTTGGATATTACATTTGGAAGACACAATATAAAATTTGCTTAGTAACTAACTTGATATTTTTTTACGTATATATATATATATATATACACACATATATATAGGCATTATCAGTTCTCCAGCATTCACTGATGTCCTTCAAGCAACCAAAGATCAAGTGCATGTTAAAGTTTTACTTTATATATTCTTTGCAATTTTTGGTCAGAGAGGTAAGATTTAAACCTATTTCCACTAAAGTAAGGTGCTAGTACACATGTTTAACTCCACTGTACTAAATTGTTCTTTATTAACAACTTATTTGATATTTCTGAGATCTAGAGACTGAGATTAATGTGTTAAAATTAATTTATAGGAATACTTGAATCAAGAATGTATTCCCATTGGATATTCTGGACTTGTGTCCCATTTGCACTACCATGAACCTGCAAACTTTGTTTTAGTAAGCTTGCTGAAGAAAGGTTTATTTCACAAGTTGTGTATTCCAACCAGCATAAATGGTAAGCAAATGTTACTTTACCAAACTTACTCATTGAACTGTGTGCACAAACACACACACAAATCGTGTCTGTATTTACATATATCCATGTGTTCCCCAGAATGCATCCGCTTTGCATGGTGTGATTTTCTAACTGTGTTCTCTCAATGTATTTTGAACATTTTTCTTATTTTATTTTATTAAAAATGTTTATCAAAATATTATTAATATATGCATGGTATATTTGTAAAACACTGTAAATATTCTTATGACCATTTAATTTACTTTAAATTTTAAAGAATAAATCCATAGAATAATAAATATTATTCTTCCAGAATCACATTTTTAATATATATACATAATCAGTGGAAATAAATTACAATAATATGTGTAAAATCACTAATTTGTCCTTTGATATGAAAAACAGGTCTCTTTGTGATTTCCTCACATTTAGGTCCTAATCATTAGCTGTATCTTAGTAAGACATAAAGGTAACAGTTTAAAGTCAAATATAAACTGTAGAAATATATTGGCATCACAATATTGTCCTCTTAAATGATGACTTCCTTTTTTAAAATCACAAATTATTTTTCTGTTTTCCCTAACTTTAACATAATTAAACTTAATTTAATATAGAGAGAACTAAAGTTATATGATCCAAATTCAAATGAACTCAGATATATGTACTATAATTAATATCTCATTGTACATTTTATTTTTAGTAAATTACCAACTTTTTAAAATATTGTTAAAAATAATGAAACTATTAAATAATATTACCTTAGAACTAAACATAAAACCTTTAATCCATTATTAATCTATATTTTTTCAAGAAAGGATCATAGAAAGTAATCATCATTAAATTTTATGTATTTTATAAATATTGTAAGTAATATATCACAATGTTAAAGGAATTTTTAAAAATCTGAAAAAAATTTGCTAAAATGCTCCCAATATAAACACTTAAAATTGAGGTGTTTTTTTCCTTTGTTTGTTTCCTTGAAATCTGGAAGCTTCACTCTTAATGCTGGGCATTTTTCCAGTAGTATGAGTCACTTGTTTCCAAGGTCTCAGATGAGTGGATGTTAGTGTGGGCATGGCACCCTATTAAATACTGTGGCTGATTAATAATCGGGAATCAGACATAGGTTTTCCCTTGAGATTTAGTACCTAAACTGCTACAAGAAATTTCAGGAGCATGTCAATAGTAATTGTGAGATTATTTTTTGGAGTGTAATGTGTGCCAAAGGCAGAGTGGGTACAGGTTAACAATTGGCCTCAAATGGCAGATAAGGAATTTGGAAAGCTGCATAGGGTCTTCATTCCTTAGTAGGCTTTGAAGAGAGGCAGAAAAACTGAATGAAACAAACTAGCAAAGAGAAGGTTTGAAGCCCATGATGGAATGCAGGGCAATTCCAGAACTAAAGGCCAAATGGCCAAATGGCAGTTCTTTTTTTGGCGACAGGGAGAGAGGGTGTTCCTACAGCTAGGACACAAACCTGCAAAGAGAAAGTTTAAAGCCTATGATGGAATCCAGGGCAATTCCAGAACTAAAGGCCAAATGTCAGTTCTTTCTTGTGGGGGGGAGGGAGAGGGGAAAGGGGGTTTCTATAGCTAAGAGTGGATCCAAGGATACTAGGGTCTGTCAGTAGGATGTCAACTACTTTGCATCATTATGAAGTAATACTGTAATTTATTTAAAAATTCACCAAACATCTGGAAAGTGGCTTTGGAGAGAAAGGGAAGGGATGAAGAAAAAGAAGGAGAGAAACATCAGCGAGGTACATCGATTACTTGTCTGTTGCAGGTCCCCAACTGGGGACCTGGCCCAAAACCCAGGCATGGGCCCTGACTAGCAATTGAACCAGCAACCTTTAGGTTCATAGGTCAGCACTGGATCCACAGAGCTACACCAGACAGGGCTTGAGTTTAGATTTTAAGAACTGGTTCACCGTATTTGTTTTTAGTATATTTCTAAAATGATGAATTTTGTTCTCTAAAGTTTTAGAAAATTAAACTCTTTATTTTAAATAGGCCAAAAGAGCTTTTCTGAAGATGTGATGGAAACCTTAGTGGTCGTGTTAGCAAATCTTTTCGGAAGACGGTATCTCCCTCCCTGTGTGAACAATTTTGAAATGAGAATTTCTCGTTCAGAGGTAAGAAAAAATATATACCATAACCTTGTAATTTTATTTTAAATCTTTCTACTATAGCATGCAATGCAATCATATTTTCCCAGAAACAAAATTTTGCTGTCACTTACTAGAGTTACCTCTTCTTTGTGCCTCAATCAGTTCTTGGTATATACAGTGACTTCTCAGGTGAGGAAAAGCTTGAGGTCTCATTTAAAAATGGAAGACTTGCCCTGGCTGGTATATTTCAATCGGTTGAAGCATCAGATCATAAACCAATGGTTGTGGGTTTGATTCCCAATCAGGGCACATACCTTGGTTGAAGGAGCTGTCCCCGGTTGGGGTGCATAGGAAGAGACAATCGATCAATGATTTTCTCTTGCACCGATGGTTCTCTCCTTCCCTTCCCCTCTCTCTAAGGTCAGTAAGTATGTCCTCAGGTGAGGATAAAAAAACAGTGGAAAACTCTATATCTGTTAGAGATTTTTAGCAAGTGAGTAACATAGGACTTTTTATTACATTGAAGATGATCTCAATCATTACATTTAATGGTGAAATAATGGCCACAGTCACACTTAATTTGAATCAAAAGACATGAATACCCAATTTAACAGCTATTTGAAATTGTTGTTCTGGGAATTCTACTCATGGCCAAATGACAAGATAAAAAATACAATATATTATGGGATAGGTAAGCATAGTGAACATGAAGTATAATAAAGTAATTTAAAGGCAGATAGATTCCTGGACTTCTTCCCAGCTTTGCTACTTAGCACATCAGTGGCCTTAAGCAATTTTCTTTATCCAGGCCTGTTACTTATCTGTAAATTGGAAATCATAATAGTACCTATTTCAAAAGATTGCTATAAGGATTAAATTAATTAATACATGCAAAGTGCTTACAACAGTGCTTGGTACTTAGGAAGCATCCAATAAGTGTTAGCTCTTATTTTAACAATTATTTTTATTTACAGAAGAAATGACTGTCTACTGAAAAAGCCAAAGGGGTCAACAGGAAAATGATAACAATTAATGACAGTTTAGTAAGTCTTCAAATACAAAAGAAATATGATGAAAACTTTAGTTTTTTCATATACCAATGTTGCAAAAAAATAACATGTAAAATAATCCTACCAATGGTAAAAAAAAATGAATACTAACAAGATACTGTAGTTTACTTGTTAATATGGAAAATATTGCAATTGACAATTATGTTGACAGGAGTGTAAATAGATATGTCCTTTAAAATATTCTTTAACGTAGCATTTTTACTTCTTTGAAATTATAATGATATAATCAAAATAGAAATTAATTATGTAAAAATATTATTTTATTAGTTTCCTTAAGCAGTTATAACAACCACAAACTGCCTTAAACAACATAAATTTACTGTTTCAGTTTTGGAGGTCAAAGTCTAGGCAAGGTTGAGTACTTCCAAAGACTGAGGGGAAAATCTGTTCCATGCCTCTCTCCCAGCTTTCGGTGGTTCATTGGCATTCCTTGACTTATAGATGCATAACTCTGATCTCTACCTTCATGTTCACAAGGCATTCCCTTTGTATGCATGTCTCTCTATGCAAATTTCCCCTTTTTAAAAGAATGACAGTCATAATGAAATGGGGCCCATCCTATTCTAGTATGAACTCATCTCAACTAATTACATCTCTAGTGACTCGATTTCCTAATAAGTTTAAATTCTGAACCTTAGGATTTCAACCTGTGATTTTTTTAAGGGACACAATTCAAACCATAACATATCATAATTATTTATAATTGAAAACTGGATGCCACCCATACAGCCAACAAAAAGAGAACGGTTAGAAGACTTTTAGCAAACCTGTATGTCACAATATTATGTAGCCACTAAAATTCATATTTTCAAATAATATGCCATGACATGGGAAAATACTCCAGATATAATGTTGAACATAAACATTAGACAGAAAAGAATCTGAGTACTACAACAAAATTTGTATATACAAGACTGGGAGGAAATATTATACACCCGAACCTTTAAAACATATATTCCTGGGTGGTAGGATCACAAGTGATTTTAGTTTTTGTATTTGTACTTTTATAAATAATAGAATTTATACCTAAAAATATTTTTTCATCCAGACTTTTAAATATATTATGACCATCTGTCTCACATACTTTGTTAATCCTCTGCTTTAAAAAAAAATTAGTTACAGTAATCTAATCCATTGTTCCTAGGTAATTCTAGATGATCTTCCCAAGGAATTTGCTGAAGTGGTAGAGGAACACAACAACACAATTCAGAAGAATTTTGGTTCCTTCCTCCTAACGATTTCTAAGTTGGCGGACATGAGAAAAGAATACCAACTACCTCTCTCAGAAATTGGTAAGATTGTGAATGTACCTAAACAGAATGTGAAGTCAATAAAAGAAAATGCAAAAATTTTGACATAAAACTAAACTTTATAAAATAAGGACAAGACTATTGCAAAAAGAATACATAGGAAACTAAGATAATCCTTCAGATCTATGCTATGGAAATTAAATACTGAAAACATTATTTGGAATTAGCTAAGCCAACATAGATTGATTTTACACTAAATACTTCAAATATTTCTATACTTTTTTGTGTGCCATTTATAATCTAACAGACCATGAAATGGTCCAAATTTATTATAAAATGCTTCCTTTCCTATTGGTGTTATTTTTAGTAGATATTGATACTCTTAACTAGTTAAACTTTAAAATCTGAGTAACTATGAAAATATAAGAAAAGAAATATTGGCACATTTATAGTGGTCATCAGTGTGTTGTTCTTCCTTGAGTACTATGGGGGACATTAAAGAAGTTAACACATTGCATGTGTCTTTGAGGAAAAGACAGAATAAATGAAAAAGAATATTAAAACATAAGAAAAAAATCAGTAATGTATGCCAGATAATGTAAAGGGATTGCAAGTAAAGAATACACTCAGTGCTCCAAGATGGAAAGATAGAAGGATTGGGAGGTAAAAGGAAGGTGGCAGAATTCTGTTTTCTAGAAGGAGCAAGGAGAAAAAAATGGAGCAGTAAGGGCAGACTTGGGTTATTCATACTTTTGAATAAAGTTTTATATTGGAATGTAGAAGGCTTATGACGGATAAAGAAAAATTGGTCAGTTTATTCAACTATGGGATGAGAAATTAGCCAATAATGAGTCAACTTCATGGAAAAGACTGTAAGTGCTCCCAGGCAGTTTCCTACATTTGGGACTTGATGGTATAAATACAACTATTTTTCTTTCCTGCTTTTCTCTGAGATGATTGCTGTGACAGGCAGAATAATGGCCTCTCACAGATATCTGGATCCTAATCCTGGGAACCTGCGTGTATTATGTAGTAAAAGGGAAGCTAAGATTGCAGATTGAATTAAATTTTCTAATCAACTGACCTTGAGATGGGAGCATTATACTGGATTACTGGTATATGTGTGGACCCAATGGAATCATAAGAGTGTTTTTCAGTAAAGGAAAGAAGCTGAAAAAAAATCAGAGTTAGGAGGATGTGCTATTAGGGAGATTTTACCAATCATCATTGCCTTTCAAGATGGAAAAGGCCACAAGCCAAAGACTGTGTAGTAGCCTCTAGACGCTAGAAAAAGCAAGGAAATAGATTCTCCACAAGAGGCTCCAGAGAACAAATAAGCTCTGACTACACATTGGTTTTAGCTTAGTGAGATCCATATCAGATTTCTGATTTACAGAGCTGTAAAATAATAAATATGGATATGTTAAACCACAAATTGTGTGGCAATTTGCTACATCAGCATTAGGAAATTAATACAATTTCTAAGAAATGACATGCAAAAATAATAGTGACAAATACAAGCATAATTTTTCCTAAATTGTTTTAAAATTGAGGTGAAATTCATATAATATGCAATTATATAATTTCCAAGTATTATATACTATTCAGTGGCATTTGGTACAGTAAATGTGCAACTACCACCTCTAATTAAAACAAATAATTTCAGATAATTGTAACTCAAAAATGCGGGGTTACTTATTAATAAATATAGTCATAAATTTAATTTTGGGGGCTTAAGGGTCAGGCATTAAACCATTGTATTTCTCTCCTACACTTGGGATCAACCAAAAAATTTACAGGGGAGTACTATGGATAAAGCTGAATTAGAACACATGGTTTCCATTTTCAGTCAAATATGTTTCACAAAGCATAACCCTGAGTGGCGCTGCACTTTCCTGTCCCCCAAATGAAAAAGCAATGCCCGTCTCTTGTAATTCTCTCCTCTAAGTTACCACACAAGACAGAGAAAATAGTAGAATGCATCTTCTTAGTCATTGGCTAGCTCTTAAGCAGAGATTGAAAGACAAACAGAAATAAAAGGATGGACAGAAAGACTGACAGAGGCAGGTACAGAGAAATGTATGTAGGAAAGGCATACATACATAGAGGAAAATATACATAGAGTGACACACAGAAACAGAAAGAGAGAAACAGAGAAAGAGATTGAGAGAGAAATAGAGAAATAGAAATAGATAAATGCAAGGACAGAATGGCGGGAAAGAAGTAAGCCTACAAAGGGAGATTAATGAAGAGAGACAAAGAGAGTAGACAGAAAATAGACAACAACAAAGAGAAAGGTAAAAAAGAACAAACATGACAAAGAGGCAGAGGGAACAACAAGAGAGGCAGTGAGTCAAAGAGAAACAATGAAACACAGAAACAAGTGTTGTCATAAGAGGAAGTCAGAGAAAGAAGAAATAGAGGAAGGAAGGTAGAAGGGAAGATGATAGGTAGGTAGGTAGGTAGATAGCTAGCTAACTAGCTAGCTAGATGATACATAGATAGGTGATAGATAGATAGATAGATAGATAGAGAGGGAACCATTTGAGATGGACACGACAATAGCTCCTTTACCCAAACTCACCACTCAGGCCTGAGGTAACATGGCTGATCTCCACAAGACCTAGAAATGTTCTCTATTACTCTAGCCTCCTGATGAGTGAAGTAGCACTTTCTTCCCTTCTCTGGGAATATGAATAATAGAGTTAGTGTAAGAAAGTGAGCATGATGTCAATTTTAACTCTTTTATGAGAAATTTTGCAGTTTCTGTAGCTCTTTAGGATCCTGAGAGGACTTAAATGATAATAAAATTCATTCTAAAGGACAGGTGGATGGTGCTGCTTTTTGATCTGGGGTCCTCAGATCCACTAGTGTCCAACGAAGCATGTTTTATGCTTTGTCAATAGTGTCTATCTGATAAATTTCTGAGTGGATAGACATGGAGTTACCCAATTGGACCAATTGATAACTACAAATAATAGAACCACTAGCAGATACCAGAATGATTTCAGTTTTTGAAGAAAGTCTTCTCAGTGATCATCTGGCAATACAGTTCTTAAATTTTTCTCTTAAATACTTTTGTTAAAAGAAAGTTTAATAACTTGCCTAGTAGTAATGGTAAAAACAAATGTGATTTGTTTTAAATCATTTGTGTTTAATAGAAGAACAGTTTTCAATTATTTTCTTATTTGATTTCCTAATTGATTTTCCTATTAGACTTTTCAGGTAAAGAATGTGAAGACTCTGAATTGGTCTCTCATTTGATGCCTGGAACTGAGAGCAGAACTGCTGTCTCCCCATTTGCTTGCCTGTCAAACATAACTGATCAAGATTTATTTCATATTAATGTGGTGAATGATGTATGTAAATGTAACTGTAAAATTTTCTCGTATTCTATATATCATTTAAGAGAAATAATTCTATGTGATTATAATACCAGCTAAGTGTCCAGTACAGCAAAGCCATTGTATTCTCATTCCAGAATAATAGTTTTCTTTTCACTGAAGGGGAAAACAATTCTCTCTCTCCCCTTTTTTTACCTATATAAGTAGTTTTAAAAATAGAAAGTTTGAATTAGATAATGAAAAGAATGTTGTCTCTCAGTTAATCATCATGTATGAATTATGTTATTGTACTTGTGTGAATCACTATAGCATAAGCCCTTGCCAGTCCAGGTGTGAACCAGAGACCAGCAACATCAGTATGACCTGCTAGAAATGAGGAATCTTGGGAGCTGTCTCAGAACAATTGAGTTCAATGTACATATTAACATGAAATAGACTCATAGATACTGAGAACAGACTGATGGTTGCCAGTATGGAGGGAGGTTGAAGGTCTGGGAAAAAAAGGTGAACATGGGCTTGAGAAGTACAGATCAGTAGTTAGAGAATAGTCATGGGGATGTATAAAGTACGGCACAAGAAATATAGTCAATGATATTGTAATAACTATATATGGTGCCAGGTGGATACAGGAAATATCAGGGGGGAACACTTTGTAAAGTATACGTTTGTCTAACCACTTTGCTGTACACCGGAAACTAATTTAAAATAATACAGAGTGTAAACTGTAATTGCAAAAACAATAAAAATTTTAAAAATGAAATAAAAAACATGGGAGAAACCCTGCTATAAACTATTTGAGGACAGTTTTTGTTTGTTTCACCGTTGTGATCCTGGCACCTAAAAATGGGGAGTAGACACTCAATAGCTACATATCAAGCACTTTAATTTTTTTAAGTGACACAAGAGCCACTTTGTTTCCCGCCCCATGAGATTGGGAATTGTGAGACATCCGGTCATCCCTGGACCTCTGACAGCTTATCCATAGCATGGTGATGGAAAGAAATTCCAATGACGCTGATTGGCCAAAATCAGATTCTTATATTCTGAAAGAAAAAATAGATGTCTGTGGGGAAAAAAGAACAAGCACTATTACTATTATATGTAGCTGAAACCTATGTAAGTTTGTAAGCTCACAAATAGCTTTTTCAGGAAAAATGATTAAAAAGAGTATTTGTAGTATATTTCTGAGGTTGTAAAAGTGACTGTGTCTTTTCAAGCTCTGAATAAATTAGATATATATTTTTGTGAGTTCAAAAATAGTTTTAATATTTTGAATATTGATGTTTTTACTGATTTTATTTGATCATTTACACTAAAGTTTGGAGAACCTTAATATACTTAATACCTGATAATATTTCATTAAAATGGATTATTGTTTTAGTTAGCTAGATGTAATGAACCACAATAATCGAAGTTCGTAATAGAGGCATATCTCAAAAGAAAATGCCAACAAACTGAAATCTCTGTATTCCTCAGGCTATGCTACGAACAACTAAAGTGGATGTTACAAAAGTTCCTTTCTTTCAGTTGACTAAATATGATAAGAATGGAAGGAAGTGTCCATTGAATGGTTATGTATTGAATTTCTACAAAAACCGTTCCCTATCAGGACTCACTTCGGATAATTGGTATGAATTTTTCTATTTAACATTCTTAATAGATGTATGTTTGCTTGTGTAATTAACATTTATTGTGCTGTGACATTATAACTTATGAGGATAATTGTAAGATGTACTAATTTAAGGAGAGTCACAGAGATGCATTTTACTTGGAACTGCTTTAAAATGCTGTTTATTATTCTTATTTATTGAGGGAAAGTTCACATAAAATTAAATTAACCATATGAAAGTGAACAGTTTGACATTTGGTACATTCATAATGTTATGCAACAACTACATCTACCTAGCTGCTAAACATTTTCGTTATCCTTAAGGCAAGATCTGTACCCATTAAACAGTAACTCCCTTTCCTCCCTTACCCCATCCTCTGGCAACTACCACTTTGCTCTCTGTCTCTATGGACTTACCTCATCTGAACATTTAATATAAATGGAATCATATGTGACCTTTTATGTCTGACTTCTTCCGTTATAATATTCCAAAGTTGTAGCAGTATCAGTATTTCATGCCTTTTTAGAGCATGAAATAATATTCCATTGTATGTATATATGCAATTTGTTTATCGAGTTGACTAACATTTAGGTTGTTTCAACTCTTGGTTATTGTGAATGGTACTGCTATGAACATGCATGTACATGTATCTGAGTACTTGTTTTTAATTCTTTTGGATATATATCTGGGAGTAGAATTGCTGGGTCATATAATAACTCTATATTTAACTTTTTGAGAAACACTGAAACATTTTCCTCAACAACTGAACCATTTTATATTTCTACCAGCAATGTACAAGTTTTCCATTTTCTCCATAATCTCACCATATTTGCTATATTTATTTTTATTTTTATTTTTTTATTTATTTTTTTAATTTATTTACTTTTTAAATACATTTGTCTCTGCCTCCCCCCCACCTCTTTCCCTTGCCCCCTCCCACCTTCCCTCCCTCAGCTCTTCCCCTTTGGTTTTGTCCATGAGTCCTTGCTATATGTTCCTTGACTTTCCCCTTCCCTTCCCTTTCCCTGGCCCCCCCCTTCCCTCTTGTCTCTGTTGATTTCTTTTCCTTTCAGTGTTGCTGGTCATATTTTCCTTGCATCTTTGCATTGTTGGTTAGGTTCCACTTATAGGTGAGATCATATGGTATTTGTCTTTCGCCCCCTGGCTTATTTCGCTTAGCATTTTTAAAAATTATAGCCATTGTAGTGAGTGTGAAATATATCTCATTGTGGTTTTGATTTGCATTTCCATATACACTGATGAGATAGAGCATATTTTCATACCATGAAAAGCTGTATATGTTCTTTGGAGAAATGTCTATTCAATTTTTTGTTCATTTTTAATTGTGTTATTTTTCTTTTTTTCTTGAGTTGTAGAAGTTGTTTATATATTTTGGATAATAGACCCTTATCAGATATATGACTTACAAATATTTTCTCCTTTTCTTTAAGTTATATTCTCATTTTCTTGATAATGTCCTTTAACACACACAAGTCCAATCTATTTTTTTCTTCTGTTGCTCATGCTTTTGGTGTCATATGTAAGAATCCATTCACAAATCCAAGGTCATGAAGATTTATCCCTGTGTTTTCTTCTATGAGTGTTTTAGTTTTGGCTCTTATATTTAGGTGGTTAATTCATTTGCAAATACATTTTGTTATATGGTGTGTGTTAAGGTCCAATTTTATTCATTTGCATATGAGTATACAGTTGTCCCAGCACCATTTTTTTGAATTTTATCCAAGCTGAATTGTCTTCACGCCTGGTGGAAAGTCAGTTGGCCATGGATTTACTTCTGAACTCCCAATTCTGTTCCAGTAGTCTATAGGTCTGTCTGTATGCTATTACCACACTGTCTGGATATAGCTTTTGAAATAGGGAAGTGTGAGTCTTCAAATTTTGTTCTTTGTATTCAACATTGTTTTGACTATTCAAGGGCCTTTGTAATTCCACATGGATCTGAGGATTGTCTTTTCCACTTCTAAAATAAGGACTGTGGAATTTTTGATAGGGGTTGCAATGAATCTATAGATCATTTTAGATAATATTGTCATATTAACAGTAATACTTCTTTCAGTCCATAAACATAAGATGTCTTCCCATTTTTTAGGTCTTTAATTTCTCTCAGCAATGTTGTAGTTTTCAGTGTATGTCTTTAACCTCTTTGGTTAAATTTATTTCTAGGTATTTTATTTTTGGGATGCTTTTATAATTGGATTTTTTCCCCTTAATATCTTTTTCAGAAAGTAACTTGCTTGTGCATAGAAACACAACTGATTTTTTTTAGTATTGATCTTGTATTCTACAAGTTTACAAAATTTGCTTATTAGGTCTAATAGTTACTTTGTAGATTCTTCAGGATTTACTATGTATGAGATCATGTTATCTATGAATAGAAGGAGTTTTACTTCTTTTCCAATTTGAATGCTTTTTTTCTTCTTCTTACCCACTTGCTCTGACTAGTACTTCCAATAAAATGCTGAATGGTTAAGAGTAAAAACCGACACCCTTGCTTTATTTCTGATTTTTGGAAAAAGCTTTCAGCTTTTTATCATTATGATTTTAGCTATGAGATTTTCCAAAAATGTCCTTTATTATGTTGAGGAAGTTCCTTTGCATTTCTTTTATACCTGTTCATTGATTAACAGGTATAGACCCTTCCCCTTCTTTCCCACTTTATACTCCTCCCTCCTCCCCTCTGGTCGCTGTCAGCTCCTTGTTTCCATGTTTCTGGCTCTATTTTGCTTGTTTGTTTGTTTTGTTGATTAGTTTCCTCTTACAGGTGAGATCATATGGTACCTGTCTTTCATTGCCTGGCTTATTTCACTTAGCATAATACTCTCCAGTTCCATCCATGCTGTCTCAAAGGGTAGAAGTTCCTTCTTTCTTTTCTGCTGTGTAGTATTCCATTGTGTAAATGTACCACAGTTTTTTTGATCCACTCACTTACTGATGGGCACTTAGGCTGTTTATAGCACTTGGCTATTGTAAATAACATTGCTATGAACATAGTAGTGCATAGGTTCTTGCACCCCTGTGTTCACTGGAGTTATTCATTGGTGTTGAATATTCAGTTGGTGTTTTGGGATTCTTAGGATATAATCCAAGCAGTGGAATCACTGGGTCAAAAAGCAGTTACATTTTTAGTTTTTTAAGGAAATTCTGTACTGTTTTCCACAGTAGCTGCACTGTCTGCATTCCCACCAGCAGTGCACTGGGGTTCCCCTTTCTCCGCAACCTCACCAGCACTTGTTTGTTGATTTCTTAATGATGAACATTCTGACCAGTGTGAGGTGGTATCTCATTGCGGTTTTAATTTGCATCTCTCTGATGGCTAGTGATGTGGAACATCCTTTTATATGCCTATGGGACCTCTATATGTCCTCCTTGAAGAAGTGTCTGTTCAAGTCCTTTGCCCTTTTTTTAATTAGATTGTTTGTCTTCCTGGTTTTGAGTCATATGAGTTCTTTATATATTTTGGAGATCAAACTGTTGTTCAAGGTATCATTGGCAAATATGTTTTCCTATATGGTTGGTTCCCTTTTCATTTTGATAATGTTCTATTTAGCAGTACAGAACCTTTTTAATTAGATGCAGTCCCATCTGTTTATTCTTTCCTTTATTTCCCTTGCCCTAGATGATGTATTGATGAAAATATTGCTGTGTGGGATATCTGAAATTTTACTGCCTATGTTCTCCTCTAGGACTTTAATGGTGTCACAGCTTATGGTTGTCTTTTATCCATTTTTGAGTTTATTCTGGTATATGGTATAAGTTGGTGGCCTAGTTTCATTTTTTTATGTGCACTTGTCCAGATCTCCCAACACCATTTATTGAAGAGGCTATTTTTACTCCATTTTATGTTCCTGCCCCCTTTGTCGAATATTAATTGACCACAGAGACATGGGTTTATTTCTGGGTTCTCTATTCTGTTCCATTGATCTATATGTCTGTTCTTAGGGCGGTACCAGGCAGTTTTGATTACAGTGGCCTTGTAATATAGTTTGATTTCAGGATTGTGATCCCTCCTACTTTGTTCTTCTTTCTCAAGATTTCTGAGGCTATTAGGCTGTTTTTGTTTCTATATAAATTTTTGAAATATTTGTTCTAAATCTGTGAAGAATGTCACTGCTATTTTAATAGAGTCATTGCATTGACTCTATAGATGGCTTTGGGTAGCATAGACATTAGCTGATTTTCTTATGTTGAATTTATTGCATTCTTGGGATAAATTTCACAAAGTCATAGTATTTAATCTTTTAAATATGCTGCTGCTTTCAGTTTGCTGGTATTTTGTTGAGAATCTTTGCATGTATATTCATAAGAGATATTGACCTGTAGTTTGCTTGTAATGTCATAGTTTGCTTTCAGTATCAGGAAATATAAGACTTATAAAATGAGTTAGGAAGGTTGGTGTTAGCTCTTTTTTAAATGGTAGACTTCACCAGTAATGCCAAGTTTTTTAGATTGTTGTGTTTATTATGAAACAGTTTTGGTAATTTGTGTATTTCTAGAAATGTGTCCATTTAACATAGATTATCTAATTTTTGGTTTAGAGTTGTTTGCAGTTCTCTCATATAATTCATTTTTTTCCCTATAGCATAAGTAGTAACGCCACCCTGTTCATTCTTGCTTTTATTTATTTGCATCTTTCTTTTTTTCCTTTGTCAGGCTAGCTAAAGGTTTGCCAATTTTGTCAATCTTTTCTGAGGTCTTACCTTTGTTTCATTGAACATCTTTATTATTTTTCTATTCTCTATTTCATTTATTACCACATTGATCTTTTTTATTTCCATTCCTCTGCTAACTTAGGTTTTGATCACTCTTCCTTAAGAGTCCTGGTTCCTTAAGGCGTAAAATTAGGTTGTTGATTTGAGATCTTTTATATTTTTCAATGTAGGTATTAACTGATATAAATTTTCTTCTGAACACTGTTTCTTTGTATCCTGTAAGTTTTGGCAGGTTGTCCTTTTACTGTTATTTGTTTCTAAGTGTTTTCTAATTTTCCTGTGATTTCTTCCTTGACCCATTGTTTGTGTGCTGTTTAATTTCCATATATTTGTCAATTTTCCAATTTTCCTTCTTTTAATGATTTGTAAGCATCATTTTATTGTGGTATGAAAAGATACTTTGTCTGACTTCAACATTTTTAAATATATTGAAACTTGTTTTGTTGCCTGAAATATGGCCTCTTCTGGCAAATGTTTGATATGCACATGAGAAGAATGTATGTTGTTGAGTGTGGTCATCTAACGATGTCTGTTAGGTCTAGTTGGCTTATCGTGTTAAGTTATTTATTTCCTTATTGCTCTTCTCTCTAGATATTCTATCCATTATTTCAAGTGGGATATTAAAGCATTCAACTATTATTTTAGACCAGTCAGTTTCTCCTTTTAATCCAGTCAATGTTTGTTACATGTATTTAGGGGCTCTTTTGTTTGGGATCTATATGTTAATAATTGTTTTTCTCCTCTAGATGAATTAACCCTTTTGTCAATATATAATGTATTTCTTGTCTCATGTAACAGTTTTTTACTTGAAGCCTATTTTGCTTGACATTAGTATAAGCTACTCCTGCTCTCTTTTGCTTATTGTTTTCATGGAATATCTTTTTCATCCTTTCATTTTCCATATTTTTGTGTTTTTGGATGCAAAGTAAGTTTCTCACAGACAATATATGGTTAGATAATGTTTATATTTTATCCATTTTTCCAACCTTTAATTTTCCATTGAATAATTTAATTCATTTTTCACTTAAAGTAATTACTGATGAGGAAGGCCTTACTTTTGCCATTTTGGTATTTGTTCTTTATCTCTTATACCTTTTTTCATTTCTCAGGGATAATTTCTGATAATTTTGTGTCAATGGGCACACTTTCCTGTTTCTTTTTTGTTTGAGAACTATACATTTTGAATATTAAAATGTAATTCTGCAATTTTCTCCCTTCTCAGGGTTTATTGTTTTTGTTTCTAGTAGTCCACTGTAACTGTTGTTTTACTTAGTGACTTTTCCTCACTATTTTTTGAGTCTGTATTCTTTATGATATGTGATCTCTGAAGTCCATATATTTTTAGTTTGTATTCATCTAGTGTTTTGGCATGCAGTTTTTGGACACAAGAAGAGAGAGAGAATGTGGAAGGAAAGAGAAAAAAGTGTGTGTATGAGAGAGAAAGAGGAGGAGGAGGAGTAGATAGAGGACAAGGAGAAGAAGGAAGAGGAGTAGAAAAAGAAGATGAAGGAGGAGGAGGAGAAAAATATAGAAAATACTTCTCCCATTTTTTGCAGTTTGGCTGTGTGCTAGGATATTCCTATCAACACTTAGTCAATTTACAGTTCTGCCTTATCCTTCCCTTCCTGCTTATACTCGTCTTGGAGACCAGCCAGAGGAACTTCTCAGGTCTTTTCTAAGCATGTGTCCTGCCCTAGGCATGAGCATGGCTTTCTACAATAAATTCCCCTATATACTGGTTACTCTTTCCCAGATTTTTCTCACAGATTTTCATTACTCAATATCCTTGACTCAATTGTAATCTTGTGCCCTAGGCAGCCAGCTGCAGTGAGTGAAAGATTATCCTTTGCCTCTTCATTTTTCCTTCAGGAGTGAGGTTTGAGCTATGCAAAAAAAAAAAAAAAAAAAAGATAAACGCCTCACCTCAGCCCTTTACACAGTTCCCACAGAGGTTAAGCAGACAAATACATGCATTTCTTGTTTAAATGGTCAGTTTTACTCCCTCTGGAACCAGGGATCAGGGTCACACTGGGAACACAGTGTTACTGAACAGCAAGTGGGATACTGCTGCCCATTGCCGCCCTCTAAGCAAAATTCTGGAGTCAGAGGTTTGGTGAAAAAGGAAAGGAGTCTTTATCCAAAAGCTACACAATTTTGAAATAACAGCTTTTTTTTAAAAAATAGCTTAAGCCTATCAACTAAGGCTAAAATTTTTAACTCTTGAATTCCCCAATCATTCCCCTTGTCAATTTTTAATTATCTTATTTCTGTATGATTAGTTTACAAATTAAAACAACATAAGATACAAAAGCTACACAATTTTGGAAGAATGGCAGGCATCTGCCTCAGAATTCATACTTTCTAGAACACCCAAAGAAGAGTAACCCTGCCACCCTCTGCCAGTCCAGCCGCATCCTCGGCTATGCCCAGAGTTCCTTCTCCCACTTAAAAATACCATCCTTTGGGAAACACAGGCAGCTGCAGCACAGTCATCCAGGCGGCTCCCTGAGGAAGAGAAAGATAGAGAGTCTCTGCTCTCCTTCTGTTTAAATCTTCTGGCCCATAATTCCATGTGCTCTGGAGGCATCCAGCTTCTCAGCCAGTCCTATCCTGCACTGGCAGATCTGCACCTCCTCCTGCTATGTCCCCCCCCCCCCCCCCGAGGGCAGGGAGATCTGTCCTGCCCCTAGCTAGCTTGATTACCATTGCCTAGTGCAACCTCCTCCGAGGGCCCCTCCCTCACTCCTCCCAGCACCTTGTTTCTATCAACAGGGTGCTATCTTCAAAGATTATCCCTAACCTGGGAGGAGTGTGGGGAAAGGGCAAATAAGATGTCACAAAGCTTTTCTGCCTTCTCTAAACTTTTTCACTATGTGAATCAAACCTTTGACTATTTCCCAGAGTTCTGAGAAAGTTGATTCTGACTGCTGTTGCTTATATACACATTTTTGATATTTCTCTGGAAGGATTTGCCCTTGGAGCTGCCTACACTGCATTTCAGTGGCATCGCTTATATTCGTCACTGTTCTTAACGTATGAGAAGTACTTAAATTTGATAATAATAATGTCCTACTGTATGAAAGAAATATAAGTCATAATTTTATTTTGATAAACGATTAGCCTCTTTACTAATTTAGTCAATTTAGGACTAAAATGAGCATAGTAAAGTAATGGCTGCAAAGGACACAAACAGCTCTCTGCAGCCTCTCCATATCTGTTTTTATTTTGTTTGTAGAAAAGTCAGCAATTCTGTGGTAATTTACTTCATTACTGTAGACTGATAACACACTACAAACAAATTTATTCTTTTAAAAGTTACTTTGTCTTTTTTCTATAGGTTAAATATGGGAGATGCTTATCATTTACTGAAAGATTTTGCACTTACTGTTCAGTCCATCAGGTATAGTAAACAATTTTGCATTTAAAGATCAGAGAACCAGTTACATATCATTAAGTATAAATAGCAATGATAATAATTTAAACACTTAATCTTTTACAGGATTTCACTGAGTGAATTATGTGATGATGAAGATGACAATGTTGTGTTAGCATTTAAACAATTAAGTAAAACATTCAGTCAAATCTTAGGAAAAAAAGGCTAAATGTTGAACTTTACCCAAGTACTGTGCTCCTAGAAAACGGAGATGGTCCAGAAATTTTCTTGCTCTTCCATGTTTCAGGAAAGGGTTTACTGCAAAGAACCACCCTTTCTTATGTGACTTAGATTAGACTTTCAGATGACCCCCTTGTTTGCCTATGACTATCCTCAATATAATGCTCCAAATTCCCATACTTTGTCTCATAAATGATTAGCTGTACTGTTTTTTCCTGCTGACCAAATACCTGATTACTTGACTCAACCAACTTTAGTCAGGCTTCTCCCCTCCCCACAGGTCCTGAATCTTAATCCACCCTTAGGCCCTCTGGAAAACTGCCTGGAGGCATCCTCAGCTCAAGGTCCCTGATTAACTGTCTCGGATCAACTACAAGGAGGAAAGTCAACCAAAGACACCCCCAGGCCGATTGTCCAATCACACCACACAACACGTCATTCGCTCATACCTGATTATTTCTAGCCTTGTTTCCTTATCCCTGGAAATTAAAATTCTTTTCTGGCTGACCTTGGAGACTGCTGAAAATCCAGAGGCAGGATGTTTTCTTTATTTCACTAACCTCCTTTACATGTTGCAATAGGCCCCCTCCCCTTATTGCAATTCTTTTTTCAAATAAAGTCTCTTATTATCTAAGTTTGGATTTGTGTTTGATTTGATTTTCATTCTGTGCCAAAGATATAAACTGTATTACCTAAGTAAAGTATAAATTTCACAAATTATTGACCAACGTATCAAAAGATCTCCTAGTCTTCCCTGACTGGTGTGGCTCAGTTTGTTGGGCATTGTCCTACAAAGCAAATGGTCATCAGTTCAATTTCTAGTCAGGGCAAATGTCAAAGTTTTGGGTTTGGTCCCCAGCTGGGGCATAGAAGAGAGACGAGCAATCACCGGATTGATATTTTTCTCTCCCATTGCTATTTCTCTTTCTCCCCCCCTTCCCCAATCTCTGAAAAATAAATAAATATATATTTTTAAAAAGATATCTTAGTGAGAAGTTTTTATTTAACTAAATTCTAACAATATTTTTCTTCTAAGAATTTAGTTTGTAAAGTAGCTATGCCAGATGTCTAACAATTACTGTGTTCAGCTTGAAATGTGATAATGTTTTTTAAAGATAGAAGCCAAACCCAATTTATCATATTTATTTATTTTTAATTTTGTTGCATTTATTGGAGTGACATTGGTTAATAAAAATTATATAAATTTCAGGTGCCAACCCTTGGAGGGGGTCTGCACCCTCTCCCTACAGGAAGGCGGGGTCCCTCTGAAGCATGGCAGTTGTACGGTTCTGTAACACATCATCTTACATTGTTTTGTGTAGTGACCAAGTCTCCTTCTGTCACGCTCTCCTACTTCCCCCTCGCCCACCTTCCCCATCTGGTAATCACCATACTATTGCCTGTGTCTATGAGTTTTATTTATTTGTTTGTTTTCCTTCATCCCTTCTGCTTTTTTTACCCAGCTCTCCAAACCCTTCCCCTCTAACAACTGTCAGCCTGGTTTCTGTACTAGAGTCTGTTTCTATTTTGTTTGTTTATTTTGTTCATTAGATTCTACATATAAGCAAAATCATATGGCATTTGTTTTTCTCTGACTGGCTTATTTTACTTAGCAAAATAATCTCCAGGTCCATTCATGCTGTCGCAAAAGGTAAGATTTCCTTTTTAAAAAAAAATTGGCCAAATAGTATTGATTGTGTAAATGTGTCATTGCTTTTTTATTCACTCATCTACTGATGGTCACTTGGGCTGCTTCCAAATTTTGGCTATTGTAAATAATGCTGCAGTGACCATTGGGGTGGATGTATTCTTCTAAATCAGTGTTGCAGGTTTCTTAAAATACATTCGCAGAAGTGGAATTGCTAGGTCAGAAGGCAGTTTCATTTTTAATTTTTTGAGGAAACTCCACACTGCTTTCCACAGTGGCTGCACCAGTCTGCATTCCCACCAGCAGTGCACTAGCGTTCCCTTTCTCCACATCCTTGCCAATATTGGTTGTTTGTTGATTTATTGATGATAGCTATTCAGACAGGTGTAAGGTGATGTCTCAGGGTGTGTGTGTGTGTGTGTGTGTGTGTGTGTGTGTGTGTGTGTGTGTGTGTGTGTGTGTGTTATCCTAACCTAAGGGCATGCTTATTGATTTTAGAGAGAAGGGAAGGGAGGGAGAGAGACAGGGAGAGAAACATCAATGTGTAAGAGAAACATCATTCGGTTGCCTTCCGGACTGAACCTGCAACTAGGCATGTGCTCTGACCTAGAATTGAACCTGCAATCCTTTGACTTGCAGGAAAAAGCTCCAACCAGCTAGGACTCATTGTGGTTTTAATTTGCATTTCTCTTATGATTAGTGACATAGAACATATTTTCATATGTCCATTGGCCATCTCTGTGTCCTGTTTGGAGAAGTGTCTGTTCAGGTCTTTTGCCCATATTTTAATTGGATTGTTTTTGTGGTGTTGAGTTTTGTAAGTTCTTAATAAATTTTGAATACTAAACCTTATCCGATGTATCATTGGTGAATATGTTCTCCCATTTAGTGGGTTGTTTTTCATTTTGATCATGGTTTGATGATGATGATGATGATGGTTTTCATTTTGATGAGGACTTTGCTGTGCAATAAATTTTTAGTTTGATGTAGCCCCATCTGTTTATTTTTTCCTTTGTTTCTGTTGCCCAATAAGACATATCAGAAAAAATATTGCTACTAGAAATGTCTAAGATTTTACTGCCTATATTTTCTTCTAAGATTTTTTTGGGTTTGAGTCTTATATTGAAGACTTTAATCCATTTTGAGTTTATTCTGTATATGGTATAAGACAGTGGTTGGTCTAATTTTATTTTTTTTGCACATATCTGTCCAATTTTCTCAACACCATTTATTGAATAGGCTATCTTTTACCTTGTTGTGCATTCTTGCCTTCTTTTTGAATATTAATTGATCATGAAGGCACGGGTTTATTTCTGGGCTCTCATGACTATGGTCTTGTAGTATAATTTGATATCAGATAAGGTGATTCCTCCAAGTTTGTAAATATGTCTTCATTTTCTTTGTGCAACTTCATTAATCACTGCTTCGATGATCTTGGTTTTTGTGTTTCCCCTTACTATTGTTGGTAGCCCTTTGCTGTGGGCTCAACCATCCATATCTTTGCTTTTATTCTAGCGTAGATTGTGGCATTAAGCTAGATTCTCTCCAAAATCTGACCTCAGTGAGATTTTTTTTTTCTTGCTGTTTCTAATATACTGAATGTTGAGACACATAAAGGACCAGGTTCTACTGATGGCACAAACTGTATAATAACTTTCAAAAGACTTGGATGCTGATATTAAGAAGTGAAAACAGCTTGTCCTGGCCAGTGTGGCTTAGTTGGTTGGAACCTTGTCCCACAAACCAAAAGGTCGAGAGTTTGATTCCTGGTCAGGGCACATACCCAGGTTGCAGGTTTGATCCCCTGTTGAGGTGTGTAGGAGAAGGCAGCTGATTGATGTTTCATCTCACCTCTCCTCCCACCCCCACTTCCTCTTTCCCTCTAAAAAACAATGAAAAAATGACCACAGGTAAGGATTAAAAAAAAGAAGTGAAAACAAAATCAATGGGCAAGTGGTTGGTTAGGCACCAACATTAAAAATATTAGCTAGCGATAAATTGCCTTTACCAGAGTAATTGTCACACACACACACACACACACACACACACACATCCCTTTTATATCTAAGTGTCTTGCACATCTAAGTCTAATAAGCATCCACCTGACTGCATTTTGCTGTATTATACCTTTATTTTCTTTTAAAGGTGGCCTCACATGTTCATTTTAGCTATATTGCATTTGTTCAAGAGTTTGAAAATTCTTCTAAGAGACATGGCCATACACTGTGCTTTTGTTTGTTTCTCAAGCGTGCTAAGGGCGGCCATAAGCAGAGTCTCCTGGTGTAGGGAGTTGATGTTTCACAATTAGATACAATCTAATTTGATGCAATGATTTTTTATTATGCCATTATACATCATTTAATAAATTGTTGATTTAGCTAATAAGTAAACATTCAGTCTCACATAAATTTGTCAATAGTTTTCTTTAGCTTAGAATAATTTTAAAGATATAAGAGGATGTATGATTCTATAGTTTTGTTATAATGCTGCTAACAATGCAAATTCGTGGCAAAAGTCTATATTTGACACATCTATAAAGCAGGTGCACCATTCTCCAAAGCCCTCACTTGCTTTAGTAGTCTTCAGCATCTCCAGCACAGATGGCAAGCAGAGCTTTCTCATAGTGCCCTGAGGCAAAATTCTGGAAAAAAATTATTTAAAATAAAATGTCACAACATTTCTTTAAAAAAGCTGTAATTCCTCTGAACTACAGTATAAAAGACCCATGGGCCATTAGCTTTTCCAAAAGTATTTACTTTTTTCATCTAAAGATTTAGTATGTCCTGAGAATCATTCCCAGGGGAAGTTGTAAAATAATACCATGGTCAGTAGAATGCGGTTTATATAAAATTAATTGAACCCTAATGTGTATTTATAAAAGGAATAACTTGAAGTAGAATTAAATCTTCTCAAGTTTAGAAGGAGATGTCCTAATATTGCTATAAATCCTTATAGTATCTGAAGGGCAAATTGACAATATACCTTTAAATGACTTTTAAATGTTTAAGTTCATTAATGAAGTAACTTCAAGAAATATATCCTAAGGAAATAATGATCAATTATTGATGAGTATGAAGATTTATGCTAAAAAATGTTTGCCATAATATTAGGTATTATAGTAAAAAATTAAAAAGTAATATATAATAATGAGGAATTTATATACTTCACAAATTATACAATAAAAAACTTCTAAGTAGTAAAACATATTAGTATTTATATATATTTTTAAAAAGACAAAAAGCACCTAAAGCAAATTTTATTACTGGCTGTCTGTAGTAGAAAACTAGGGTAATTTTTATCTTCCTTTCGATGATCTTCTATAATTTCTTTTTCAAAACAATGAGAGTAGTAAATAAATGGAACTCTAAAACCGGTCTTTGTTAAAAGTCAGCCGTCATATTAATGTTCTCTTATATAACGGCATGTAATTGTAATTTATTGCTTTGAATCCACATAGTAAAATTGCATTAATATGTAAATATCAGTAGATTTTGATGCAGCTGTGATTATTCTCAGTAAATGTACTAGAATTATTCATTAAAAAGTATGACACGCATTTCTCAATGAGACATGTTTATCATCACTAAAAGTTTAGGGTTTTTAAGATGGATACAAAGAAAGTTTTGTCAAAGACATAGAATAGTATTTCTCTTAAATGGTCCATCAGCTTTTCCTCTTAAAAACAACTTTGGCTACCTGAGGGCCTACGAGGTCTTCTGTTTTTTGTGGTCTCTTCCTTTTTGGGTTGTCAAGTTGAATCTGGACCACTCTTTCATTTAAGAAGCCGTTCATACAATTAAAAATTTCAGTAGAAACTAATGCAAACAAGGTAGGTGTGTGTGAAATAAGATTTAAAATATATTCAGGATCCTATGTGTGGTTTAATGTTCTGCTGGTGCCATCTTGAAATTCTTTTTAATTTTTTGTAAAAAGGATCAAGAATTTTCATTTTCCATTGGGTACCAAAAATTACATAGGTGGTTCTGTACATTCTGATAATTCTTTGCTAGGTTTTATCAAAATCCAGAGGAAAGTTTAGGTCTATCAGAATGTAAAACTGGCTTGTTACTTCAGAATCATCGCTTCTTTGCCCTTCAAGGGCTAAAGGGGTATGAATGTAGAGTTTTGCATAACTGTTGGTGTTGAATTCCTCCAGGCGACCATTTATGGAATTTGCCTGGCAGCCCTGCCTTCTATGACAATATGAGAAGACAGCCGAACTGATCTAAGGGGCCTCTTCAAAATTTAGGTGGTCTTTAAAATGTACTTTTCTCAATGCTGATCATACTTCAGAATTTAGCTCATAAAACACAATTACACAACTAGGGAATGAATGTTTTACATCACCACATCAATGATTTTTGCTTAAAACACAGGAAAGGGGAGTGAGATCTGCAACTGATGTGAAGGGATTCCCTCCACACTGTTGATGGACTGAAGGGCTGTCCGGTGTACTGAAGTCAACTATCCTTGTCAGCCTATGTAACTTTCTAGATTCTGACATGAAGTTATTTAAATTCAAGCTCTTATTTCAGTTTCAAAAAAGGACAAATTATGGGTCAAAGTAAAGCAGGTGTGGGAGACTTACTCTGATGTCATGAAATAGGGATTTTCCGTATCTCTCTTTGTATCGTTTCCTTATGGTCATCAGGTCTATTTCACTCCTGGCAATTAGAATCCTGATTAAAGTTTTATTATGGAAACCAAAGTCCTACAAGGTACAAGAAGAAGAAGAAAGAAGTGAGATGACAGCACCTTACAGTTAATCAGTCTAAAAGAGGCTCATCCTCTTTTCTGAAGCAGTTTGCTCTTCTTCCTCCAACACTGGAGCCCCCATCCAGGGAGTGCCAAGACAGATTCAGAGACTGACCCCGCCTTCCTTCCTCTCACTGTGTACACAGACAAAAAGTATTCTACCTATTTTACTTCTTAATCTCTTATTTCCGGTGTCACCATCTTGATGCCAGCCCTTACTCTTTCACCCTGATTCTGAAATTTCCAGCCTTGTCAACCTTCACGCACTGCACTATAAAATACAAATCTTATCATGTTCTCTTTCTAGGTAAAAACTCTTCTTGGCTGCATGAGTAGTGGGAATCTGGGGCCCGGTGGGAGGAGACTGAACTCTGGTAGGTGAATGTTCGTATGTCTAGCACAACAGTGACATTTTTATTTTATAGTCGGTTCATTCATGAACATGGTAAATATAAAAATTCCAGGTACTTAACATATGCTAAATACTAAAAATACCACCCCCCCAAAAAAACCAATTTTTGTGTAGTAGCTAGCCTCAGAAAGGATAGTTTCACAAATAAATTTTAAGCTGTCTTTTCAAATGGAGCAATGGTGACACCCAGTGGCCAGTAAGCATAAACTAAGATTTGATGTCAATGTTTTAGGTGTAGAACCACTAACAACCTTTTCCTAATTCAAAGTGACTAAAATACATGATCTATATTTTACATTTAAGAGCTTCATATATCAAAAATTTGATTACTTAAATACAGTCCCTCTCTTGTCCTTCAAACTATTCGGGGGTACACATACCTTCCTTTTTTTTTGCATTACAACACACAGAGCAGAAATACAGTTTTATTATGAGAATAAGTAGCCTCATTTTGGGCATTATTAGAATCAGAGTAATTGTGATTATGATTCATGGTCACTCACAGGTGAAGCTTTATTCTATGTTGGAGAAAAAAACTGTTGAAATCATCCAATAACATTGCCCAATATACCATTTTCTATAATTTTTAAAATCAAATCAATATTTTCTGCTTGGAAATAGAACAAAAAAGGAAGGCAGTGACCATTTGATCTTCTTCCTCTGTTCTGAAGGTACACAGGTTCTTGTACATACATAAAAAATACTCTTTATTTACCAAGATATATAACAGAAATATTCTTGACAATTAGCATATTACCCCAGCACGGTGGCGACTTTTAAGAAGTATGTCTATTAAAATTTCTGTGAGGATAAAACATTGATGATTACAATTACTATACTAGTGAATTGTTTTTAATAATTTCATTGAGTTTTTAAGACTGTGACATATGAATGATTTGTATCAGGCCTTTTCTTTCTCTAATTATGTTTCATGCATATTATGAATAATGTGTGAATTGTCTCAGGCATTTAATTGTTTGTTTTTTTAAAAATGAAAGTACCAAAGGGTGTGAGGTTGACCAGCACACATAAACTTATGTTTATGGAAAACATTCTCATTTAATTACAAAAAATATCTTTAGAGCTTACTGTTGTCTAGCTATCACTTTTTAAATGCTATTTTTAAAATAAGATTTTATGTTTCAAAATAACCACTGGCATTATTTTGTGTTTTTAAACTTCAGGAATGTAGCAATTTCTTGCAGAGAGTTTGTAATGTTTTGACCTTTTCTGCTTGATGCCATATGTTTTGTACTTTTATGAATATGAGGTTGAGGTCTTTGGCAAGATACAAAAGTCTTTAAATCTACCAGTTTGTTAGTTGCTAAGAAACACTAAAGCAATGGAGGAGATAGTCCTCAAGGAATCGTATTTCTTAGGTCCCTCAATTTGATAAAGAAAGTGCACCTTCATTGTTATTTGATGGGTCTCATTTTGTTGTATACTATGTTTTTTATTTGAGCATATTTTATTTTAAGTGAGTATATTTGCATACCAGTTTAAAAACGAAAATCAATGGAAGTAAAAGTAGTTATTTGAGGAAGTAGACAATTTCTGGAGAAAGTTTAAAAATATGTGGGTCATACTTACATGGATTGCACTATACAGTCTGTAAGCAAAATAGGCTGGTTTGTCTCGAACACAAAGAACTACAAAAAATCAGACAGGAAAAAAGAAAATTTGAGAGTGACTATATATTTTCTTCAAAATTTGAGAAACAATGAGCGCACCTTTTTTTCTGTTACTGTCTTGGGAAGGTCTTTGTAATTCTATGTAAGATTGCTCATTATACATTGTGTATTACAATTCCAGCATTTAAATTAGTGGTAAAACCATGATCAATAGAAATATAAAGAAACAATATTATAATGATTAATTCAGATTTTCATTTGTCTTTATCTCTTGGAATTCTCTTATTTCCTTCATATAATGTGTCTTCTTTATCTGAAAATTAATAAATAGAACTTCAAAGAGGCCCAGGTTACCACTGCTATTATAGATTTTTATTATTGTAGAATTCAGTGTGACGCTGTTCCATGAAATAGTTCATTTTCCATCCAATACACTGTTTTTAGGGTATAGACTTGTGAATAGATTTGAGGTCTGTTAAGGAGAAGATGTGGACAATAATTGGTCTATACCAGTGTTAGAAGTCATCCAATCAAAGCCATGATGGCATTTGAAGAACCTAAAATCTAGTTTACAGTTGTCCTTGGTGAAAGTCAGTTGATGATTACAGACATTCAATATTGTTTAATTGAACAAGTAAATTAATAAATGAATGAGTAATATATGCAAGTCTATAACTTCTAGGCAAAATAAAATCATAACAATGTCTTCTCCACAGTTCAAACGATTACTTTAGACTGTGAGACCACCACCTTCATCTTTTACTTTTCTTCGAAACTGTGAACCCCTTGAGCACTCTTGGGTTGCTGCTCCCGTGGAAGTGACCTAAGGATGGGGATTTCTGTGGCTTTTGTTGTTTCACTGTCCTATCTGCAGTGCTTAAATCAATGACCGGACTAGTAAATGCTCAATACATGTTATTCAGTGAATGAATGGAACAGTTAAATTGTTTTCTGTTGTTTCTAACGTCCACTATCTCCTGTCTCGCATCCACTGCTTTGTTTGCGGCGGTGGTCTAGTGGAAAGAGAGCCATCCTGAGATGCAGATGGCATGGGTTCTGGTTATAGCTTTGTTGCTAATTAGTTATAGACATTGGAGGAGTCAATTAATCTCCTTAGGCCTTGTTTGTAAAATGAGGAGTTTTGATATATGTAACTATTAAATTATGTTGAGAACCTTCTGAAACATATGCACCTTATTCTCAGAAAAACACACACATATTCGTATTTTGTATACTATTTTAGGGATTTCACAGAACCCAAAAATCCCTTTTTATGGAACCCTAGCTTAAAACTCCTTACAACTCAGCTTCCATTACCATATATGTCTGTGCCACTCTAGGGATGGGAAAAACACAATATTCCTTTGCTCAGTTAATATCTAAGTTTGTTCTTGATGTGTGCCTGCTATAGGCAATATAGGCAAATGTCAAAATGACCCCCCATTTCTTGTCCTTGCAATGTATGCTGCCAAGTCACAGCACAGCACAAAGTTGTGCCTGGGTAGTTAACAGCAGTTTTTGTGGCTAGCTATGACTGTTTTCCCATTTATGGAGGGATACTTTTTCTTACTTAGGAAGAAGCAGAAGGTATACCTCTCTCACAACAGCCTGCAGAAATCATTACTAAAATAACAACATGGTAAATCTTTTTCTACAGCAAGACTTTCCCCTAAAGGCAAATTTATTAGAGATGGTAACAAAACACCATTTTCCTCATGGAGACAAAGAACCCATATTGCTAGCATTTATCTCTCTCTAACAAGGGAATGGAAGTCAGTATATATAAAATGAATTTAAAGGTGTGAGATCCCAATTGCCTGAGAGAGAGCATTTGAGAATCCAATGTTGCCTGGTATGAAAGCTAAAGCCGCTATTAGGGAAGGTTGTTTGTTCATTAAAGTTCTCCAGTTGCCAGTCTAGAGCATTGTGTCAGTAGCTGATGTTCTTTCCTCCTATAAAGTTAGCATCCTTTCTTAATAATTAAATTCAGGAGAAAGTGACTCAATCAAGAGCTTACTCATGCGTCTTTAATATAATCAGAACCAATCAGCATTTGTTCTGGAATAAAAGGTCTGCTGTATACTAAATCAATCATTACTTACCTATAGCGACTAGCAGCTCTTGAAAGTACCCATCGTAGCATTCATTTATGGCATCTACTATGTCTTGCCCAGAAATATTTTGAAATTCCTGGAAAACTTTAACAAATTGATATAATTCAATTGAAATATTATAAATTTTTAAACACAATAATTTTAAAATACAAATATTGATTAGATTGCTATACATAGTGAAGATAAAGTAGAGGGCTGGGAGTTTGGTTGAACTAGACCATCTTTAAAAATTTTTATAGATTTCTCTGTGTTTTATATATGTAAGAAAACAAAAAAGAGGGCTTTTTGTTTTTTGTGGTTTTTTTTTTTTTAAAGAGAGAAGCAGAAAGGTACAGCAGTTTGGGGGAAAATCAAACAAAATGAAAACTAATATGAATGCACCTCTTAGACCAATACGGCATCTTCATATAAATCATGATGTCAATAAGAATGATCTTGACTCACAATAGGCTTGATTAAGTTATGTTCACTATATTCTTTTCAAGAGAACATATAATATGCATAATAGTAAATAGCTGATATATTTCAGTACATTATTCATCAAAAAAAAAGGATGGTTTTTAAAGGTTTGGTATGTAAAGGTTATATCCAGTTATTGAAAAAAATAAAATTATAGGGAAACTTCCTCCTTTAGTAATGTCATTAGATGGGAGATGTCTGTATAAACATAATTCAAAATTAGTACCTTTGAGACAACTGGCTTTCTTCTGTTCATATGTAACATTTCCCCCTACCCCTACTTTTTTTTCCCAGTTAACTACTTGCTTTTTATTATATAATCAGTTAAGTGTCTGAAAAGGAACCTGGTTAATAATTACCCAGCCATAGCTGTTGATAACTCTTGTTGCACAGGATCATTTGTAGCATGGTTTTGTGTTCCCCTGTCTTCTGCTGACAGGCTTCCCACAGGACCTGAAACCACACAGGCAGAAGTAGCAGCCTAACCTCCCCAGGCGCGTTTAACGAGGGTTCTTTACAGTCATTTTGAGAGCTGGTTCTACTTACCATTGCATCCTGAGCAGCCATAGCGGGATCTGCATATCCTTCCTCTCTGTTTCCCTATAAAGTAAGCACAGGTTTTCCTTTGTAGCTGTTCTTTTTTTTAAAAAAAATTTTTAATGTTTATTGTATATTTTTTACACTACTTTTTAGTCCCCTTATACCTCACTCCCCTCAGCAATCACCACACTGGTGTCCATGTCCATGAGTCCTCCTTCCTTTTCTGAACTCACAACTCATATAGTATTGGGGCAAAAACCTTTGAACCACAACACATTGGTGATTTCTAAGGAAATTCTATCATTAGTTAGAGTTAATCTTATATTTCTTGAATACTTTATGAAATAGCTTGTCTTAAAATGTGGAATTTTTTCTTTTGCAGCAATGATAATATTTCAAAGATGTTAATATGATTTTCACTTTTTCAACTTTCTGTACAATATCTTCTTCTCCATCAAAAAGAGCATCCTCTGTCTGGCCGTGGGTGGCAGAGATGGATTTAACGTTGTTAGAGTGAAAATACACAGGGAAATAATGAGTTAATATTTGGTCTCTGACATAGGAAATAGGATATATGCAGCAGTAAAATAATCATGAAATCTAGATTTTGTGGAGTGATAGTTTTTGTAAATTTGTTTAACCTCCATCCCTTCATCATATAAAGAACAGACATGGTCAAGTTAGCCTAAAGAAGGGCCATTTCAAAAGAGGAAGAAAGGAGGGCTAGCTAGGCAGGACTCTCTGTATTATGAGGACAAGAGGGGAGAAAGAGGTAAGAGAGATGAGTGATCAGTTTAGTTAACCTTTTATTTGGGTTGAGATCTGGAGGAAATGCTTTTAAAGTGTGTGTGTGTGTGTGTGTGTGTGTGTGTGTGTGTGTAATCTATAATATTTATTACATGTGATATGTAATCTATGCTAAGAAAACACTGGGGGATAAAGTGGTTTCTGCTCCTATAACCTTTCCTGACTGGCAAGGGCCACATTGCAGCAATATGGCATGACTGGGCAGAGGGAAGTGCTGAATACAACTCTCTTGAATTAATCTTAATACCTAAGTAGCATGAATGGTTTCCAAATTTCTTATCTACTATTGATGGAGAGACTAGTATGCTAGCTGAGAACCTGTTTAGGAACCTTGACAGATGGAATTGTTTATGACCATGGGAAGGAGAGATTATTCCGGAAGCCAAGGGCTACATGGTAGACCACATTGGCTGAAACTGTGTGAGAGACACAGTTAGACCTTAGGAGGATCCTTCAGCTCCACTGAACACAAAGTTGAGGCTAAACAATCATGAAAGGTTACTTGGCTCTGACCAAATGAAGACAAAAATAAAAGCTCATAAATTCACCAGCTGTATAGTTTGACAGTGAACACAGAGAAACACTCATATCTACACCTCATATGCTACATGTTCAGAGTTGCCAAGAACTGCCATTCCATACCTGAGATGAGCAAGGAGGCAGAAAATATCCTGACCTGAAGGCACTATCCCTCTCCTGTTGCCAAGACATCTCATAAACCACACACACCTCTCCACCAAGTGCCTTCTTGAAAGGAAGAGAAGGGCCAGAAATCTGACAGTTGAGTATTTAACTCAATAAATATATAAATGCGATTGACCTTATACTCTCACATAGGCTGTTTTACATGTTGTATGGATTAAATTTGCCACAGTAGAGGCATATGAGGTTTTTCTTCCCTTGCTGATCAAAAGTTGGGGACATATGAGAGGGATTAATTTATTCATAGTGAAATTTTCTTGTGAGTAAATTTGTGGCCCTGGAAATTAATATGTTTAATCATAACTCAGGAGTTGTGTTTAGAAGAGGACAGCTAGGCAAAAATTGATATGAGCCTATAAGATATATTTCATCTGCTTCATTTCAATTACTTAAAATATCAGGTGACTAAGAATGCACATATGCAATTCTTATTTTTAAAATCCATGCATTTATATATATATATATAACTGTGCTTTATACATATTTGAGCAAGGAATAGAACACATCATTTAGAGTAAATAATTTTATTGAGTGGTAAGATATCAGTGTTGTTTTATTTTCAAATTATGAAAGTATTGAGATGTAGGGACAATAATGATTGTATAGCTTTGCCCCTTGAAGATAAAAAAAATACATGGGATTATAGATATTAAGTGAATTAACCAAGGTCTGATTGTTGGAAAAGATGATTATTTCAGTGCTATATCTGTCCCTGAGGTTTGTTTATCATACTCTTAACCTGAAGAGCTCATTATTTTCAGACAATCTCCTCTGGTCACTCTCCTATGGTTTTAATTTGCACAGGCAAGAAATGACTAAAAGCAGTTACTATGCTTTATTTTCTATGGACATATGCCATTTATTTAATAACACAAACTTATCATTTAATTCTTAGTCTTCATCTTATCTGACCCATCAGTAGAATTGAAGAAATTGATCCCTCTCTCCTCCTTGCTGTGCTTTCGTCACTGGGCTTCCAGGATTGTGCACTCTCTTTTCTTCCTACTTCATTGGTTAGTCTTTCAAAATGAAGTCCTTCTACTTCATTGATTCGTTATTCTCAACCTTGTGGTTCCCTTTTTACTTTTCAGCCTCTTAATATTGGAAAGTTGTAGTACTCAGCCTTTGAGCCTGTCCTTGTCTGTACCCAATCTTGCCCTTGTTATTCTTAACCATGAATATGACTTTAAATCATGCATTTTTTTTTAGTGATTTCCAATTAAACTAAATAGTTAAGTAAACATGTACTCTTGGAAAGTTTGTGAGAAATGTTTAAGAATTTTCTGCAGTTCTGTGTATGTGAAATTTTTTTGAAAGGTAAGATTTTTTTTTTTGGACATTTAACTTGAAGTGGTTGCCTAACTGTTTACTTCTTTGTGCAGTTAATTGCCGAGAGCATTTTAAGCAGACTGACATATTAAAAGGATGTGCATAAGTAAGTTTGTGATTTAGCTTTTTCCACCAAGGCTGATTTTCTCTTATAAAAAAAGCCTAAGATAGCAGCGTTGTATGTGTAATTGATGCAAATGCCAGAGAAATGGCATAAATGAGTACAGCATTTGGATTAGGGGCAAGAAGATGTCAAAGGAAGACATAAAAGGACTTGAAATATAGCTGAAAATATTTGGAGCAGGTAAGGCAACTACAGATGATCACTGAAAGCTTTTGGTGATAACATCCCTAGGGCCCCGCCGTGCAAGTCCGAGAAACTGTCAGAAGGAGAACCCTGCCAGCCAAGATGAGGAGTAGGCATCCAGTTGGGTAGTTTCCATTCTTTCTCTTTGTGAAAACATTCATCACCTCCAGGGTGATTTGCACACATTGATTAATTAATCCCTAAGTGACTCATTTTTCATTATTTGGCAGATAATTAGATCTCCTATAAATCTAGTTTAATAAAAGCACACAGGAAGTCTTGTGAGCCAGTTTAATGATTGGCGTTAGTTTTCAAGAAGAACGTGTTCTGGCTGAGTTGTTTGTTACCTTATTGGAGATAGCCCTGTAGGAAAATACTCTATAGGTTAAGTGAAAGATATTCTCTCCCAGAAAATGTGACAGTAATTCTCAGCACTTTCCACTGCATGAACACCTTAAGGCTCCAGTGCTCTAATTCCCTCAATCTCTGTTAATTCACAAAAAGAGGTGTGTCTTAATTTTCACGATATGAAAAAGATGAAAGTCAGGGACAGTCTTTCCTTTGCTTCTGAAAGTGACCATGCAGAGGGAGGTAGAGAATGTTATTATAACAGCTGGAGAAATTTCAAATATTTGTATTAGGAGGGCATTGACAAGAATGAGTTCATGTCCCTTAATTTACAGATTGAATCTCTCTCATCTGAATTACAAAAAGGTTAAATGATAAATCCAAAGACATACAACTGAACTACAACAGAGCCAAGAGAAACAAATATCTAAATACATACCTTGTTGTTTTATAGAGATGATAGATAGAGATAGATAGATAGAAAGATAGAGAGATAGAGAGATAGACAGACAGACAGGATAATAATCCCAACTGGACAGTTAGGAGAGATTTGCAGCACCACTCAGTTGTCTCATTGGAACTCATCAGCTCTAAATTTCACACCTCTTTAAGAATAAATTCCAGTTTCTTTTTGTAAAATATTTAGACAGATTCTTTCTGAAATGGTGGTCAAGAGATGGACTTATTCAATTTCCTAATTCACTCTCTCTTCTTCCAATCCCCTCAATTTACTCATCCAAATCCTGAATCAGAAGACCCATTAATGTTGAAGTCAGGAGTCAGTGGAAGAACTTCAAAATATTTAAAAATTTAAGATAAACTATACTTTTTATTAAGAAGTATCAGTGATCATGGCATTTTTGATTTCCAATAAGATGAATATTAATGGAGATTATATGAAGATACATCTTTTTATAAGGTTTTTTACTTTTATTTTCTAAATAATTTCTATTAAATATACATTATTTTGTACATGTAAAGTGTTTTATATATTAAAGGCAATGAACTATAAAACTTTATAATTATACAATTTTTAGTAAACCATATTTTCCTTGGCCTCTGATAAAATTTAGGTCTCTACTTACCCTTCTTTTTGATATTCTATGTTCATAGGAAAATTTCATTATACTAAGAAGATATTTCAAAATTAAACACACATACAATTAAGGTTCAAACTCTAGAATTGAACTTAAAAAGTTATACTTTATCCTGTAAAGCCACATCACAAATTTGGTGAAATCCAGTGATGAAATAAATTGTTATGTGTTATTTTAAAATATTTGTGTCAATTCTATTACAGATAATATTATTAGGCAAATATGCATAATCACTTATATATTTGATCACAATAAAGCATTATAGTTTAATTTCAGGAAAAGGGGGCTGCAGTTATGAATAAGATTGATTGCCCTATTACACATCAGGGGAAAACATTCCATTGTTTTTCCTACTTCTAATTTATTTTCTGTCATATCTAATTTTCAGAGGTGTTGTTTCTTTCCCCCTGAAATACAATAATATTTGCTTTATAAAAATATGCTGTGATCTGGATTCTTAGATGTGAGTTACTTTCAGGTGGTTTATAGAGGTTAAACCGTTAAAGAGGGTCAGAGATTCCAACAGGTTATTTGTGCATTGATCATGGACATTTTACTAAACAGAAGTAGAACTGGAGTGGAATCAAATGGGGTTGGAGGTTAATTAAGAACAATGAAGCTATAGTGTTGATAAAGTCTGTTCTCACATTAGCCCTCTCACGCAGTACATGTGTAATTCTGGGCAAACCATTTAACCTCTCTGGGCTTCAGTTTCCTCATCTCTCCAAGGAAGAGAGCTAGGGCTGGTTGGGTTCCCAGGGAAGGTGACTGAGCTGGAGATTGGCACACTCTTGTTTATTACAGAATGTGCTTGGGATCAATACAACAGAAGGGAGAGAAAAGAAGCAGAATTTGGCAGAAGGAAAAGGTGGACTCTGGTACAGTCCTACTGGAATGCAAAGGAGTCCTAATTAAATATACTTTTTTCCTATTTAGGCAACTTACAGTTTTCTTCAATAATAATAATAATTTTCTATTTTGATATTAAGAAAATAAAAACTTGTTTGATATCAGAATGCAGTTCATAAATTAACAATGGGATATTAGCTTTACTCTTCTATTAGGAACAACGTTTACACCAACATGAATTTCTGACTAGAAACTGTTGCTTTTATTTATATTATGTAGCTTCAATACTAAAAAATTAAGAAATAATGACCTTTCTAAATTGAGTGAATGTTTTAATTAAAATTGTTCTTATGACATTTAAAAGTTAGAAAGTATACAATTAAATGACAAATGAGATTATTTTTAAATATTAATAATTATTAATTATTTCCCTTATAATAACTTCAACTTATCTTACAAATTAAAATAAACCTATTTCTACAACTTACACAGAAGTCTCAAGTTGGGCCATAAAAAAACCAAACTATGTACCCTGCCCTGATGTTACAGTCCTAGATTTAGCATCCTCAGAATAAGATTTGATTAACTGAGACTGGTGACATGGGTGGTTTATGAACTATGCTGCCAAACCTTGCAAGTCCAGAGCAAATCAAATAAAAACCAAACACAATAAAGCAAATTCTTAATTGTTTTAATTGAACTTTTAAATTTAATTTGCTTAATACTATGCTGCTTTTTTTCAATTCAACAATTGGAAGGAACCCAATCAGCACAAATTACCATTTTCCTCAATTTGTGGAAGTATATACTTGGCTTCCTCAACAATATTTTATTTTGTACTTTATTCTTAACTCAAAACTGACATTAACCTGGGCGCACACATAACATACTCACAAAGAATTAAAATCTGTGCTTCCTGGCAATGAATGGAATTGTTAGTTTGTGCTCTACTCTGGCTAATATAGTTATCCATTCTTAAATTAAATCATACAAAATAGTTGTAAAGTACAATATGAAGTTTTTAGTCACATTAAACATACATTAAAATAAATCATACCTTCTGTCTTTGATTCGACATATGAATCTGCCTCAGATGAGGAAGATAGCAAATTAACAGAGATTGTGTACCATTCATATTTGTTTGTCTCTACACCCAACTCATGTTTCTATCACAGTGACTTAAATTGAGTTGGTATTCAGTAAATTATTTTACATAGAATTTACTGTCAAACTGGAATACAATGGAGTTGTCTGTTCCATTTTTGAAAATGAAACATATCTATTTTTGTAATAGTACAAATTGGTATGAACTTTTGTGTATCATACCTGGACCAAGTTCATGAGAGTGTCTCTGAAGTGTCCTGAGGTTTCTGAATAAATGTCTTCTTGAAGGTTACTGCTGTATTCTGGGTAAGAAAACATCCATGTTAAAGGTATAAGTTATTACAGTACCATATACCGATGTGCTTTGAATAACTTAATGCTACGTCCTCAGCTGAGAAGTTGAGTGGAAAGCATAGGGAATACAACCAACCGGTTGATATTTCTTTGTCCTTTACTACCTTTTACTGAGATGAAGCCACAATCAATCTGTTGATATTTCTTTGTCCTTCACTACTTTCTACTCAGATGAAGCTAATAAATAGTTCACCAAAGAAATATGACATGTAACAGTAACCTAGGCATGGATCTGTGTTCATAAAAAGTATTATCTTCATTCCAAAGCTGAAAAATAACATTGCAAGTCATTTCACATTCTCTAATTCTCAAAATTTAGAATTATGGATTACATTTCCATAGACTGTTGCTCAGCCCAGACTTTCTCCAAGTGCTTTGTCTCACTTTCATATTTTGAATGGAGGATCTTACTTCATTCCCTTTGGGAAAGTTATGTATTTGTTCAAATGCAATATAACAGACTGTCTGCAACATTTTCTTGACTTTCAATGTCACATAATATGTAATGCATTAAACCTTTTTGAAAATGAAAATAGTTAACCTTTCTACTCTTAAAATCTGTGCTTCTGATTTTGAGATAATTACAGTGATTTTTATTTTGAGATATATTACAGTGATTATGAATTTATACACAGTAAAGTAGTTACCCATGTTGTACAATTAGCTGAGCAGTTATTGTATTTGCTTTGTTTGGTCTATGCACTTGGTGTCTCCTGGGTAAGAGAGAAAATGCTCCTTGAACCACTGTGCTGGGCACTTTCCTGTCTTAATGCAAGCATTCACCTCATATAAACTTGTCATTATTGTCCTGGAAAATTTGCTTACTTTGATTTTCTAGGGAATTGTCTCATTTTTAATATCTTATCATCAATTTTACTTAGGGAGTTAATTGGTCTTGAGTGAGTCCTATTTCAAATATGAGTGTCTTAGAAAATCCTTTAAAATATATAAACACATATTTTTGTTACTTGAGAAATGTAAGGTTTATATATGTATAAAATGTGTGTGTTTTTCCTTACGCATACAGTAGGCTTCTCGCATTTGGAAAATTTCTCCATTTGTTCTTGAAGCTAATATATCAATGAGGCAATTCTCTTCAGTGCCTACTCCCTGGAAAGACAGAGACAGAGAGATATGAAGGCATCTGTATTGGGAATAATAGTGCACCTTATGTCGTATAAAGGGATACTGCATTCCTGGAATTCTGAGAGGTGGCAGAGGCCAAAAGAAATGTGTTTGGATTCCAGGGAGCCCAGTTCAGTTCTGGCTTCGCTCTTTACCAGCTCTTTGATCCTGAGAAGATAATATTATTTCAAACCTGTTCCTTCATTTAGAATAAAACAACATGGACATTTCTGAATAATGTGGGGAAAAGGTGTTTATGCAATGCCCATGACACTGATTATTTCTGCTGCTCATATGTCAGTTCTTTGGCAAGCCGAAATTAGAACGTGGGTCTCTTAGTTTCCTAAAGGATGTTTGGGGACCTCTCTATGTCTTTTCCTAGATGTAGAATTTTGTACCATTTTCTTAAACATTTGACTTGGCTACTTTCCATAGTCTCTTACAGTCAAATGCGTATACACGGTGGGGCAAAAGTAGGTTTACGGTTGTGAGAACATGAAACACAGAATTTATTCTTGTATTAATTATTAATTATTGTATTACTTTCTATACAAACAACTGTAAACCTACTTTTGCCCCACCCTCTATTCTTCTCTGATAGTAATTTTAAAAACAGAACATCTTTTTCAGAAATCCTTACTATTCTATGCGATACAGATAAAATGTTTGTTTCATCTAAACGGTAACATCACTTCCTTCTTATAGTTTTTAGTCACACAATTTTGCAAGGGGTAGGAATTGACATATGCAACTTAAAAAAACAATTAGTTCAAATTCATATGAATTTTTATACAACGCCTATTCTGATCTACAAATATACGATGGCAAAAGTTCAGGTTCCCTTAATTTTTTTTTCCTTTCCTCTTTTCTGTTGCACATTGTTCACAGATTGTGGTAATCCGCTCATTGGCAGGCATTGTATTGGAATGATTCCAACAGTTATGCAGGTGTTTAATACTGACATTTGAAAAGATGTGCGATGCCTTTTTGTCCCCATCCCTGGCCAACGAAATCTCTAACAAATCTGTAGTCAGTTTATTTCATAGAAATTACTTTCCTGTGAGAAAGAAGATTCTAATCCTTCAGAAGTAAAATTAAGATATATTTGAGCAATAGTTTTTGTAAAGGACTAATTTAAGATCACAAAATTATCCAAATAAAAATGTCATCTGTATTTGTGTCTGACTCAGTGTCCTATTTTTACTTAATGAGCCAAATTTTTACAATAATTTAAAGAGGTTCATATGACATAACATTTCCCCTTAATATAGGAACAGAATACACATTGGGGAGAGACAAATATGAGTAAGTTCTTGAAGCTTGTTTACTTTTTCCTTTTGGTAGTTCAGCTGGGTCAGTGAGTCTGAATTTGTATACCAAAAGAACAAGCTAATCTTGGCCAGTGGACCCCAGGGGTCCCTGCTTTCTAATGGGACCACTTCTCCTGACCACAGCATTTTCATTGTTTCTTTTTAAAAAGTATTTTAAAAATTATTTTTGGAGAGGGGAAGGGAGGGAGAGAGGGAGAGAAACATCAATGTGCTAGAGAAACATCGACCGGCTGCCCTGATGAGGAATGGAACATGCGACCCACTGGTTTGCAGGACCATGCCCAACCCACTGAGCCACACCAGTCAGGGCTCCATTGTTTCATCTTTGCGCAAATATTTCCTTCCCTCTCCCTGATCACATGAAGCAACATCACAGGGTAATTTCCTCTCTACCGAAACATGGACCTGTGCCTTTAGAGCTATATTTTTGCATCAGACCGCTACCTTCATGGCATGCCAGAGTTCGTGAGCATCATAAGATGGTGGTGGGTACATGAGGCCAACCATAACATCTTTGAAGTGATCTGAAAGCTTTTCCTTCAAGTCGCCAATCAGATCCTATAAAGAGAAAAGTAAATATTTTTATTATAACAGTTACCAACTTCACAAGAGAAACGGGATAATTGCAGAAAGTCTTCTAGTAAAATCTCCTTTTCCATGTTATTTCACTTAATAACAAGTCTGGTTTTGATCCACACATATATTCATGGATTACAGGAGACGATGGGCTTGAGGGTTTGCAAATGACTGATGTAATCACGTCTCCATGAGATGTCATCTGTATGGACATTCTAGTCATATAAACATGGAATAATATTCTTTTTCTAATCTCACCCCCAACCTTCTTTTGACCTCATTATGAAAATAAATAAAAGTTGAAAGCTAAAAACAGCTTGGTTAGGAGTTCTTAATTTTCTTGTATGGAATTAATGAAACATTAGTCCTTAAATAAAATACGCATTTTGTTTTATTATTGTAGCAGTCTCTCTTAGCAGGGGGTTCCTGGTTATACGAATGCCAAAAAGCTTGTGTAAATAATTTAAGTAATCTTAGAACTTTCTTCAAACAGCCACATTACTACATTTATTTTAAATATTGAAAGTTAAACACTTATAGAGAAAAACAAGCATCATGAATTTTTGACATTGGAAGACATAAAAGTATGAAATCAATCATTTTACTTTGACTTATTTTTAGTATAAGGCATGTTTTTAAAAATACATATGTTAAAGTTATCTTTTGTAGGGTTACTAAGATATCTGTTTACAATTTATCATTTTTTGCTGAAATGCATAAAGTATATTCACTGTTACTTTAAAATACATGATATTTTAGTTCTGAAGAGGTTCCACAGTAGAATTCAAGAGAAATGTCCCAGTAAAGAATAATAAGCTTTAATATAATAAAAAACAAAATAGTTATATTTTTTATTTTATTTGGTATAATGTGACAGCACTTCTGTAATGCAATTTCTTTGTCAGCAAATGAAAGCATTCATCCACATGGTGGTAATTGATAATACAGAGGATCTGTTGAATTTTTGCTAGGGTCAATGAAATTCATTTAATGAACAATTATGTATAGAATTGTGTCAGGTGTTTGAATACATATAAATGCATAACATCTCCATTTTATTTGAACTTATGTTCTATTTAATTCTCTCATTATTGGCCAGTGACTTTTTCTAATTCCTTTACCAAATGGTTGTTAAGGTACTATTATGAGCCAGGCGTTCTTGCAGGCACTAGGACTAAAACAATAAATAAAATAGAAATGAACATATGAGCTTGTAAAGCTTGTATTCTCATATCCACAGGGGGTCAATGAATATTTTTTGAATGACAGGTGGCTCTTACTCAACAGATATTTATTAATATTGTTTCCCAGTCATGGTGGTAAGTGAGGGGAAAAAATGCAATGCAGTCTGTTTTCAAGGAGGTTCACATTCTACAAAGCCAGAGATAAACATAAGTAAAAATGTTAGCTAACATACTTTCTAGGGCTGTCAATATAATTTTTCACAAAGATTCTAAGGCAGGAGTACAAGAAAATCAAAAGAATTCAGATAAGCGATCAGAATGGATTTACAGGATTAGGGAAGTGGGACATACTTAGGCAAGGAAGGACCGCTAGCATTGGGATAGGAGATAGAGAAGCCATTTGCAATGGTTCATCTTCTGTCACCGTGACACTTTGTGGGTCAATGGGTGACCCAGTCATTTGGTCAAACGTTATTCCAGATGTTTCTGTAAAGGTATTTTTTGATGAGATTAACATTTAAGTCAGTATACTTTGAGTAAAGCAAACTATTCCCCATACTGTGGACCTCCTTCAGTGAGCTGAAGCCGGCACAGAAACCGACGCTCCTCCCCGGAAGAGGATTCCGCGCCCGCGGACCCGCTTTGGGACTGAACTGCAGAGCCTCTCCAGGCTGCTGGCCAGGGACGCGCATTTTGAGACTTCTGGTCTCTACAATCATATGAGCTAAATCCTTAAAATCTCCCTCCCTATATAAATATAGATATATAGCTATAGATGTAGATGATACAGCTATGTGAAGAGAAGACAGGAAGAGATATTAAGGTATTTTTTGGTGCGTGAACGCGCTGGGAAAGGACGGATTGGGACGTGCGGACGGTCAGGAACGGCCCAGATAATGCACGAGTCAGCGAGGCCTGCAGCTCAGCTGCAGCAATTCACTCCTCCCAGCAGAAGTCTGATCTTGCGGGATCCCAGGAGCCACGGGATAGCACAGGATTGCTGTCCTGAGGAACACCTGAGTGTCTCTGTGCCGAGGGCGGGTGTCTCAGACTCTTCAGTAACGAGTCTGGCTCATGCCACCTATGAAGCAAATATGTACCGAACTGTGTACATAACCCTGAATTGTACACCATCCAGGAAGGTAAGTCAGTTGGTGAAAGGGAAGTGTGGAGTCAGGGGTAATCCTGTCCTTGTGTGTTTGCATTTGCCCTCTGAGGCGATCTGAAGAGGCTGAAAGATCCACTTGGAGAGAAGATGGCTATTAAATTAGGCTTATAGCGCAGAACTGTGTGGTGACTGTGGCTCTTTGCTCCTGTGGGAACTCTGGAACCAGCGCAGCTTTTGGTCACAAAGAAACTCGAAGCCGGTGCTCCATGAATTCAGCAAAGGATAATGGCTCCTTGAAATAATGATTTTTCTCAATATAGATGAGTAAGAGATACGACCTTAATTAATATTAGTTGTTTTAACTTTAATGTCTACCCATTTTTAAATTTCAAAATGAGATATCTCTTAGAAAACTTGTACCCTTAGAATTATTTCCTTAAATAATTTCCAGTTAGTTATTTTGTTGTTTTAAAAGTCTGGGATACAACACTTATTTATTTTTTTTCCTTAATGGACTCTCCCATGTTTAAAAAAAAAAATTAAAAGCTATTTAAAGAGAATCAGAGGCCTTCTAATTTAGTAGTCTTTGGCATTTTTTTTTTTTCCATACTAGTATAGCATAGGAAAAGTATACACCGCACATTAATATTGGTGCCATGAAGTAATGAATGATTCCTTCAGTAAGACTAAGGATGGGGCCCTGTGAGAAATCTAGGTGAGAGGAAGAGTTTCTAAAATTATTCAAATGAATTTAATATAATATTCTGTTTGAAAGTGGGATAGTTGTTCCTTTACCCCAAGTGAACACCATTGAACTGGAAGAAACAGTATACACACAATAAAAGCAAAGCTATAATCCAGTGTATATCATTAAAGGCCAAACTGAGGCTCTTATGGGCAGTGCACAGAGACTCGTAGAATAATAGAAATTCATAAAAGGAAGATACTGTCAATAAAATGTAGGTTCATGGAAAGCGTAGATGAGCTACACCTGGAAAGATGAGGCGGGGTTTCGTTAGGCAAAGGCATCGGAGGTAGCAACAATAGACAATACTTAGGGACAGGGGAACCACTGGCCTGGGTAAAGTAAAATGTGCATTTGAAAGGTATAAGCTAGTTCTAAATAAAGTGAATTGATGTGAAATCTAAACATTTTAAAGGAGACTTTGAATGTCAGTTATTCTTTTGACTCTTCTAGTTCAGAGTGGAAACACCCTGATAATGGAAATTCAAGCAGGTCAGGCGGAGGAGTGTGATATAATTCTAATAACCGCTAGCATTTATTGTTCACTGTGTCAGGCAGGATTCAGAGTATTAGAAGAGCAGTAAAAATTTATTACAACAACTCTATGAATTAGAAACTATAATCATCCCACTGTATAGATGAAAAAACTGTGGCACATAGAGCTTAAGTTGCAAGTTTCATACAAATCAACAAGTGATGGAACCTGGATTTTAAATAAAATATTTTGGCCTTCTAGTCTCCTTTTTATGTTATCTAGGCCATAGGAAGCCACAGTCACATATCAGCAAGGTGGTGAACATAACATATAGATGGTGAATGTAGCATTTATGGACATTTAAGTTTAGTGGCAGTGCTTTAAAGGTTTAAATCCAAATAGATCAATAATGGCACTTGGCAGTTACTGGAAATGTAGAAACATTAGACGTATCATCTCTTTTCAGAGCCTTCCTCTAATTCCAAGTGAAATTCATTATTTCTTTGTGAGCACCGCTCTATCTTCCCATTTTTTCCACTAGATTTTGATGACCATATTATTTGCATTTTCCCCCAAAGTCTATCAAGATGTGGGTTTCTCATAAATTTTCCTAAACTTATCACTTAGCTCTAGCACTGTACTGAATATATAAAATGTGTATAGTATAAAATATATATATATACATATACATAAATGTGTAAACAAATGAAAGAATAAATGAAAGAATGTGGAAAGAGAAAACCCTAAAATTACTGATTATATTTAAAGAATAAAGGAAATGTTCAAAATGAAGATTGCTTAGGCATTGCAAATGTTTTTACTTAATCTTTGGTCATCTTTTCTTTATCATCACTGTCCCTCCCAAACATTTATAATATGTTCATTTGTATACTGAACATCTCTGTATGCATTCACTGTAGGTTGAGATTAGTAACACCACTAGATGGCACTGGTATATTTTTGTTTCGTAATTGAGGTGAATGCATGTGCTCCTGTATACAGGGGTATATAGTAAACTGATTTTATAAAAGATTGCAAAGAGTTTATAGCATTTCAGTGAAAAAAATGTTATCAGGTGTTAGCTAATGCTATTAGAGTGTACCAGTTCTGGAGGTAGATTGTTTAGTTTTGAATCCTGGCCGTGCAAAGCACTAGCTGTGAGATTGCACTGCGTAGCCTGCTTAGGTTACTTAACCTCTTTGTGTCTGTTTCCCTATCCGGGAAATGAAAATAATTAGCACCTACCTGAGAGCCTGGATCTAAGTATGAAAATATTTAGCTTAGGTAAAATTTTAAAATATTTTATGGCACATATTAGGCACCCCAAAATGTCTCTTTTTTTCTCCAAAAAAATTAGGTACTCTACTGCAGACCAGAAGTGGCAAGTACTAGATTATCTTCCCTGTTTCTCTGCTCTCTCTGTCTCTGTCTCAATCTCTCTCCCCCCACACCAGCAATTTATTATATTTA